ACGCGATCAGATAAATGTTCTGTCAAGGGGTCTTAAATTCATCCCCACACCAGTGACAAACACAGGTCACGTTAGAGCAGAACTATTAAAAGATTTCAACGCTTTCGCTAGACGAATGCGTCTACAATATATCTTTCATGGAAAAGATAAAGAGCAACACCCCTTTCATGTAAAGTCAGACTGGGAGCCACCAGTTCAGCCATCAGTCGCACTAGAAACATACCTAGAAGAGGTTAAATTACAACTTGCTAATATAAATACAATCACGCCTAGAAACAATCTACCCAAGAGGGAACAACTTGCCATTAAACAACTGAAACAAAACTCGGACATCAACATTAAACGAGCAGATCATAAAGGCTCTTCTATTGTTGTTCTCAACAAAGAAGACAAAATAAAGAAGGTCAAATACAATTAGATGATAGAGAAAACTACAAACCCTTACAAACACCAATGGTAGTAGAAACCTCTAAAAGGGTCAAGAAATTGATAGATAAGCTTTACAAAGAGAAACATATAGACGAGATGAGAAGACGATGGCTATCCCTGACGCCAAATCCACCGCGAATACCACAATTCTACACTCTCACAAAGATTCACAAACCAACACCAGTTGGAAGACCGATCATATCAGGCTGAGAAGGCCCGACGGAAAGAAAGTGTGGAAGAGATTTACCGATGACATATTCTCATTGTGGAATGTAGACAAAGAAGAAATATACTCATTCATCGAACAAGCAAATAACCATCACCCGACCGTAAAATTTACTGCTGAAGTTTCAGAAACAGAAGCCGCCTTTCTGGATACATGTATTTACAAAGGAGAAAGATTTACGAAGGAATCAATCCTAGATGTGCGTACACACTTCAAACCGACAGAAACTTTCCAATCAATACACGTACTTCTCTTCATGTCACCCCCCAGGGGTAAAGAAAGGATTCATAAAAGGCGAGGCCTTAAGATTACTCAGAACAAACTCTTCTGAGAAAATGTTCGAAGAGAACATAACTAATTTCAAGCGAAGACTCCGTATGAGGGGTTATAGAGATAAAGTGATAGATAAACAACTATCAGAAGTCAAGCATCACGAAAGAATGTCGGCTTTGCAAAACAAAACAAAAACGCACAAGAAAATATCACCCTTCCTGACAGAGTATCGCCTCTCAGTACCGAATCGAAAAAAAATCATCATGCACAAATGGTATCTTATAGAAAACCAACCGTTGCTTAGAGAAATCTTTAAAGACCCTCCCATAATATCTTACAAAAGAGGAAAGTCACTACAAGATATACTCGTAAGAGCTAAACTATGAAGGTAAGGTCAAAGCAACAGCAACTGAGCCAAAGATAGACGTGAATAGCCTGTCAACATTATGAACAACTCAAACTATGAAGCTTAAAGGTCAAAGATATACAACAACTTGGCCAAAGGGAGTCGTGTATGGCCTGTCAACATTATGAGTCATGTATCACGCTTCTTTGTACGTGCATTTTTTGCCGCTACTGCACGACTATGACGTGCGCTAGGAAGCGCCTACTTTCATTCAAAGCTTAAAGAAAGTATGCTAACATTTCACTAATTGAACGGGGGGAAAGTCGAAAAAGCGAGAAAAAGTTTGTAAAAGCCGCGACTTCACTTTTTGAGTGACGATTTTGTAGCAGCCGCTGCCTCCGTGTATTGTTGGTTAAGATTCCTAGGAGTACTCTACAAACAGTCCTTATATTTTCAGTCAATTTCAAGAAATGTTAATAAAGGGTTAACGTCGTCCGTTTCGTGCTAGGTCCATGGAGCTGACAGTTGATGATCAATAAAAGTATGCAAAGATGGGGCGGAATGCAAGTATCATACACACTTCACGTAAAGGGAAGCAAGATATTACAGATCAATATTTATTTAAGAAAAAATTACAAAAAAGAACTTTATCAATATACAGGGATGAAAACTGAGTTTGATAGGGAAGGAAACAAATTATGCATTATGCGTTAGAAAGTTAGAATTACATTTTCCGTTGAAAGATTATTACATTTTGCGTTAAAAATGTTATTACATTTTGGGGCGATTCTTAGTGCATCTTGCGTTAGTAATGCAATTTGCGGCGATTATTACATTTCGCGGCGTAGTAGTGGTGTCATGTAACAAAGTCGTAGTAGTAACAAACCATGGTGTTACAGCTTCTGGGGGCGTGACCAGAACTGATTTGACCTTTGCTCCAAGCAGGAAAATAAAAAGCGAAAATCGATACACAATGAACAGTTTGAAAAGGACACAAAAGAGTTGTAATGTTATGTGGTGATTAAAAGTGGAATAAACAACGCACGTTTAAATTTGCTTGGGCCCTTTTATTCCAAACTATCAATATTCCTGTCTTCATTTACAAAGTCTTTGAGCTAAATTACACCGGATCTTGTGCGTAAGGAAAATATAATTTTGAACATGCCAATAAGAGATTTTCACGACTTTGTAGAAAATTCCCTGACCTTGATTTTTTTTTTTTTTGCTTTACCTTGACACGTCCTTACCCGACACTCTGTATATGTTGCTACAAGCAATGAAAGTTAGATTGTTAATATTAAACATTTTGGTACAATATTTCCCCAATTATTAACAAAATAATAACACGTTTTAAAATTTCCCTGTTATTCTCGACATTATTATTATTGGCCGCTCACATGACAGACGAGCGGATGATTCGGATAAATGGCGTCAGACAAATAATTTGTCTTGATGTGAAAACGGAACGGTTACTTAAATTAAATTTGGGACTAATAATCTGTCTGACCTTAACTGTCTGTCGTTATCCGTCAAGAAGGATAGTTAACCCGCCTCTTTTGTGAAACAAAATCGAAATATAAGTGAATTACCGGAAACCTAGTTTAATATACATGGGGCCTGATATGGTAGTTCGGGGCCTGATATGGTAGGTCGGGGCCTGCCTGGGGCCTGATATGGGGGGTGTAATATGGTATGGAACGTTCCAACCTTAGTAGAATTGTTTGGCAGAAATTTTGTGTTTACAAATGTGAGCCTCTCATTATTCAGGGTATTGTCTCTCAGTTTCATATTTTCACGCATAACAATAGCTAATTTGCATATGTCAAATGCATTGTTAGTTACCGTTGCTCACGTGAAAATGAAACTTGGAGACAAAGCTCGACAAGCCTTGAATAATGAGAGGCTTTCACTTGTAATAACGAAACTTCCGATAAAAAATTAACGAATTGTAGCCCTTATTTTACTGCCTTACAATGTATCAATAATCTTGAAACTAAAAGGTCATATAAAAGAAAGGTTAATCTCAAGAATCTTAAATTTTAAAACAAATCTATTCAGCGGTTTAAAAACTATTTGCTAATTTGTTAAAGAAGACCAAAATGTTTACAAAACTGCTATCAAGAGCCGGCTTCGATGCATGCTAATAAAACCCTTCTTTCTAGCAATCGGCTGGAGCTATCTCCATGATCTTTCACACACGTGTTTAAAAAGATTGAAACTATTTAGTGAAATTGCATGTAAAAAGCGCTTCATTTTCTACAGATAACGGCCAAACAACAATATTGTCGATTTTTACTGTGTTTCTAACCACAAAAACTTCATCCCAAAATTCTTGAAGAAATTCATCAGGCTAGTGAAGTTAAACAGTCGATTTAAATGTTCTTAAAACATAGCCAGTCTTAAAGTCTTATTGATGCTGACAGTTTCGATGATTGTCAGCCATTTTTATCAAAACTTGGAAAACATTAAAAGTGTTAATTAGTGATCTCCACCCCCAAACCAGGTGGGGAGGGGGCGTCTACAGAGTGACTTTGCGCGTTTATCGCAATAATTAACACCTTCAGAAGCCTATTTACGGCTTCTGACACTTTTAATGTTTTTCAAGTTTTGATAAAGATGGCTGACAGTCATCGAAACTGTCAGCATCAATAAGATGTTAAGACTGGCTATGTTTTAATAACATTTTAATCGACTGTTCATCCCAAAATATCTCGATAACGCTCTTACAGATTGCGCTTAAACTTCACGAACATCGAAGCCGCTATTGGAGAAAAAAGCTCCCGTGAACGATTTTGGAAGAACAGTTCCCAGTGCCGAGATATACTGCTGCAAGTAAAATAGGTAATAGCGTCATTTCGTTGCTATGACAACTCCGATGCCGTTGCAACCCTGATCGTAACAAACTTTCATCTTTATCTAATACAACTGTGGTGGCAATTTTTCCAAAACTTTGTTTATGGCGACGTAGTTTATGCTCAAACTTGGGGGGTATTGGCCCTGAAAAACTGTATCGAGCCACCTTAAACCTTTTAGCTCTCCCCAACAACGCATAATTTATTATAAATTACAAGAGGTATAGCGAAGAGTGATCAAACCAAAAATTTGTAGGCCCGGGCCTACAGGTTCATGGGCTGGCTACGCCCCTGGCTTCAAAAAGGAGCATAACAGTCTCTTGCACTGATTAAAGATGTGTAAGGCATGGGTAAATTAGCTAAATGTTTTTGTTTGACTTTGGGGTCTTCGTGCAGCATTTTGTAATTTTACATGCATCATAAAACAGTTCGGAAAAAGCAGCAATTTATGATTAAGGGGACATTTTGGAACACAACGTGAAAATAAATAATAACATCAATGAAAAGGAAACACGTAAAATGTCCCGACCTTTTCCTCTCAAAAAGCTGTAATGTAAACGGTAGACGTTCTCAAGGACTGATGGCTGCTCCGGGCATGATACGAACACCTTGATATTATAACGATCATCTTTCCAATAAAACCTTTCAGAAACAACTTGAAGTCTTGCAAGATAATTCAAAAACGATATTTTTCCATATTCGGTGAACACCTGGTAAATTGAGAAAAATAGAAAACTCAAAAGATTGTCCCATCCATCCTCGCCAAGATATCCAAACGCATCACGTCGAGCTACATGTAATGGTAAAAAGAGACTGCAATGTCCTAAGGTTTGGCTACGTGGACGTCAGCCGTTAAAGTTGAGTCATGACTTAGATGGCTGCCCACTCCATGTGGCCTTCGGGACGACGCGACGGTAAGGTGAATTCGTTCCATGCTACATGTTAACGATGCAAAATAAAAACATTAAAGCCTTTCCTTGATACTTTCAGATGACCACAAATGATCGATATTTGCCCCTTTTTGCTACGAAGCAAGCAAACCAACGCTTGTAAAGAGATGGTAGAGCGTATTTTGAGGGTCTCAATGGGGTAGTGGCTTTTACGGTTATCGGCTAAAATTTTGGCTTTTTTACGGCTATCGGTTAATTTTTTTCAGTTACGGTTAACAAAAAAGTTAAAAATTAACTTCTTTTGTTTCAAAAAGTTAAATATTAATTAACCTGTATTTTTTGTATCTTTTAATAAAGCAAAATATAGATCTTGGGATCATCTCGGGATTAAATAAGCTATTCTTTTGATAGATCATACTTTTTATGAAGTATTCCACTTCTAATATTATTTTACACATACAAATGTCAATAGTCAATTTAAAATTAATCTTTGTGAAAAAGCAAAGCACACACGCCCAACTCAAGGCCGAGGCGCGACATTCATTACAACAGAAATGGCCGTTTTCACACTACAGACGGATTATTCGTGTGAGATGGGTTATCCGTTTGATGACTCGCGTCAGAAAGGTAATACGTCTTAATTTGAAGATGGAATAGTTTTAATTTTGAATGAACAATCCGCCTGACTTTATTCGTCAATTTCGACGGACACTGTTTGAAGACGGGATAATATTATCTGTTTCTGTGTACAGCCGCCCCTTCCCCTCAGAAAAAATCGGAGAAGGGGTGTCTGTCGGGAAGGGGCTAGTCTCAGACGGATAATCCATTTCTAGCTCTAGTGTGAAAACGGCCAATAACAAAATTCCCGTGTCCAGTGTTTTTAATGATAGCGAAGGACTGTACGGAACCACTGTCAGCGGTTGCCTTGTCCGTAGGCCTCATTAGGGAGTTTTAGCAAAGACGACGGCGACGGCAACCAGGACGTCAAAAAAGCAATAGGTTTATTACGCAAAACAACAACTTTGCACGTGCATCACGCTTTTTTGTACATTTCTTTACCGTTCTTGCACGACTACCACGTGAAAATGCCTAATTGCAAGTTTTATTTTATAAACAAGCGACGACTCTTTTTTCTCTCTCTAAACTTGAGTGCGGTCCTCAAGAAATCAACTCCAGGGAAATTCGCCTACACTTGCCATTTTCAGCAAATTGGCTATTACGCGCGGCTATTACGTTTCGGGTCACGTGGTCCCAGCGAGTTCGCCACCGAAATGCCTTGACCGAGATTGCGTGGGAAGACGCCGTACAGGGACTAGGCCTGGCAATGTCTACCGTGGCGTCAGAGAAAAACAGGGACATGTTGTTTATTGGCAACGTGTTTTACAAACAGTGACATCTCTGCGTGTTGTTTTACTAGTGTGTCGAGGGCACGACCTCCTGAAAATCGCAAATATTTATCCCCAGCAAGAAGCCACACTTTCGCTCTTGAAACTAGCCGGGAAATAAAATACGCAACCATGAGTGAGTTTAGTACCTTTCTTAAAAGTAGCAACTCTGGGGAAACTCACTCATAACAGGCCAGAGCGCCGATTTTAAGTACTAGGCGACTTTGAAAGACACGTGCCTCACATATTTGTGGCGGATTAGAATGCCGGCTTGGTCAGAGGCCCTTTGTTTAAAACATGGCGGGATACTCGCAGCTTAAGGCAAGCATGCGCCTTGTAGCTGTCAACATAATGCTTTTTAATTACATTCTGTCATAATTAACAAAACCCGATCCATGTTTGATTGAAAGTAATTGTACAAATCTGGTACCAGACAAACCGCTTTTAAAAAACAAAAACACAAAACTAGTTTATGGTTATTTCTCATTAATTTCACTTGATCAAAACAAATATTTACTTTGATCAGTTTTCCCGTTTCTTTCAAAACATCCTTCATTTCCGGGCGTTTCACCGTAGTCAATGAAAGATGCGTTTTATCGGTCTTCTTTTTCGCGGGAATATCAAAATTTCCATCTTTCAAAACGCGATGAACCAAAGCTCGCAGGATACCAAAGCGCCAAAGGCGCACGATGCAGTCCCGGTGTTTTGTGAGCATCCGTTAAAAATATTGAACGCCAAAACTATCAAGTTTTGGTACAGCGAAAGGCAGCTAGTTTCTGTACCCAAAGGTTAGTGCATGGACAGGCTATCGAAAGAAAATAAAAGGGATGGTTGCCCAATGGATAGAAGGCCTAACTACGCAAAATAAATGTCTCATTGCCTCCTTGTCTGCGAGGTTAGTACTAAATTTACACTCTAGAATACATTACAGAACTCAATCAGCAACACTTTGCAAGTAGAATTGGTGATCAGTGTGGGCAATTTATATTTCTAAGGGACGTCCGTCGCACAAAGGCTTAACGCGCGGGGGTTTTTAGTCAATGACTGACATAACAGTTTCCTCACAATCGACCCAGTTAGAATGCGATAATGTGCGAGTGAACTTTGCCTACAACTGGCAATAAGCTGAATAAACCGGAAGCTGAACACTATGAATAAGTTACCTAATTACATCGCAAGTTCTTTTTCTTTTTTTTCAACTACCGGAGAGGTTTTTCGTGCATTCTGTTGCGCAGTTTGGCAGTGATATTCCTGCAATGGTTTTAGTACTGGTCCCGTTGCCGAAACCTTGCACCAGCAAGATACGGTAATCGAGAGTCGAGAATCGAGAATCGATATTGTACTCGGGACAAGAAAAGGTCGCCGTCCAAGGAACAACAGATGAAAAGCAAGAGCTTCAAGCTGCTGAGAATCGCCAATTCTGGATTACAAGCAGTGAAGGAACTCCTGAGAAGCGTCCAAATTATAAAGGAACTTTGGAGGCAAGTCAGCCACGGTGATTGTCGCACCACGCATAAAGTAGAATAAATTTGTTAGCCTGGTCTTGTCTTTGCCACAAATCACGTAAAACTATAAAGAAGGTACCACTATGAACTCTGGAAAATGAAAATTCAATAATACTATGGTTGACGACTGACAGTTTAAAAGAGAGACAACCTTCTCCTCAGAATCTTGGGCGCGCCGCCTGTAAGCTCCGAGGGAGAGGGAAGCCCCTTAATTTGGCCTATTTCAAAAACAAATGACACTACAAAAATAACCTACAATTATAATTTCAAAAGAGAGACTACCATGACCTCAGAATCTTGGGCGCGCCGCCTGTAAGCTCTGAGGGAGAGGGTAGCCCCATATTTTGGCCTATTTCAAAACAAATGACACTACAAAGAAGAACTAAAATAATAATTTGAATGATGACCGACATTTCAAAAGAGAGACTACCATCACCTCAGAATCTTGGGCGCGCCGCCTGTAAGCTCTGAGGGAGAGGGTAGCGCCATAATTAATTTGGCCTATTTCAAAAACAAATGACACTACAAAAATAACCTACAATAATAATCTGGATAATGACCGACATTTCAAAAGAGAGACTACCATCACCTCAGAATCTTGGGCGCGCCGCCTGTAAGCTCTGAGGGAGAGGGTAGCCTCATAATTTGGCCTATTTCAAAAACAAATGACACTACAAAAATAACCTACAATAATAATTTGGATAAATGACCAACATTTTAAAAGAGAGACTACCATCACCTCAGAATCTTGGGCGCGCCGCCTGTAAGCTCCGAGGGAGAGGGTAGCCCCATAATTTGGCCTATTTCAAAACAAATGACAAAACAAAGATGACCTACAATAATAATTTGGATAATGACCGACATTTCAAAAGAGAGACTACCATCACCTCAGAATCTTGGGCGCGCCGCCTGTAAGCTCTGAGGGAGAGGGTAGCCCCATAATTAATTTGGCCTATTTAAAAAACAAATGACACTACAAAAATAACCTACAATAATAATTTGGATAATGACCGACATTTCAAAAGAGAGACTACCATCACCTCAGAATGTTGGGCGCGCCTCCTGTAAGCTCTGAGGGAGAGGGTAGCCCCATATTTTGGCCTATTTCAAAACAAATGACAGTACAAAGAAGTACTAAAATAATAATTTGAATAATGACCGACATTTCAAAAGAGAGACTACCATCACCTCAGAATCTTGGGCGCGCCGCCTGTAAGCTCTGAGGGAGAGGGTAGCCCCATAATTTGGCCTATTTCAAAAACAAATGACACTACAAAAATAACCTACAACAATAATTTGGATAAATGACCAACATTTTAAAAGAGAGACTACCATCACCTCAGAATCTTGGGCGCGCCACCTGTAAGCTCCGAGGGAGAGGGTAGCCCCATATTTTGGCCTATTTCAAAACAAATGACAAAACAAAGATGACCTACAATAATAATTTGGATAATGACCGACATTTCAAAAGAGAGACTACCATCACCTCAGAATCTTGGGCGCGCCACCTGTAAGCTCTGAGGGAGAGGGTAGCGCCATAATTAATTTGGCCTATTTAAAAAACAAATGAAACTACAAAAATAACCTACAATAATAATTTGGATAATGACCGACATTTCAAAAGAGAGACTACCATCACCTCAGAATCTTGGGCGCGCCACCTGTAAGCTCTGAGGGAGAGGGTAGCCCCATATTTTGGCCTATTTCAAAAACAAATGACAGGACAAAAACAATCTACAAAAATAATTTGTATTATGACCGACATTTTAAAAGAAAGACTACCTTCACCTCTGAATCTTGGGCGCGCCGCCTGTAAGCTCTGAGGGAGAGGGTAGCCCTATAATTTGGCCTATGACACTACAAAAAGCACCTACAAAAATTGTTTGGATTATGACCGACATTTCAAAAGAGAGACTACCTTCACCTCAGAATCTTGGGCGCGCCGCCTGTAAGCTCTGAGGGAGAGGGTAGCCCTATAATGTGGCCTATTAATTAAGTAAAAAGCAAGTAACAATACAAAGGTAACCTGAAATAATAATTTTTGGATTATGATTGACATTTCAAGGAGGCTAAAATGACTGATATAGAAACCATACTGTATCTGTGACGTTGATTATACAGATCGCCCACGCGAACACGAAGATGTTGAAGTGGAAGCTAGAATATCTGGAGTAATCCAGCGTCTTGGGCTCCTTCCAGCGAATAAGATTTTGGCGGGATTTCGACAGTGCTTGGCGGGCTTTTTGGAGAGTGATTTGTCACTGGAGGCACATCGACACGTACATCGTCTTAAGCCAGAGAAAAAAGACTTGAATCCTTCGCCGTTTGATCAAAAAGGTAGTCCATTGAATCAGATAATCGGTGTTGCTGTTCCTCAAGGGGATGTGAAGTAGAGCTCGAGCTCTCGCCTTCGTTTTCTCCGGCGACTATAAAATGTGCATTGTTGACGGCTTTTCTCAAACGTTCAAATAGAGAAGATTTAAAAATTTCTTTGGTCAGGGTCTTTTCCAAGCCGAGTTCCTTCCAAACTGGAGAAAGATGTGCCAGCAGAGAGTGTATTCCTACTTGCGGCTCCACAGTAAAAACTTGATACGCCGACTCGCTGTTTTCGCTTCGAAGGTCACCAATGTTGACACGGCATACCACTCTTGGCAGAAGTTAAATAAGCCATCGGAGCACTATTTTCTTAAAAGAAAGCACTTGAAAAACCATTGAAAGCGTATCAAGCCTATTTGAATCCAAATGCGGCGAGAAAACTGTAGTTATCAATTGCGAAGCCAGAGGCGCGAAGATCGACTTCCAAATTTTCAATCGACCGTGAAATGAATTTATAATACCCAAATAATCTGATCAAATTTCGCGTTTCCTTGAGATGTCTGGTTCGTTTAATCAGAAGTACAAAGTTCCTTGACAGGCAATGTGTCCGGTGCTCTCCAAAGGTGTCTGGAGGAATGCTTAAAACTAATTACCTTGTCTGTTATTGGAAACCGATTTGCGGTGGTTGCTGTGGAGATTAGGCCTCCTCCTGCGCGCACTAAAATCGGGCCTCTGGCCTGTTATAGTTTCTTTTACGGTTAACTCTTTTTTACCCTATTTACGGCTAACGGTTAAAATTTTTCAATTTTTACGGCTATCGACTAAATTTTTGGCCGTTTTACGCCTATCGGTTAACCCCATTGAGACCCTCTATTTTGTATTCAGGGGCACCCAACGACGGTTTCCTCCCAAATTCATTTAAATCACTTTTAAGGCTATCCAGAGTATATTAAGACCTCTAGAAATACATTCTAAACGGTGCTATAAAATTTGTATCTGCTCGGTCATCCTAGGGGAACTTCAGTCTTTTCGAAATTACAAGGGCTTCAGTATTATTTTCCCGAAAATTTTAGATGCAATTTAGCGCATTACGAAAAAAAAAAGCAAGCGGCGGAGACGCTAACTTGTAGGGGGTTCTGCGGGAATTCTCCGCCAGAAAATTTGAAATCATGAAGCTCGGAAATATTACTTTCAGCATTCTCGACGAGATATCAAAAAAATAAACGTGGATCAACCGTAAAATGACAGATGTTTCTAATTCTTATTTGTTACTTGACCTTACTTGATACATATATAACTTTTTACATATATCCCAGCCTTACGTAAGTATTCCAGCCTTATTGTGTACACTAAATTATTTTACTACAACGCTCGACTATTGTAGCAAGAGCGACAAGGTTGAAAATTAGTGGTGTAAAATCACTTGTGTTACATTAAGATGCTAATCTTGACAGCATATGACAAATTTCAACTATAAAACAAATCGAAAAGTTTTGACAAATCGGGAAGTGAAGGGCTAATGCAAAATCGCCTGCGAGAAAGGGCAATACGATTTTCCTAACTCGTCCCTAGTCGTCTCTCGTTTTTATTCACAAGCTGAATCGTGAGAATACTGAGGGAAAAGAACAAGTTGATAGGCTGAAGTCAATTTCCTTGAACAATGCATGTACAGTTGTAAGGAGAGATTTTCCATGAATTCTTTATTTGCCTCGAGTTTCATATATAGCTTTCAAATATTTGCTTTGACGTTGTTCTTAGTAATTCATACTGAATTTGCATAAAGAAGTTTCAGCTCCGCAAAAGGGCTCGTGCCATTTTTATTATCCTTTGTTTCATTTGCTTTATGTTCGCTAGGTAATAATCATAGAAAAGCCAACAGTGTTCCTTAACAAACAAAACTAATTGCTCGTTCTCTTTTCAATTATATACATTTTACGTCAATGTTGACTCTTGAAAGAATACTTAATTTCTTAATAATGGTTTATTTGACTTTAGTCTATTTTTCGTGATTTTACTATCGGACGACATTCATTCATAGAAACGCCTTTCGTGCAGGTGCATCTCGTTTTAATTGCAACTTAGTTATATTTGTTTGCGAAAGTATATTTCATTAAGTTATTAGTTAAGCAGAGGTGATAACCGAATTTTGAATATGAAAGGTTTTGCTGTCTTGTAATTTTAAAATTAGATCGGTTTTTGTTTAAGTTGAAACTTCCAATTAGTCTGCCCTTGTCCTGTTTAAACAGCCGATAGCTGGACTTGCAATTTTATTCATATTGTAACACTTTGTACATAAACGCTGTTTTGCTGACCTGGCTAGGTCTTTGTCTCAGTACTTTTACTTTCTAAAATAGCAACAGTAACAAAAGATTTCAGGTTTAAAATAGAATTTGTATTTAGTTTTCATTTAACTCTTAGTGATTTCTGTTTATATTTCTATTGTATTCTTTTGTCTTCAATGGTTGTAAAAATCATATATAAGTAAGTTAGTTTTACTGATTTTTCGATTACATCGCCGATTACATTGCTGATTACATCGTCGATTACATCGCCGATTACATCGCCGAGTCCTAGCCGAGTTATTGCTGTTGATCCGCTGAAGAATAAACGCTGTTGGAACCAAGTTTAGTCTGTTTTATCTACTGCTGTACCAGTTAGTGGTCTGATCCCGGGCCTCGAGAGAAGTGACGGCTCTTCCCCGCAAGCGAGTTGCCATTTGAGTCTAGTTTTCCCCAGTTTTATCGTGAGTCAAGCACCGAGTTCCCGTTGAGCCTTAAATTCGTTTCAGGGGGGAAAAACCTTCCGTCACACAGTAACCGGCAAGGGAAAACAACAAGTCCAACGGCTGAAGTCAGCAGTAGTAAATTTGCCGCAATTCCTTTCACGATTTTCGTTCAGGGATACAAATGAATTTGCCACAGAAACTAAACAAAGCTTATCACATGTATCTTTATGTGTGTTCAAAATCGCAAGATGGTTGAAACGTGCTTGCAACATTCTTGATCGAAGCCACGTCTTGATTCTCCTAGCTGTTGAGAAGGACCTCTCCCCTGTTGCACTTGTCGCAGGATTGACGTGATTCAACTTGCAAATTGAACAACAATGACGTTGGCGATCAACTGTCGCTCGACTGGCTGCAGATCTTGGACTTCCCTCAAAATTTCCTGAAAGCAGCGTAAAGGGACTCCTCGCATGAGCACTTGAAATGTACTTAATTGAGCAACAAGGGCGGTGATATTGACATCGCCGCTGAACTTCGATGCCAAATCGTCTACCTCTTTTTTTAAATGTTTATTTTTTGTTTGAAATTGGCGGGGCTAAAGCCCCCCCCCCAACCCCCCCGGCTCCGCCGTCCCTGTTGTAGCTGTTGTGGGTAAACGAGAAGTTAAGATAGCGACAACCAAGTAATATTCACCGCTTGCTCCTTTTAAACCGTTTTATCGTTTCAATCATTTTTAATTGAACTGTAAGCAAATATTTTTGTCCCTTTTCTTCCATTTCCCCTCGAAAAACCCGGCCCACTAGTGCACGATATTATAGCTAATTTTCATTAACGTACAGAACTTTTAAATTGCTGAATTACGAAGGTAAAGCGCGCGCATCACAACTAGTTAGTCACCCTGAAGAAGATCACTGAATGTGATGGAAATATAGGTGGATTGAAAGGAAACTGTTTTCTGTCTTCATTTGTGATTAAGATATATTTGTCTTTATGAGGACGGGAGAGAGGGATGCTTGGGACAACTTTTTATATACATACATTTGCAGAATACCAGTTGTATTAGAAAACCGCAGGTCATCTCATGCGGGGGGAGGGGGGGTGCGCACCCCCTGCACCCTCCCCCTAGATCCGCCCCTGGATTATTCCTTGTCCCGAAACTAGCGCATAATTTCACAGCTATTTTATATATTCCATTTTACCTTCATTCGCAGTGGCGCAATCAGCTAATCCCTCAACTTACGGCCTGTTTACATGGAAGTGGGGGACTCCAGGTAGGTCAGAGGTAACCTGTTTTGGTGGGGTAACCCGTCTATCCATATAATCTCTCATTTTAAGTTGATCACGTTTACGTGATAGGTGGGTACGGATCCACTACAGGTTTCCTCACCTATCTGGAGTCCCCCACCTCCGTCCGCCCTTGGAGTCCCCCTGAGTCGATTCAAACCCTGGGAAAGCCAATAAAATAAATATTTCTTCCTCGAATAAATTGAAAAATAAATAAATAAATAAATAAAGCAACTGTGGGACATTCCTGAGCGTCGTGAATCCTTTACTTGGCGCTCCGCCTAATTAAAAACTAAGACCCTGTTTACGGGAGTGGGGGACCCCGGTCTAGTGGGGTAGGTTTCTTTTGTTTTGTGTCCCCTAGAGCGTGAAAACAAAAGAAACCAACCCCACTAGACCGGGGTCCCCCACTCCATGTAAACAGGCCCTAAAGAAGGAGTCTCGTTCTTTAGTATTAACTGCCGGGGTAAAATAATCATCTCGAAAAATAAGGCTTTAAAACTTGCTCGGGACGGCGAAAAAACATGAAAGACAGAAATAAGTTAATATTTCGTTTGAACTTCGCCTGAACACTGATTTAGGTTCCAATCTGTACTTTGGAGTAACAACAGAAGGCAGGAGCCCATCAAATGATTTGATGGGCTCCTGCAGAAGGTGGTTTGCCTGTGGTGGCACGCAATAGGTGATCTTGCACCTACCTCCCATACGGGCATACGGACAGAGCGATTTTGTATTCTGCAAATTCTGCTGTGCCATTGAAACCTGGCTACCCACCTCACCTTAACATCACAGCATAACTGAAGATGATTTTGACGATGATCACTGCTATTCCGTTAATATACCCTTCTTCCGTCGTTTGAGATTGTCTGACATTTTGTCGACGAGCCGATGTGACGGTTCACCGCGAAGAAGAAGAAGAAGACGACGACGACAGCTCCTTTCGCATGGTAGACTCGAGGTCATACCTGGTCATGCTTACGTCGTCAGGACGATCAGCGAGAAGACCACTACGTCTTGACTTGTAACGGATAGAGAGGTTAGAGGTAGAGGTTACGAGCGAGGTGACTGACGCTTTCCCCGGTGTCTTATTAAAGTTTCTAGTTCGAAGGCAAGACGTCTCCATGCGTGAAGTGAGAGCAACTGCCTCCCCCCCCCACTTCGTTTTCTGTTTCGAACACGGTTCAGCTTCAGTATTCGTTTACGAACCACAAAAGAAAAAACACACCAAAAAAACAGCAGTTTACCCTGGCTATGATGAACGCGGATCAACCGCTATTGTTTTCGATACGCGAATAATAACTAAGTCAACTAAGAATTTCAGAACTGTAGTGGCTTATTTACAACGCACCGCTATCCACGTTTTCTAAAATTTCGACAAAGACAAATGATTTTGCAGTTCAAGTCTGACAGCGAAGTGAAGCATTGAGAAACGCCGACATACCTGGCAAGGCCTCAGCCAGTGTTAGGTATCTCTTTTGGGCCCAAGCCTTCTGAACGAAAGGCTGGCGATTAGCGGTTTTCATTTGGGCCTGTCCCGATTGTGGTTGGCAACTTTTGGCGTTTTTAGTTCTAGCAACCTTGAGGAACTTTAACCTTTCTGAGCAATTTTTGAGCAAAATATCAAGCGCGAAAAAGTTAACGATTTCACAGAAAACTTTAATTTATAATTATTCTTGAAAGTTGATCAACCTTTGAACAGGCTTAAAAAGGCATTTAAGCGCAGTCAACACATAAGCAGGAGCCGAGTAATGGACTCCTGACATAAATAAACACAGGAAAAAGCTAAAGATAAGTCAAAAAGGAAATTCAATGCACATTTCGCTTTGACTTAAGAAATAATAATAATTAATTAACTAAGAAATGAATTTATAGGCGTAGCAAAGAGCTGAAAAGTGAACTTAGAGTTTGAAAAGTTGGGTGACGTCATCATATATCCAGTTCTGGTTGTGGCCCGAACTGTAAGTATTAAGTAGAATAATGTTGTTCAGGTCTCTCATTGTGAGCTGGGCTACCCATGGTTAGAGTATTACCTGGGCTTTTAGGGGCTGTTTACATGGAGATGGGGCACCCCAGTAGTAGGTGAGGTAACTCGCTTAGGTGGGGTAACCCGCCTGTCGTGATCACGTTTACATGATAGCTGGGGTGACCCGCCAGATGTCTCCCACCTCCATTTAATATCAAGAAATTTAAGTGGCAGCTTTTGAAATTTAGCAACCTCGTCCCCACGGCGCTTTAGCAACTTGTTACCAGGATTTTTAGCAATTTTTTAGAACCTTTTTGGCATTCCAGTGAGCACTTTTTACAGCATTTTCGAGCGCAATCGGGACAAGCCATTTTCATTTGGCGGCTGTACGGGGTGGCGGGGGAACGAGAAGACCCTGGGGACGAGGTTAGGTATTTCGTTTCCACGTTCATTTGAGACAGCGGACAACCCGTGTAAGCCCATGATGCAACTAAAACTGAAAGGAAAAAGTAGAAAGTGTTAAAATTGTGTAACTACATTTTGTATATTCCGTTCAAAAATTGCCTTTTTTACGTTTTTCTCGACAGCATGATGTTCTCGCCCTCTGGAGTCAGTCCTCAGGTAAGTTCTAAGTGTTGTGCTGATTAAAAATGAGACAATCTTAACTGCGAATTTTGTGACGCTGCGAAGTCTCGAGTCTCGTGCTGGTTTTCATGGGTTTGTTTTTTGAAAGACAATATGTGGAGATGTATTCAGAATTTGTTATGTTCTCGTGTATAATTGTTTGAGTAGCTTGTTTTATGAAATCGTTACAACAGATTATTATTTTATTACAGAACAGCACTGAAGTTCAATGCGCGTTATAAGTTGCTCGCGAGGCCAAGGGCGGTCGGCCGGACGGGCCGGTCATCCTACAACATTCGGTTTGTTGTGTCTCAAATTAGACATTTCAGGGACAAAAATGTAGCAAACGTAACTTGAGCAAATCTATGTTAGCTTTGTGTAGTAAATGTTCATAACATGACTAAAGAGAATGAGAGCAACTTCAGAATGCAGGGCCAAATTGTAAGGATAATTTTTCACGGAAGTGGCTCAGGGGCTCGCTATGTTACTAGTCATGACGATTATTTAAAGTAATAATAACATAATAATAATAACATTTATTTATACCGCGCAAATTCAACTATACAGTTTTTAAATGCACCTTACAATTAAAGATCTAAAAATATACCGTAACAAAAAAAAAAAATTACAACATTAAATTACAACATTATATCAGAAAAGGCTTTTTTAAAAAGGTAAGTCTTCAAATTACGTTTAAAAATTTGAAAATCGGAGGTGCATCTAAGATCTAACGGAAGATTATTCCATAGTTTTAGTGCGGTGGCTACAAAGGCTCGGTCACCAAGAGTAGGGAGAGTCCTAAAGTTAGGATTTGAAAGCAGATATTTGTTATTTGATCTGAGGCTGTAGGAAGAATTAGGTTTAAAATTAACAAGAGATGATAAATAATTAGGAGGTGTTCCATGGATTGCTTTGTGAGTGATTATAATAAGCTTAAATTCTATTCTAAACGTCACAGGCAGCCAGTGTAATTCGTATAATATTGGTGTGATGTGGCAAAACTGTGGTGCTAGATATAGAACTCTTGCAGCTGCGTTTTGAACACGCTGCAGTTTAGTGAGGGCGCAGTGGGTAGTCCATATAAAAGTGAGTTACAATAGTCCAATCTGCTTGTGATGAAAGCGTGCACTAATTTCTCGGCAGATTCTATGCTTAGATATTTTCTGACGCATCTAATATTGTGTAGATGAAAAAAAGCACTCCTACAAGTTTTGGTTATGTTAAAATTCAGGTTGAAATGGCAGTCAAACCAGGCCCCTAAGTTTCTAAGGGGTTCTGTGCTAGGAGAGATGTTGGATTCGCCAATAGTTACAACCCTCAAAGTTAAAATTTTTGTTCAGTGGCCATTTGGCGATCAGCTCTTTGGGTTTAGTCGCCAGGGGAAATTTTTAGGCGCCAAATTATATTAATAAATTAATATATCAGAATTGTCATTGACAAAAGCAGTTAGCTAGTTTAACTTAAAATGCAGCACTGTCTATAAATTATTACTCGTTTATTGTGCAGGGCAACAGTTACTGATAGTCTGAGAATAAGGTTTGCAGATTCATCTCCTTGAATCAGTACTGAAACAGAATTGTAAAGACAATTACTATTTCCAGTTGTCTTTAGGGTCTTCAATCCTTCTGTATAATCCCCAGTTGGTATATGAGAGCAGAGCTTAACTCATCCTCTGTATGTCCCGGTTGCAACTTGATAGGCGACCTTTTTTTTTCCGATATTTGTTTCGCATTTCTTTTGCGACTTTTGTTGATGATGAACTTGTTTCACCAACTATCAAATATTTTTGGAGATTTAAAAGGTCGTTTTTAATATCGCTAGACATTGCGAAAGCCTGACAAAGGCGGGAGAGTATAGGAAGATCAACAAGTTGTCCAAATCAAACTGCTTTATAGAGATAACCACGCGCACGTGAAAAAAATGCTTTTCCCAATCAATTGAAAGGAACCCAAACAAAAATGCCGCTTATGAGATAATAAATTTTCCTTTTCCTTTATCATCGCTACAGGTGTTTAAAAAAAACATTTTTTGCAGCAACCATAAGCCGTCAGTTTTGCGATGTTTAGTTTCGCTTACAGTTATTGCTTTTGTTTACAAACCCGCGATTCAACTCGCAGCACGGTTCACATGTTACAGTTATCACATAATGTTCTGTGTTGAATTTGCACTAGTTTAGCTTTCTCTCTTCATGCTAGTAGATTGTTTCAGTATTAAAAAACCACCGAACTTGGCTAGACAAGCATTCCTAACATATCAAAGAAATTGTCACTGTCGATAAGCAAGGCGCTTCGATTGCGTGCCATTTGTCAGGTGTCAAAAGTTAAAATGTCACATGCAAGGCAATAGACTGAAGGCGATTAGGCGAACGAATGCAAGTCAAGTTTCATTGTGTTCATTTTCAAAACGCTTAGCTCTGAGACTTTTTAAAATTTAGCTTGTTTTTCAACGGAAAAGTAAAAAAGTAATGGAATTCAAATCAGCTAGAATAAATGTTCTTTATATTTCAGTAGCAGTGATTACCATTTCTGTTTCTATACACGATAACACGAACCTATTCGCCAGCTTGGCGACTATTCTCCAAATCAAGTCGCCAGTTCCAAAATTTTAGGCGCCATGGCGACTAAAATGGTCGCAACTTGGAGGGTTGAGTTAGAGTGGCGCTTTTAGTTTTCTGTAGCTGCGCCTTCGTCCCAATGAGCATAAACTCAGTCTTGGTATCATTGACCATGAGTTTGTCATTGATCATCCAGCTCCGGATGTCACAGAGGCACGCTTCCATTGCTGCAATGGCGGCGTCTTGATCAGAATCATCGTTTGGATTGAATGCCAAATAGATACCGGTATCATCGGCATAACTGTGCGCCATTGGCAAGTGCTGGCTAAAGTATGAGAAAAATAAACATATTACTTTTTAAAGTGCTAGATAGCAATTAAGGTATGTAGGTACAAGTTTGCAGAACAAGTGAAGTTATATATTGAGGTGGCTTAGTGGCTTGTCAGGTTAGGTTAGAGTCCTATAAAAGAATGATAAAAGGTATTTATTTTAGTGGCTTGGTGGCTCTTCAGTCGGGAATGCCGCTCCACCAAGCCATTTTTACCTCATTGACAAGTCACTGAGCTACTCAAAAACATAATTTTTAAAAAATAGGCCCTGCATTCTGTAGTTATGCCAGAGAATGGCTTGGTCAATTTCTTCCAAGCGTGCCTATTTTCACTCTCCCCACTTCTTCTGGTCATTTGTCAGACATTAATTTTAAATTTGTTACAGGGCCGTCAACTCTCCCGGATAATCCGGGAGACTCCAGATTTTGAACCGTTTCTCCCGGTGTCCAGATTAGAGTCTGAAATCTCTCGGATAATTGCCGAAGTTTGCCATTTCTTGTAGATTCGACTTTCTGACAACGAAATTTTAAATATTTTGGGTTGTTTGAGCTTATTTTACTGTTAACATCAAACGTTTCCCCACAAACTCCGGTATGCCATTGAAATATAGGCAATAATGTGATAGGAGGGAAGTAAACCTTTTAGGTCAAATGTTACAAAAATTCCAACAACATCAAACTTCAAATTCCAACATCTTTTTTACGCGTTTTTTTCACAAATGACGTAATGTGCCATGCATTATGACGTCATCTATTGTCCCTTCCCCATCAATTCTCAATATTTGAAGATGTGGAGGGTTGACAACCCTGTTGTTAATAAACTCTGGGGAGAAGGAAAAAAATTCTGAAAGAAGCTAAAAAGGCAAATCCATGTCTTAAAAATGAATGAAACCATTATAAAATTCACAAGTTATACTGAACAGCATCTGTCAGGGCTGTGCTGTAGCAGAGCCTGGTGGCCCCTGGGGCCTAACTTTTCCCCTCTGGTGACTAGAAAATCTCAGATTTTTTATACAAATCATATGCTGGGCACCCGAGAGTTTACAGTTTCAGAGCACTGGGCTCCCTTTAATTTTCGTTAGAGCACAGCCTTGATCTGTGCAATTTATACTTGGGAAACGAAACCAAACCAAAACTCACTCGAACTCCATTGAACCCAATCGGTTGGATTGTGGTTTAATTGGTGCGGTAACCGAATATAATCACACTGGAACTTTTCAGTGAGTTTGATTACCAAATTCAATCGAACCAATCAGATGAAATTAACCTGATTTGATTGATTTTGCTGGGCAGAGAGACAAAATGGTATAAAAATCAGTGAGCATTTAGTCTCGATTGAATCAGAAAGATTTGCCTCTTAGACTTATATGTATGTGAGGCAGCTGTGAAAACATAACCACTTTTCAACTGACTAAAATCTTTATTGTTAAAGTAATTGATAAAGTCACAATTAATACGGGAAGTACTTAACCCATTCGCTCTTGAAGATTTTCCTGACAAATGCATTTTGAAGCTAGTCGAGCGGTTCTCTGGTCACTGTTGTGCTATAAAGAGCTAAAACTTACCAGAAAGCTGTTCACAGGCTGTGTACTTTGCAGCCTTCTGATCCAGTTGCAAAATATTAGCTTGCAAAGTTCGGGCATGTGCAGAAAGCAAAATTCTTCCCTCTTTTCTCCCCTCTTTTTTTGCTTTTCTTGCCTCATTTTTTTCTCTTGCTGGGCATTTAGTAGACTTCATTTTGGTGGGAAAAGTTTTTAGGAAAGCTTTTAAGATCTTAGGATTAGATGAAAGGAAAGGTCGGTGGGTAGTGGAACAAGATTTTCATGGAAATTTTCATGTCAATGTTACATGGTTTTTTGCCTTTTCCTCTGGTGTCCGTGACTGAATTGTGCTCATTCTGGTATGGTTTGAAAGATCACTTAACTCTGCACAAGTTAGGGGACAAAGTCAGGGCTCAAAGTTTAAATTTGAGTTTTGGAGCACATGCTACCAGATGTAAATTTTTAGGCACACTGCCGAAATTTTAGGGACACAGCTGAAAATTTTAGGAGCACCTAATGTTGAGAACACCTATTTCAAAGAAAAAGTAAAAAGCTTAACAGTGCCACGTTAATGTGTCATCTTCAGTTTGTTACTTTTATTTTGGCCCTGTGATTGATGAAAGACAGCCGATGTGCTATGCAGTAATACTGTTGTGATTTTTAATAGCAATTTCTCTTTTTGACATGACTGTTGTGACTAAAGAAAACTTACAAAAAACCGTCAGTATTGGCCAATGCACAGGCAACAGTTCATGTTGCAAATAAAGCTGGTGGCCGCTGCCATCGTCAGTTACTGTCTCCCCTTTTCTTCTCAACAATAAACTTTTCGTCAACACCAACAGTGAAATAGCAGTTTTTGTAGTCTTTAGAATTGTTAGTTTCACACTGGCTTTCACATTTTTGCTCTCTCTGTCATCTTGCCTGTGTACTCGTGTTTGAAATTGAAGCTAACACATAACTTATTCTTTAACTGCAATGCCTTGTTTGAAACAATATGAGACTTGTTTTGTGTACAATAATTTTGTTAACACTTTGGTTTTCCACCGTTTGATTACCCCTATGTTCAATTGTGTTCAATTGGCAAAAGTTTTGGTTGAGTTCAATTACCGAACATAATTGAAGCCAATCATATCATTGGAGTTTGATTGGGTTTGATTACTGAATGTTCAATTGACTATGCTGGGTTAATATGAATCAAATAGAATAAAGAACAGGACAGTGACCTGTTAGTTATCTCAGTATTTCAGATGGGCAAGACATTCATCTTCAGGCCATTTATCTAACTTAACCCCAATATGAGAGGTTCACTAATTTAAGCTGACTTTACTAAGTCTGTTATCACTTATTTCTTTTTCAGGCTGGGGGATTCCTACCTCAAGTTTCAACTGTCTTAAACCGTTTTAAAAAGACATCTCTTGGAAGATATATATATTATTCACAGACAAACAAACAAAAAGTTAAAAAACCTTTGTCAAAAACGGAAAAAAGCCTTGTTACAGAGTCTGTTCCAGAGAGAACCTGTGAAGTGAGTGCATGTCATTTGTGTGCATTTTGTATGTGCTGTTATGAACAGTAAGCATCTTCCTTTGGTCCCCCTGTTTTGTTGCTTGTCGCTGTTACTAATACTCTGAGCATGACCCCAACTTACATAAGAAAGAACTAAAATAACTTCCTAGGTTTTTAATTCCCTGCCTTTGCTGCATACATTGCCCCACTAACTAGAATCGTTTGTGACAACCTTGGTTGCTTGACTGAGTTTGTCTGAAGGAAAAAAGGGAGTAGAGATGCCGAATGTACTGGAAAACTTAGAGCTTCAACATTGTTCAAAGTCTAAAATTATATAATAGTCTATTATATGTGCATATTTGTAGGATCCTTATATTGCATTTCTTGAAGAATTTGGCTTGTCATCAGTTCCTGCTGAGATACTTACAGAGGTCACCAATCCACTGCCTGTTTGCTGCTGCAATAAACCTGACAATACCCAGTGGAAAGTGTCTCACATCTCCTCTGAATCATTTTTCAAAAACAAGCATGGTTAGTCACAAAACCATCATCCAATGTTCACCTCAGATAAGTTACAAGCCCTTGTCATTGACAAACTTAAGTTTACTTATTATTATTTGTTTGATTAGAGGATTGATCTTTTTTCAAGGCTAGTCATAATTAGGCTCAAGTTTGATAAAATGTGAATTTGAACAGCAAGTGTCCAAAAATGCGATTAGTTCAGCTTTTTAAAGTTTACTGTTTTCTAAAGTCATGGTTCAAATTTTTTTGGTGAAACTTATCTACGAGTATGGCTTATTCATGTACATCATTTTGTTATTCTGTGGCTTATATAACTAAAAATTAGTTCAATGCTCTTGTTATTGTGAATTGACTAATATATTCTTCTTTTTGAATATTAATTACATTTACCTTTACTGAATGTTTTTTTAATAGGGTTTTCAAGTTTTAATTTATCAAGCCCAACTCGTGCAAGGATCAAATCATCTATTTTCATGTCTTTTACCAAACTTCCATGGTTACACACATCGTGTAAGTATTACAAGTTTGTGTCAAATATGTTTATTGTAAATTCAATACAGCAACAAGTAACAGCTTTCCGTCAAGAAGTTATTGTTGATGCAGGTTAGATGTACTGTAAGATGCTATGTCAGATTGTAAGACAAAGTGTGATATGTTCATGAAGTTATACCACTGACTCTTCAGGTATTCAAAATTGATTCCATGGGCAGACACCAACACTTGTTCTTTATTTAGTTTCATTAGGAGGTAGAAAATAGCTAAATATGGATAGCTTCAAGGTGCAATGTCTAACGGTACTTACTACTGGTATTACAGTAATCAGAACTATAGCCACCTGCATCTAGACCAGTCCAGTATAAATCAAGAGAATTCACTATTTATCAAGACTTTCCAGCCTGATTTTTCAGCTTTTAAAAAGTATGCTTGGCAGTAAAGATGTTTAAGCAAAATTTCAGAGAAAAGCTTGTTTCAAGTGACCAATCCAGTCAAGGTTTATCTACTATTAGAAAGTATCGACACTAAGAAATCATTTGGCTATGATAAGGTACACCCACTTTTATTATCCTCTGCTGCACTTGAAATATTTCGACCGCTGACACATATCATAAATTTATCACTTAAACATGGCATATTCCCTGATAACTTGAAAATTGCCAAAGTTATACCAATCTTTAAACAAGGCTCTCGTTTCTCATGCAATAACTATTGCCCCATATCAGTTCTTTCAGCATTAGGTAACATTTTTGAGAGATGCATTCTTAACCAATTATCATTTTATCTCACCTATGAAGATATTTTGGTACCAAATCAATACGTAGCTTTAGAATAAATTTAAGAAAATTCTGTCCAACAGTCATAGGATGCTATTATTGGAATGATATTCCTTTATCTATACGTGAAAAAACAACTAAAAAATTGTTTAAAAGAGCACTTTTCAACTATTATCTTGCTCAGTATTAATCATCGCCACACCGACTCTCAAATGTTACATTTTTTTTATGTGTGTGTGTATGTGCTTTTCTTTTTTCCTCTCTTTTGAATATTTTTCATATATTTTTCACATTTTATAGGGTTTATACTTTTCTCTTTTTTTCTCTTTTAACCTAAATATTTAGGTCCTATTTAATCAAAGGGCAAGTAATTAGTTTAACTATATCTTGCCCTCTCCATTTATTCTTGTAACCTGATATTTAATTCTACAAATGGCATCTTTAGTTCTTCAATCTCATAATACAATATAAATGGCTTGTAAAATAAATAAATGGAGGAAAAAAATAAACAAATAAATAAACAAATCCAGTCAACCAGTTCTGACTTTGGGTAGCAAAGTAGAGTCCTGTACTGTATATTATTATGACAGTGTGAATCAGTTCAAAACTAACTGTGAGTGAAATTATTCTTCATTTAGTTCTTTAAACACCTTGTTTCCAACTTTTTTCTCTATCAGTTCAAATTGAGAGAAGAGGGTATCATTCTGTTTCTGTAAAACGAATACAGCAACTGGAAGAGAAAGCAAATGCTCAGGAACACAATCCCAGAGCACAAGCTGAATATCTAAAGGTCAGTAAAAATAGTAACTTTTGAGAATTCATGTTTGTAGCTACTTGACATCTACTTGTTGTTTCCAGTCATTGATTATTTCTTTTCCATAGTTTAGTCTTCTTTCTTCATACAGTTTGAAATTATCATGGTATGATGTAAAAAATACTATTAACATTCAGTGCTTTTTGAGTTACGCATTGTGCCCTTAGGGGAAAAACAAAAATTCCAAAATGTTGGAAAATGCCTATTACTTTTCATTATGCAGGATTTAAGTTTTTATCACTGTTTATAAACTGTAGGCTTTAGTCACTGAGGACCCAAATTATGTGATAAAGCGATATGAAAGTGGAAGATACGCAGTTGATGATTCTGTTACAAAAGAATATGTAAAGGTAGGTAAATAGTGTAAGGATTACTTGTTGTAAACAATAGAATGATAATTAAGAAATCTGTTTTTTCTCTTTTAATGAATTTGTGAAGGCTTCTGTGTTGTGTCAAACTCAGCAGTACAAATAGTTTTCTCAAAGCTTCTCTGGGGAGAGATTCAGTAAAGATATATATTTTGACTGTTGTAACAATAGGTTACAGTAATACCTGGGGTTTTCCGTATTGTAAGAGCTTTTTGTGAATCACTTCCCTTGTCTTTCCTCGCATTGCTTGTCTCATTATTACAGTCGAACCTCTCTCTACAACAGCCAGTTTTTTTGGCGGACAGTCCATACATTGACTCATGTTTAAACCTCTCTACAACAGCCAATTTCTACTGTCCCAAGGTGGCCATTGAGGAAAGGTTCAACTGTATTTGTTAAAAAGTTCATCAAGAATCTTGATACATCCATGCAGAGTATCATTTTCAACATGTGATTCTAAACATCAAAGGTTTGCACTGGACTCTTTTAATGGCAGACCTACTGGCCACAGGTGTAGAATTCTGGATTAGTGCAGTAGTCTTGGTATATTACGGCCACTTATTTTTTCCATGTTACTTTCTTTGAAAGAAAATAGCAGAGTCGCCAATGTGAAGAACAGGTTCTTAAATGGGGTTACCCAGAATCTTTGCTTGGGTTTTCTTGCCTTGAGGCAAACCAGGTTGAAAACATGACTGTATTTACTCAAATTAGCACCACCCTTGAATAGGGGCCACAGTTGGTACAAAAAAGTAATAAGTGCCACCAAGAGCCATAGCTCTTGGTACCACAGACCCATAAAAATCAAAATCAAAAGACACTAATTCTTTTAGTTTAATGAGCCAAATAACAATATCCATAGTTAAACAATAAATTCTTTGTCGCATCCAACTTTCAAATAAATGCCACCCGCAAATTAAGTTCCGGATTTGAGGTGTGAAAAAATGTAATAAGTGCCGCGGCATTTATTTGAGTAAATACGTTATGCTATTATTAAAGACCAACCAATTTTTGAATATTATGTTCTTTCAAAATAAAGGTTTGAAAGGACACACGTCCTTTCAAGTAAGAAAAATTATTTCCAGTACTGTTCTGTGTTAGCACTGCAGTGCTCTACCAACTGAGCTATGAAGAACTATTAATTTTTCCTAAGCTTCAAGCCTCATTGTATCTGTCGCCGTAATTTTTGTCATCTCAGGGCTTGAAAAAAAGTCCTGTATGGTCATCCGTAACAAGCAGATTTTCTTCCGGGGCCAGTAGCTTTTAAATTCACTTGCCCCATTGGGCAAGGGTCTAAGCAAGTCATCTTTTAACTAAATCATGAAGTAAGATGAACAAGAAGGGGCTCTGGGCAAGCAAAATGTGGGAGCTGCTTGCCCGAAGGAGGAGCTGGAATTCAAGGTTTTTTCGAGCCCTGAATTCTTTGAAAAATTGTAATTGAGTAGGCCTTATTAACATAAACTATATAGTTTCCTTTAGGCCTCCTCGCTATTGCCTTCTACATTTTTGTATCTTTTTTATAATCAATTAATTTATCTGTGTGTCATATAAAATACAAATACAAATAGATTGTGCAACTCCTGCTATTGATGAACTAAATCAAGTTCAACTTTCTGTCTTCTTAATTGTAAATGATGATGTAAATAATTTATTGTTCATTGATAAATAATCAGAAAAACTTGTAATGAACGCTTTCACTGCTTGACTGAGCTATCGTGAGATGATTTGCCACATTCCAGCTTTTGCATCTGTGGACAAAATCCTAAAACTAAGGTGAAACCAGAACTTTTGCATCATACTTGTTATTTCTCAGATTTTTTCAAAACTGAGATATTTGAATTTTGGCACTCAGGAATTTGTTGCTCTGTCTGTTAGGAGTGAAAGGGTTAATTTAGAGTCTTAATGCATGAAACAGTTTCTAAAAGGGGTGGTGAAAGGTTTATTGTGCTGAGGAAAATCAAAACTTCGTTGAAGCAGAAATAGCTTCTTACTTTTTACAGCCTTTCTACATGTATGTCGTTTCTTGACACATTAAATTGTTCATGTTTGTTTTTTTGTTGATTTTGCAGGCACTTATCTTAACTGACAAGCTTGCAGTTCCTTCATCAGTTTCAGATTTAAACCGGGTAAGAATCTATTGACCTCTACTAAGATTGTAGGAATTGTGCCATTATTGAATTTTTGTTATAGCGGTTATCACGTGACCATACACCGACCGACCGCCCGCCCGAGCGACCATCCATCCGCACCACAGGCATACCAATGTAAAATAACTCAATCAACAGGTATGGCAACCCAAATGCAACTCGAGGTTATTTTGGCAGGAAGTCGATAGCCACCAACAAATAAAGAGTTAATAAAGACGAAAACGGAAAGCGGTAATTGTTTCTTTATCCGTATTGTCTAAAGTATTTAGTTTAGACTAATAATTAATTTGTTGTCATGTCCACAAATTTGGAATATAGAGCAGGAGAAAGACAGAGAAAAAGAGAAAGTTGGCAGCAGGCCAGCAAAGTTCAATGAGAAAAAAGGCAACAGAGGTCTAGTGTGAGAGATAAAAAACAAAGGAGACATTTTTTTGTTGGAAGAACAACATGAAAATTTTGTAGCGACGGTGACAAAATGGGAAATGGGCAATTCCAGAAAATATCCATACCCAACAACAGACGGCTTCCATGTTTTAACCCCCCCCCCCTTGCCTTCGGAAATTCCAAAATGTCTCGGAATTCCATAATCGTGAACCCCCCCTCCCCTTCAGAATTTCATGGTTTTTTTGGAAGTACATTTTCGACTTAGCAACGCCTATATGAACAAACGAACATGAATTTATGCCTCCTCAAGGCTGTGATCTAGCAGCGCCTGGCGACAAGCTTTACTCTTCAGCGACAAGAAAAACCTACCGCTACTGGCCAGGCTGTGCAAACTCCTTTTTAAGTCCTAATTTGGCTATAAAAATAAACATCACTTACGGTAATTTTACTCCTCTTTGTTTTCTTGTGCTGTTTTGACGTTTACAAAGCAAAATAGCTCAAATTCAGACTGTTAAAATCTTTTGGCGGTCAAATATACCGTCGAGTCTTGTTGCGTCCTTTTATACGTCATGTAGTGTACATACATACATACATACATAAACTTTATTTATCCTCGGATTTTAGTGTAGCTTACATAGCTAGTATCTAGCTAGTATCTCCGATCCTAACTAATTTTAAAAGTGTACACGAAAAGTGTTCTAATCTGACAGGCGTTCCTTGGAAGCGAGGGACTGGTGCGAGTTTTTTACTGTTCAGCGGACGGGAGTAACAAGAAATTTGCAAGCGATACATTTTCGGTTTTTATTCATGTGACAAGAAATTCATCAAGGTAAATGTGAAACCCACGTTTTACTGTTCACTTCTATAAGTTATGAGCGTAAACACGTATCTGATCTATCGGTGCTTGTCTTCTGCTTCCACGGTCATACCTTCGTGGTTTATTTACGAACTACAAAAGTCCACAACAATAGCGTTTTCAAGGAACTCACTCTACACTTTCTACTCCAGAAATCCCACCTGTGGAATTCCCCCATGCCTTCGGATTTTCAATCGTAAATACCCCCCATGCCCTCAGAATTCCATAATCGTGAACCCCCCCTCCCCTTCAAAAATCCTAAAAGCTGTCCGTGGTATAGTATGGATATTTTCTGGAATCGCCCAATGCCAGTGGCCACCAATGCAAGGTGAAAATAAGCGGCAGTGAAAAAAAAGTGAACGAGAACACATATGACATTTTCTCCATAAAACGTGTAAGTAACTAGGAAGTTTCTGGAAGTTTCATGTTGTAGTCGTGCAAAACAAGGGCAAAGTGTGCTGCATGTGCATAGTTGCCTTTTTTGCTAATTAGACCTATTGTTGTTTTTCACCCTTCTCCGACGTTGCCTTTGCCGCTTAGCATTACATGATTTTATATTTTTTTTAACAAACTATAAATATTATCGAGAGCTTCGCTTTTAGCCCTGGCTAAATCGATATATTAATAGTATGTATAATATTTTTTTTGTACTACTGTCTTTAGATGGGTTCCAGTGAATATGTCAACCCATCTATGAGAACAGCAACAGGGACAACATCTGGCATTCCAAATGGAACTGAAGACAATCCTACATATGTTATTATGCAAAACCAAAAAGGTATGAGGCTATATTATGAAAAATATTGCCAAATTCAGCATGTTCTGCCTATTTTCATGTAGTTAAGTCCAAACCTCGCTATCTCTTGCAACCGTCACTTACATTATGTTACTTTTACTCTGTCATGTTCTTGGACAAACAGCTAGAGACAGGACAACTGCACACAAGATGGCAGATCCACTCACAAACTGTTAATTAAGAAGCACATGGGTTTTATAGCAACTGCATACATAATGCAGGCTCATTATAACTCACTATACACCTCCCCACAGAAAGACAAATGTTGAAACGCTCTAAGTGATTAAAAAAAAGCTCAAGAAAAAAACAAAATTAGAAGCACTGTTCAAAGTCATTAAAGGGGCTGTGTCACGGCAGTCCACTTCATTCTGTTTAATTTTGCGAATTGCTTGCCCTCAATCGCTATGGAACTTAAAGTAAGCAAATTTAAATGACAAAATCAGAGATCCTAGACATACAAATATGTCTCCTGAGCATTATTTTTGAAGTTGCAAGCAGCAGCGATCAACTTTGAAAAACTGTTAGGCTGACCAGTTTTCAACGATCCTAATTTCAGTCTGTGCCAATCTTCTTCAGTTTTCCCATCCGTGGCATCTGTTGTTTCTGTTATGTTATTTTAACATTCCTTTAAAGTTTTAAGTAGTTATTTTTATGTTTCTCACACACACATTTTGTAATTTCCTAATTTGGCTGAATTTCGTCACACAGCTCCTTTAAGGTGAGACTTGATGGTGTTAGTCCATTTCTTCAATCAGTCTCTGTGGTTGTTAAGCAGCATGCTTGGACTTACACGGAACAAGGGTGGGAGGACAGGGTGCAAAGAAAGTCATTTTTACAGCTTGCCATTCGGGCAAGCTGAAGCTAGCATTTACTAGCCCAAACGTCATTTCAACTAACCCCGAAAATTTTTTGATGAGCAGAATAATTCTGCTCATCAAAAAATTTTCACAGTTCTTCTGTAAGTTAACCTGTGTACAGACATCCCCCCTCCCAAGAAAAAAAAATTGGGAGAAGAGACGTCTGTGAATCGCCAATGATAATCATGTTCCCGTTTCCCTCGGAATGTTGGGGACAGCCTCTGATTGGTTCTAATGTTAATGCCATGATGCAAATAATTTCCAGTGTTGTGATTGGTGAATGAATCTCAGTAAACAGTGCTTCCGAGATCAAAAATGCTGTGAAACCAAAAACCACAGGAAATCGATGTACAGTAACAGACATACTTAATGAGCTAAAAAAAATTTTAAAAAAAACTTCAAAAGCATGAAATACTCGTTTTAAATGACATTTTAGCTAGATATTCTAGTTAGAGCCTAGCTTAGCAATAAATGTTGAGAACATGCGAGAGAATAACTGCGTATATGCTCTAAAAGAGTCCCCAGTCGTGTTGGTCTGTCAACACTTTTTCAACTGTCAGATGAAACAACAACAAAAAATAATTTATGCAAATGTATACCGGAACACGGTTAACAACGGCGATTCACAAACGTCTCTTCTCCCGATTTTTTCTGAGGTAGGGGGACGTCTGTACACAGGCTACTGTAAGTTCAATTTCTCAAAATACTTCACTTGCCCATCAGGCAAGTTGAAAACATGCAGAATTCACTAGCACGATAGCAAAATCCACTAGCCCTGGGCTATCGGACACTACTTTCTTTGTACGCTGGAGGAGTAGCTGTGCTTGGTGACTTCACTAACTCTGATGCTTCATGAATTAGAAATAAGACAACTGCACACAAGATGGCAGTGGATCTTAAGAAGTACATAGATTTTACAGTAACCACATACATACTGCAGGCTCGCAGTATGAATTATTGACAAATGTAAACATAAACTCATTAATAAATTTTGATCAAATTCATTAAATTTTCTCTTGTCGTTTAAGGTGCATTTTTCAAGGAACAACTTTGGAACACATTCAGGTTTCTGATTGCATTATTTCTTATCCTGTCTTTGATTGAGGCTCAGCTACAGATGAAGAGTAAGTGAAAGTATAATAATGTAAATAAAAATTTTACAGATTCCATCATGGTATTACTATTTTGATCTGATTGAGTAACCTGTTTGACATGGTTTGGCCATTCAGTGCTTGCTGCTCTTGTCTCATCGATATTCACCCTTGCAGTATTGAAAGGTCTAGACTACAGTGAAAGTGAATGTCAATTCTTTAAATCTAAGACATTGCATGGAGCTTCCATGTTCCCCTTTGGAAGATGTTTTGGCTATTAATTACTGCCTGGGTCGGGTAAGGAAAAACCAATATTATTATGCTATTCTTAATTGCAGTGAATTTGATTTAACTTGCAGTGAGCTCAAATCAAAAGGACATCCAGCCTGATAGCGTGGACAGGAACACTCGCTTCACAGATGTGCAAGGGGTGAGTATATTGAAATCAAGCTTATACCAAAACAAATTAACAAAAAATGGAAAGTTTTAATACATGTTGTTCCAGTATTGAAAAGTTTCATCCCTTCTGTTTCCAGTGTTTTAACATTTAGTAGTTACACTTAACCCTGCATCTTAATAAGAGAAGGGACATGCTTATTATTCTTACTTGTTTTTAATAATCAAGGTGGAAGAGGCAAAACAGGAATTAAAAGATGTAGTTGAATTTCTTAGAAACCCAGAAAGATTTAAACGCCTTGGAGGAAAAATGCCAACAGGTAAGTATAAAAGTTCCATGTACAGTGTGTCACTCCTGTTCCATTAATCACTTTTTTTCCAATACATTATTTCCCGGCGTAGTCAATCGAACTTTCGGTAATCGAACCCAATCAAACTCCAATCGTTTGATTGACTTTCATTGGGTTCCGTAATCGAACATAATGTCAACATCAGCAGTGAAAAGCAGATGCTTTATCAGCTGTTGCCTTTTGTATTCGTTATTGTTAAGAATTTTGAATTCTTAATCTCATTTCCAGACCCTTCGTAATTTTTTGTATATATAGTCTCGTCATTATCTTCAACGGTCACTTTAGATCACTTTTGAAAATGTATGTTGAATAGCACACGAAACGTCAAGGTTATAAAAATGCGAAAGCTCACCTTGTTTATCACCGCTGTTTGTGTTTTATTTTTTATAATCAAACTCCCCCAAAACGTTTGCCAATCAAACACAATCGAACGTTCGGAAATCAAACTCTTTAATAGCAATCAAACATAATGGAACTTTGGAAATGGAAGCTTCAACAACTGTACACAAAACAAGTTTCATCTCTTTTTAAACAAGGCGCGCAGTTAACAAATAAGTTAACTGACGATAATGGTGGTCGTCAGCTTGGACTTTGCAACACGAACTGATACCTGTGCGTTGGCTCTTCAGGGGCCTAGCTAGCCCATAGACCTGTAGACCTGGGCCTACAAATTATTGGTTTGATCACTCTACCGCTTGTAATAAATTATCCATTGTTGTGGTGAGCTAAAAAGCTTAAGAGCTCAAAGTGTTGGTGAGGGCAGTGCATACTAGTCATGCGTGCAGTTTTCAAGATATGTGGAAATGAAAGTCAGCCAGACCTACAGCTCGTCAGAGTTGAAGATTACGTCTTACAGTAAGCCCACTTCCAGTATTAACTGTGAATTTATTGATTACTGTAGTAATAAAGATTTTAGGCAATTTAAATGTCCTTATGTTTTCATACCTGTCGAGGGGGAAATCTTTCTGATTCAATTGAAACTAAAATGCTCGCTGATTTTTACACCATTTTGTCTTTCTGCAGAGCAAAATCGAACAAATTGCGTCGATTTCGTTTGATTGGTTATCGAACTCACCGAAAAGTACCAGTTCGGCTATGTTTGATCACCGAAAAAATCGAACAACAATCCGACCAATTTAGTTTGATTGAGTTCGACTGATTTTTGGTTTGCCGATTTTTTTTTCCCGTTCCTCGCTTTTTGCGCTTTCCCTACTGCGGAGCCTGGTCCCAGGCTAGCTTATTTAGATGTACCGTACCGTGGCAAAAGCAGAAAGTATAATCATTGTGATTTGCACTACTGAAACTTATATCAAATGACGACTTTAGGATGTGCTTTAGTGTAACGCTTTAGAAAGGTAATGTATGGCTCTCTTTTAGGTGTACTTTTGACTGGCTCACCAGGGACAGGAAAGACTTTGCTAGCTAAGGCTGTTGCTGGAGAGGCTGGGGTGCCATTTTTCTTTTGTTCCGGTTCAGAGTTTGATGAAATGTTTGTAGGTGTTGGTGCTGCGCGAGTCAGAAATCTGTTTTGTAAGTATAATAGTTCTTCTTTGTTTTGGTGAGCCCTGCTTATCCTTACCTTATTTCTTTTCTTTAATATATAAATAATAATGTGTACATTTGTTTTGGTTTTCAGCTGCTGCTCGAGAGCATGCTCCTTGTATAGTGTTCATTGATGAGCTGGATGCTATTGGCGGCACTAGAATTGTACATGATCATCAGCCATACTCAAGAATGACCCTTAATCAATTGTTGGTTGAGTTGGATGGGTGAGTCATCCCAAAGATCATATAGTGATTTTACAAAGTTTATTACTTGTATATAAGATTTTAAACCGTTTGCTTATAAGTTGTATATGTTGCGAAACTTGCACAATACTATGCAGAAGCATTGATTAACTCTGAATTAAACTTACCTTTTTAGGTTTGACAAGACAGAAGGCATTGTGGTAATTGGTGCCACAAACTTCCCTGAAGTCTTAGACAAGTATGTTTTTTCTGCTCAGATTATTACTTAAAAACAGGGTCCAGTTTTCATTTATATAAACAATAGATGATATTGTTTATTTTGTTTGGAGAAGGTAGACAGTTCTCAGAAGGTCATTGCGTTCATTGCTCTTGGAACCTCTTGCTAAAATTACTGACAAAGGACTGATTTTGGCATCCTGTAACAATGTTACACATAAACAATAATTATTGACATTGTAATTAATTATTAAGTCACTACACTCTGGATTTTTTCTAAAAGCAAAGAATAACAATTTATCGTTTTGGTAAGTTTAGTTCCAGTGGGATAGGTAATTTTTCTTCAAGTGGTTATCCACCCTGTGAGCAGAGGTTTCTCTCTTGCATGGTGTTTAGCAGTTACTAAGTCATTCCCATCACTTAACACAAACCAACAATGCGACTGACAAGCGACGCGAACGACTTACTAAACACTGAAAGCCAGGCAAGAGAGAAGCCTCTGCTTGCAGAGTAGTGGTTATCCAATTTTGTCCGTCCTAATTAGTCTTGTATTGTACGCTCTCTGGTGTTATGTGTATAAATAAACTTCTTACTTAGTTATAATTTCGTGTCTAATACACTTTAAAAACAGCCTATAATCGGCACTTTTTTTGCGTTGCATTTTATTTTACTGTTCTGTCACGAAAACCGTATGATATACATTATTAGTCAACGTGGATGTCAGGGGTTAGGATTATCCTATTTGGGTTCAAGACTTTTATCTGTTCCTAACCATTGACATCATATCCTTTACATAGAGCACTCGTTAGACCTGGTAGATTTGACACCAAGATTAATGTTCCAATGCCTGATGTCAAAGGTCGGCATGATATCCTGAAATTGCACCTCAAGAATGTCCAGGTTTCAGAAGGTGAGAGTTTTAATCTCTTCCTCAATGTAATAAAATTCTGGCAATACAGTAAATGCTCGAATTAGCGCCCAGCGCCCCTACTAAGGCTTAAAACTTGGAATAACCCCCCCGCTTCAAATAAGCGTCCCCCCCCTCCCCCGATAAAAAACAAGGTTCAGTATTCGGTACGATATACGAGACCTATACGGTAGTTTTAATGAATGTGACATTCGTAATGGTACAAAATTAATGTTCTTTTTAGTCGTACGGGTTTGCTTCTCATTTCCTCGATAGAAATATCCATGTGGGCACATAGGTGCTTCACTTTATCAAGTTCCTCATAAAACTTTGCTCCCAATCGCTTGCTTCTTGTTGTTATTTGTTACAGTTTGGGTTAACTAGAAATAAAGATAGTGTCATTTTGAGGCCAAAAATTGATAAACGAAATAAGCGCCCCCTTGGAATTAGTGCCCCCCTCTCGCCTTAAAAAATTGAATAAGCGCCCCGGGCGCTAATTCGAGCATTTACGGTAATTTCATATTTCATTATTTAGGGATGTATCAAACAAAAGGTTTCTGTTGATAGATATTGTTAAAAACCAGAAGATGTTTGCCAAACATCACTTTTTTCAGGAACAAATCGCACTTAAAACTATTCAAATGCTGTTGTGAGCATTCTGTTGTGTTTGTTACTGTTTTCGAAGAGGTACTGTGTTAAAGGGGCACTGTCATCGGAACAAATTCCTTTTGTGTCACTAATCATTCTTGTCTTTTAAAGAGTTACAGTAGATCAATTTCAAAAGAATATGCAGAAGGAAAACTTTTGCCAGTGATTCTTTTCAGTACTCTTAATCATTGAAAGAACTTGAAATAGGTAACCTAATTTTTGTTGCAGACTATTTTGTCATTGCTCCTCTTAGCCAAAGAATAATTTAGATAATTGTAGTGCATATATTAACTTAAAGCACTTCTTATTAAAGACAATAGAGCCTTTTTTGGGGATTTCATTGTTACAAACAGAACGTTTGTCTAATTATATGACAGTTTCCCTCAAAGAAAGTTATTTACAGGGGACATTTTGAAATTCGGTGAAAAGACCACCCTTGAAAATGTTACTGACGCCTCGTGAGCAGTTAAATAAATTGTCTTGCGTTGGTTTTACTGCAGATGTTAACATTGAAGTGCTCGCCCGAGGTACAGCTGGCTTCTCAGGTAAGAAATATGTTGTCTGTGTTAGCACAGTACACAGCTCTGTTTCTGTGCGCCCGTGGGGAGGAGTGACACTTTTGGAAAGTTTACATTGGACTGAGCTGTTAATACCCTGATACTAGGCCAAGTAAGGGATTAAACCCCCCTCTTCGCCCCAACCCCTCCCCCACCCCGCTGGGCCATGCATGAACCAACTGGGTAACTTTTTTCAGGTACTGACAAAAGTGTAAACAAAACCATGGGTAGAGTCAGTCTATTGAGGGACAATATGTATTCACCTTTTAAACTACTGGCCCCGGTCCGATTAGCGGTTAATCCACGATTAAATTTCTTATTCCCCAGACAACTAATTGTGAATTAAAAAGGAGTTCCTGAAAGCAAAATTATCCCACGGTTAGCTAATCCGAGATTAGTGCTAAAATAAACCTGTTCAACTAGTTTTCGAAGGCCTGCTTTTGAAAATATGGCGTGAAGTGTAAATAATTCGTAGAAAACTGCCGCGAGCAAAAAACGCAACGCTACGAGAACTTGTTATGTTGGTGACAGCGCATGGTTCCTCCTCGTCTGTCTCTGGAGATCATCGTTGAGGATTTCTCCCTGATATTTTATTGTCTTTCGGCTAAACCGAAATCTGCTGCTAAGTTCTTCGTCAGTGAATTTAATAGCGATGTTCAATCCCGCATTAGCACTTATCAGCTTTCCAGGAACCGGGCCTGGAGTCCAACACTTTGTTTGAGAGGTCAGGTTCTCCAATCCTGAATTATCTTGAAATGTGATTTTACCTTATCCTGTTTCTAGGTGCTGACCTTGCTAATTTAGTAAATGCAGCAGCAATTTACGCTGCCACAGAAGGAGACCAGAGTGTCACTACTAGACATTTGGAATTTGCAAGAGATAAGATTCTTATGGGTGAGTATTTTAGTTTCTTCTGGTTGTATAAAACGTTGTATAATATTGTTTTAAAATTAACCTGTTTGTCATAGGTCGATTAAGATTCTTTAATTGATTGCACCTCTAAATCACAAACACCCTATTCTCGATTTTCACTTTTTAAGAAACTAAAATGCGGTTCAGTTCCCTTGTCTGAAATAATTCAATAGATTAATTTCTGACCTAAAATTTTTACCTCTTTCCCTTGTATGTGGCTAAAGTTATTTATATGAATCAATGAATACTAAAATATCTGGTGTCTTGTCTCCTTTAACCTTCATTACTGTTTGCTTGTTAAAGGTCCTGAACGTAAGAGTGCAGTTATTGAAGCTAAGAACAGAGAATTGGTAGCCTACCATGAAGGAGGACATGCACTGGTTGCCTTGTATACCCCAGGAGCCTTGCCAATTCACAAAGCAACCATTGTACCTCGTGGATCAGCCTTAGGGATGGTATGTACTCCCAGAACAGTAACATGCTAATAATTTCATCTGTCTGGTAGCCACCATGTCTCACATCTGTCCCACGCAGCAAGTGATTTCACATTCACTGATATCTGTGCATGAAATTCTGCACTACTGAAACCAAACTGTGAAACTCTCTGAATATAAACGAATTTTCTTTTAAAGGTTGCCCAGTTGCCAGAAAAAGACGAACTTAACTGGTCAAAATCCCAACTTCTTGCCAGGCTTGATGTAGCAATGGGTGGACGAGTTGCAGAGGAGATTATCTTTGGAAAGGAGAATATAACCACAGGTAACAGAAAGTACTGACTTTAGAGGTTAACTGTTCACTCTGAATCGCAGAAGTGTTTGTCTGAAGCAAGTGCCTTATTGATTCCCGTTACCTTTAACAAAGGAGGGCCTTGGAAACCGATTTAGGACTATTAAGATCTTCATCATCTAGAAAATCTTAGTATCGCGCACCTTGTCGGGGTAACTAACCCTAAATTACAGTGCTCCATCTGAGCGAAAAATAAAGTGGGTTTCAGACGCTTTTTTGTACTCTCTTTTCAGCGGTGCTGTTTATTAGAAGATTTTAGTTATTTTACGTTTGTTGTGGCATCGCGAATTTTTATTATTATTTTTTTAATCATCAGGAGCTGCAAGTGATATGGAGTCTTCTACCAGGCTTGCTCGGGCCATGGTGACTATGTATGGCATGAGCGAAAAGGTGACTATAATTCAGCATTACATATTGTGGTTTAAATTAGAACGCTAACCTTAATGTCACGCGGAACACCTGGCCTTGGATTAATGTGACGTTTGGTTGTTTGTTGTCAGGTCGGAATGCTTCAAATCAAGGATGATGATAAATCGAGTCCTGAGTTACAGGCACTTATTGAAAATGAAGTCAAGCAACTTCTTAAGGTTAGGAACAGATAACCTTTTGTGCGTAACAGTCACGGTAACGTAAACATGTCTACTTGATTCTTTGTCCGCCTCCAGCTTTGTATTTCCATAAATTACACTTTGTGAAATTTGCAAACTGAAACTCTGACTGACTGCTGTCACTGCTGTCTCCCTCTTTGCAGTTAATTTGTTGCCCACCCATGCATTTAGCCTGCGCTGCTAGTGCAGGCGTATGTTTTAAGAGGGCAAACGTTCAGTATCTCCTTTCGTCACCTCTTATTTTGATAGCAAAAGAAGATACATGTGGGGCAAAGATTGATGGGCATAAGGCAAAAGGTCCTCCTTGTAGTGCTTACATTCCTCCCCGGAAAGTGTCTGCATTGTTAGTCCAGCGGGTAACTTGAGTGGCATTTACTACTCAGACCCCATAAAATGCTTATTACTATTTTCTTCTCTGTGTGTAGGAGTCATATGATAGAGCTAAGTCTCTACTTCAAGCGCATTCCAAAGAACACAACCGCTTAGCAGAAGCTCTGTTGAAGTACGAGACACTCGACTTACAAGAGATCAAGCAAGTTATTCAGGGAAAGAAGCTCTCTAGAACATTGTGATGCGAGTTAACAAACCTCGACTGTAAAATGGCAGGTTCACGCTTCCCATTAAGCGTTAGCCCCAAAAAGCCGAAAAATTGAATGAAAGTATTTAACGCCTGGAGAAAACCATGGGGGATGGCAGCAAAAGTCCTAATTTTTGTTTATAAGTCATTTCATTTTCTGATCTGTTAATGTAACAACAGGTACTAGAGGATCGCTTAAATTTGGGAGACCTAGCCCTTGTATTTCAAAAGCTGTTCGACAAAGATATTTTATTACGTGTATGATTAAAACAAAATGTTTTATGCGTGAGCCATTTTAGAATTGTAATGAGAACTGTACATCTTGGTTTTTGAAGACCAATGAAGGGCTTGTAAAAAGTTTTGTTTGCTTGTCCGAGGCAGTTGCACCTTTGTCTTAGTTAACTTTTTAGTTAACAATAAATTTCCCTTAGCCCCAGCTCACAGGGAACAGCGAGTATGAAATGTTGCCTGCCTGGGAGTAAAATCTCCTTGTCACAAACAACCGGACGGGACTTTTTTCAAGCGTTTAGAAACGCATGCAAATGAGGTTAATGGGTTACCCTTTCTCCTCGTTCCATATCAAAACCGCTGAGAACTGTGATAAGAACTATCGTCAAACTTCCTTTTTCTAGTACCTCGATGTGATCCTGGCTGCACGTCTCCCTGTCACTCTCTGTCTCTGCTCAGAGTTTTGAATGTTGGACATCGTACGTCGTTTTTCGTGTCTGTCAGGGTGTAAATTACTCTTTGATCGGCGCATCTCGGCCAATCATGTAGCCACTGTTTCTCTAGTAACATGCCTAAAGCGCTTGATTGCTGTACTCTTAATGTGATATTTCTTGTTCTGGTCAATCTTTCTGTAAATATTACTACCACTGTCTGAGTTACATACCCTCATGATTCACGAAACTTGCCAGTCTTTCAGTCGACTAGCATGCGAATACTTATTATAGGGCCCACTTGCTCGAAGACCGGCTAGATGTAGCCAAGGGTTAACTTTTTACCCCGTCTTTTTTGGGCGGGTTTTGAATTGGCATTTTGCGTCTCCTAGTACATGTGTAAAGGCTCAACGCTGTTTTTTAAACATCTACCAGTAACTTGAACCTAGACGTGATATTTTTTATAACAATTTCCCTAGGCTTACCATCTTCCGAGCAACCTGGGCCTTCTACACCTGAGAGGTAATTTTCGCTTAGTTTTTTTAAGAATACGCAAGGTTAGAATACATTACCCTGGAGCATAGAAAATTCACTTAAGAATAAGTACAATTTTATACTAATTTGGGTAAAGGTTTTTAATATTTCATTGAGTTTCCGTCAGCGGAAAGAACAACGTCAGCAGACATGAAAATAGTTCTCAGTTTGTACATTTAAGCTAGCCAGTGTAAGACAAAACCAAACACGAATAAAGTCTGGTACTGTAGTTAACAGATTCATAGTGGTTGTTTACTAGTTAAGCCTTGCTCTGAACAGAGTTTTTGTGAATGAAATGTCACCAAACTTTCACAAAAATTGACCCAGGCTTCGTCTTAAAGCCCGTCTTGCTGTAATAAGGTTTTGATGCCAGTGTTTGACTTTCGGGAACACTTCTTGGAAGAGTTCACCTGTGGTTCGATTCTCGTTAGTGACTACCTCCCGAAAATCTTTGCATCTTGAGAGGATGGGCTCTTTTCAATGCATTGTTTATCTCCTTAAATTTGAATTATGACACTGGTATAAACAGGCTCAATCTAACAGAACATGAAGAGGAATCAGAGAATAATGTAAGTATTAATAAACTTGTCAATAATCCTCTATGGTACAGAATCAAAATTGTGAGATATTCCCGAGAAAAACGATACTCCTAATAGGAGCGACCCCAGAATCGATTTTTTTCCTTTCGTATTTGCTCTGAAACTGAAAGGGAAATTCCTATGCTTCCATCACAACTACATTGTGATACACTGTGTAGATGTGAAATTTTAGATGGTTTGCCACTAGACAAATGATATGGATGGCAATGGAGTGTCAGTGGTTTTATGTTTTACAAGACTTTTAATTCTACATCTAAAAAAAATACTCCTCAGTAAACGAGTTACTGTCACGCACGTCTTCAACCCACAAAAACCTCAAACTATCGCGATCTTCTGGATCCACAGCTACATTCAAAAATGCCTTTTCAATGTCCCCAACTCACGCAATTTTGTTCTCCCTAAACCTTACAAGTTACTAGTTCTCAGTGGAAATTGATAAGGAATTGTCTGCCGAGAAAGGAGGCTACGCAGCAAGTGTACACGAAGGAAGTTAAGACGGTCGCAGAGGAGTTTAACGAGTTTTTTGTATCTGTTGGCGCTAAAGCATCAGAGGCTTCTAAAGCCTTGATTGCTACTCATGAACTGTCTCCGCCAAACGATTTCACTAGTGGACGATATATTCCGGATGAGGAGAAGTTTGATTTTCGCGCTGTTTCAAGTCACGAGATTCGTAGAGCCGTAATGTCATTTTCATCTAAGCCCCGGGGTTTGATAAAGTCACCATGTCTGTGATTAAAGATGCGCTCCCTTGCATTGTGCCTGTGCTGACGGACATTGTGAATCGATCCTTATTGTCGTCAGTTTTTCCTGCAGCGTGGAAAATATCTGAAGTCATCCCACTTCTAAGAGATGGAGATCATGAGATACCAAACAACAATCGACCAGTCTCGTTGCTTCCTACTGCGTCAAAGATTTGTGAGCGTGTTGCTCTGAATCAATTAATGACATATATGACCACCAAAAAGCGCCTCAGCGAACACCAAAGTGGTAACAAAAAGCTTCATTCGTGTGAAACCCTTAACGTCATGATCACGGACAAAGCAGTGGAGGCTATGGATGCAAAGAAAGTCACACTTGTGGTACTTCTGCACTTGTCGAAAGCATTCGACAGCATAGATCATGTAACCCTCCTTGCAAAACTACAGGCGCTAGGTGTTTCCCGTGCATCTCTGGATTGGTTCAAGAGCTACCTTTCTGAACGGCTGCAATGTGTCAGGATCGAAGCTGAGACCTCAAGCTTGCAGGGTATCTCATATGGAGTCCCACAGGGTTCAATCTTGGGGCCCGCCTTGTTTACTATCTACCTCAACAACATTCCTTCTATACCGGACGTGTGTTCTCTAGAATCATATGTCGATGATTCAAAGCTATACCTTTCGTTCCCAGTTGCTGAGGCTAGTAATATGATTCAACAGATCAATAAGGACTTAGAAAAAATCGCAAGCTGGTGCTGCTACAACAGCCTTCTCATAAACCCAGAGAAAACCAAGCTGCTGGTGTTGGGCACACGTCAGATGCTTCAGAGGCTGCCCGCTGATTTTCATGTCACTCTCCTTGGAAAGAAGGTCACGCCATCTCCTTCTCTCTAAGCTATGATGAACATGTCACCCAAACAGTGTCCTCGTGCATAGGTAGCTTATGTCAGATTAAAAGGGTAAAGCATCTGTTTGATGCTAGGACATTAGAACGGGTTATAAATGCCTTAGTGTTTAGCAAGTTATACTACTGTTCTTCGGTGTGGTCTAATACTTCAAAGAAAAATATCTCGAAGCTGCAGAAAGTTCAGAATTTTGCATGTAGAATTATCACTGGAAAGCGGAAATATGATCAAATAACACCGGCATTAAGAGAGCTAAGGTGGCTCCCCGTGACCAGTTTTCTTAAATATACACTTGGAGTTTTAGCATTTAAATGTGTCAAGGGGTTAGCCCCTAGCTACCTTTGTCATAGATTTAAGTTGACTTGACCCAGTTTTTTTTTTTTTTTTGGGGGGGGGGGGTACCATCCTACTTTGAAGCTCTCTGGTATCCCCACCTTTACTTTTATCGTAAGTCTAACACATAGAATGGATAACATATAGATCAATCTACAATATAACATAAAATTTTTGGCGATCGGAGTAAATGTCACGTGGTTATAATGCCACGCCCCTTTGAGGTCTGAGTCGAAAATCTGCTGTTGCCGGCATTTTTTCGTGAAAATCTCTCGGCTACACATAGTGCGCATTAGTGCCTTGCGCTGAACAGAGTTTCACCAAAATCGCAAAGACCCAATTCGAGAAATTCAGCGGTTTCCAAATTTAGGTCATAATTTATGCGAAAATGATAAGCAAACTTTACACGGATTATATCTAATAAACCAAGAGATTCATCCCTTTATTTTGGACATCGTTATAACAGATGGGTCCTTGCAAGTCAGCAAAACGCTTTAGGGCCTTGTAAATGCGCGCGATTTCGAGCAAAACAAACATATAGAAATTATAGTTTTCGCTATTTGTTGACGTTTGTCAGCGTTTAAGAGTCCTTCTCACGAAAAAAGCATTTTCTTAAAAATTCGTAGTTTTTTTCCTTCAAATTTTTTCAGGGCCACAATTGATTAACTAACTACCCGGACTCTGAATTTCATGGCCATTGGAAAACTGTGACATTATCTTCTATAAGCCCAAACTTGAGTAGACATTGAAGATTTTTAGCGTTTTGGCTGAGTTTGTGCTTTGGGAGTTGTCTATTGTTTCTAGTCTGTCATTATACAGCATTCTTGTTCAGCACGCGTGCAATGACCGCGCTTGGCTGACGTCCGAATGCTCACCGAGATATTCCCGTCACGAGTTGGTTTAATTATTGGCTTGCATTAAACCTATGAAAAAAAATGATATTTTTGTTATAGTAAGTAGACCGAGAACTGCTTGATTTTTTTTTTGCAAAGAAACAAGAAGCACGAGAATTGATTAAAAATTGTTAGTTAAACCTCTATGTATCACGCGATGGCCTGTCTCACTGTACCAAAATTATAATATCTCGGCGAGCATTCGGAAGTCAGCCATTCAAACCTGAACAAGAATGCTGTATCATGACAGACTAGAAACAATTTTAAAATTTCAATGTTTACTCAAGTTTGGGCTTATAGAAGATGGTGTCACAGTTTTTCAATGACCATGAAATTCAGAGTTCGGGTAGTTAGTTAATCAATTGTGGCCCTGAAAAAATTTGAAGGAAAAAAAACTACGAATTTTTAAGAAAATACTTTTTTCGTGAGAAGGACTCTTAAACGCTGACAAACGTCAACAAATAGCGAAAACTATAATTTCTATATGTTTGCTTTGCTCGAAATCGCGCGCATTTACAAGGCCCTAAAGCGTTTTGCTGACTTGCAAGGACCCATCTGTTATAACGATGTCCAAAATAAAGAGATGAATCTCATGGTTTATTATATATCATCCGTGTAAAGTTTGCTTATCATTTTCGCATAAATTATGACCTAAATTTGGAAACCGCTGAATTTCTCGAATTGGGTCTTTGCGATTTTGGTGAAACTCTGTTCAGCGCAAGGCACTAATGCGCACTATGTGTAGCCGAGAGATTTTCACGAAAAAATGCCGGCAACAGCAGATTTTCGACTCAGACCTCAAAGGGGCGTGGCATTATAACCACGTGACATTTACTCCGATCGCCAAAAATTTTATATTATATTGTAGATTGATCTATATGTTATCCATTCTATGTGTTAGACTTACGATAAAAGTAAAGGTGGGGATACCAGAGAGCTTCAAAGTAGGATGGTACCCCCCCCCCCCAAAAAAAAAAAAAAAAAAAAAACTGGGTCGAGTCACCTTAAGACACGTGATTGCGTTCTTGACCGTAATACTAGATATAAGAATAACTTGAATATCCCAGCTTATCAGAGTCAGCTTCTGGGCAACGCACATTTTTATACCGTGCAACGAGTTTCTGGAATTACGTTCCATGTGAAATAAGAGGATGTGATAATTTGCCAATCTTCAAGAGACATTTAAAGGAATTTCTCAGTAGTTTTTAATTAGTAATGTGATGTATTTTGACATCTATTAGAATTTTAGATTTTTAATTTTAATGTATTTGGTATTGATTGTAATTAGTTTTTAAAACCCATTTAGTGGAAAACTAATAAACACATTCATTCATTCATAATAAGGGATTCAGGGGGGCCCCATTCTTGCTTTCTTTCGACGAAGCGACGTAGACAATCCTTCGTTTCGTAGTCTCTGCATCCCTTCGAATAACTGCATGGTGGGGTAAATAATGGACGTTTCCACCCGGCTCTTCCAATTCGGACACTTTCTCGATCACCCCGGCCCTGCGCTTAGCTGTTCCTTTATAATCGAATCGTATATTCGTTCAAAACTTCTAGTTAATATTAGCAGATCTATGCTGGGTTCTTACTGACCCATACAATGTCTATTTTTATTAAAAACTGAATCATTGGATAATGCAATTCTAGCATTTTGATTGGCTTAGCCGTTATGTTATATGAGCTAATATACCATGTTCTCCATATATGGTCGGTGTACGCGTCAGTTTAAAATTGGAAGCTAGCTGAGATTTTTTTTCGCGAAGGATAGAACGGCGCCCGAAGCAAATCGTTTTAATTCATTTCTTAGAATACTAGAAATGCAATTTCAACGGAAGAAAAAAGACAAAAACAAAGAAAAAAGCCACAAGAGCTTGTTTGAAAGTTTGTCGAAAAACACATGAAAACACATGGAACTAAAGTACCTTCAGCTTGACCAGCTAAGAAAGAAGACAAGTGTTGTTTCTTCATGATCGCGAAGCCATTCGCCGATCGAGTCACTCGCCGATAGATAACTGCAGCTTGTTTATCCGACATCAAGAATATAAATCACAAGTAACCAGCTACAAATACAGGCTATGCTGCCATTCACTAGAGCAATCGAGGCGGCAGTATAGCTTCTTTTCTCGTTCAGCAAAACCAGCCTGTGGCTTCAAACAACTTCATAACAAGCGACCGAGGTAATACCGCTAGTTTTTCTCCGTTGTTCTTACTTTTATAACTGCACCGAAAATCCAAATTCATAGTAATTTCGACGGCTGTCACTAAAAATTCCTTTCCTTCACATTATCTGCCAGGTTTTTTAAGCTGTTCTGCTGTGTAAAATCCTAGAATCATGATGAGTTTTTAAAAAACTAATGTTCATCGCACAATGTTTTGATTTTTCATTCATGCAGTCTAGGCGAGCCCGTTCGCGCGTTGACAGTTTTGATAGACGTGTGACATGTCAATAGCGGAAGTCCCTTGTCTTTTCCGGGGAATCTGGACAATTCGCCCCCCAGACAATTAGCCCCCGACAACTAGCCCCCACATTATGGACAATTAGCCCCCACTTTCTAGACGATTAGCCCCCAACCACATTGTGATATATAAAGTTAAAAAAAACCACAACATTGTGAGTTATGATATAATAAAATTTACCAAATCAGTTATACTCCTGCCTTCTCTTCTTTTGATGTTTCAATCGATGGATTTTGTTATCGATCAACTTCACGGTGGTCTTGGAGAACGCAAAATATCCTTGACATCTGGGTTAGCACAGAGAGTACAGTTTTAAATCTTAAAGGAGAACCAGACTGAAGAAAATCCTAAAGTCGATCGACGCATGACACGACCGAACCTAACACTTCTATTTGAACCCAGGCCTTTTCCAACGATCTTTTCCACGTGCGGTAGGACCGTGTTTTGTTTTTCAAGGGGCGGGAGTCACTCGGACAACCCACACGTCCCCGCCTGTAATTCGCCTTAGCTTTAGTTAAGATAAGAATTTGCTTCTCAAGGGGCGGGAGTCACTCGGATAACCCACACGTCCCCGCCTGTAATTCGCTTTAGCTTTAGTTAAGAATTTGCTTTTCAAGGGGCGGGAGTCACTCGGACAACCCACACGTCCCCGGCTGTAATTCGCTTAGCAATAAACATGATTGTAAAGATATGCCGTTTACGTCATAACTACGCTTAGCAACCATGTGATGGTTCTTCAGCACGTGCTTTGGAACTTCCTTCAAAACAGAAAGGCAGGGTATATAAAACGAAAACAGTAAGAGTTGTAGAAATTATTCAGGGGTTTGTTGTTAGGATTACAGTCTTCTTAAAGTTCTAAACGCAAACTAGCCACTTAGAAAGGAACTGAAAACAGTTCATTTATTAAACGAGCGATTCGAAGATATTTTAAATCGGGTAATTGAAGTTCGTTTACACATTGGGGGCTAATCGTCTAGATAGTGGGGGCTAATTGTCTGTATACTGGGGGCTAGTTGTCGGGGGCGAATTGTCTGGGGGGCGAACTGTCTGACATTCCTTTTCCGGTTTGTTCTAGTCGAGGCGATTCAACGAGATTTTGTGGTCGTTTTTAATAAAACAATTATTCCAGTCGGGCTTGTTGGATATGAAATGATTATAGCCAACTCGGCGCTATGCGCCTCGTTGGCTATCTATCAGGGACTTTAAGATAGGTCACTACGGTCGCCTGCGACGGTTGGATAGATGTCACGTCACGCAAAACACGCGTGACCTTTTACCGTCGTCCTTCTGGGACGGTATGTTTTGGCCCGGTTTCTCGTCGTGCAGACAACGGTATACTTATTGTCACTTTTCTTCTAAAACTGAGTAGCCAATGGGTTAAATATGCATTGGCTTGTGTTTACATTGATTTACCTATCGGTGAAATGAAAAAAAAAAGCGAAACTGTCTGAGTTCATTCATAACTTAGCTCGCGGCCAGTGTCGTCCGCAATGGCAGAGGAAAATTGCCGGAAAGAAAGGTAAGGCCCAGTTCAAACGTTGATCTTTTCATGTACCTAACTTAATACCTATTTAGGTCTACCCAAATGGTTGGAGGTTGATTCAGACGTCGAACTTAAAGTGTAGTCGAATTCGATTCATTTTCACGATTCAATGGTCTAGAATGCTTTAAACAAGTGAAAATAAAGTTTAGTAATTTGTGCATTAGTTTCAGCACATGAGAAGTTCGACTTTTCAACAGGGCCTAACAGTGATGATTGTAGCCGTCTTTTTTATAAGTTAAAACTCTATTTTTATCAGGAAAAGATTTCTTTAACTCAAAAGGTGTTGGCTTAGGAAAGGACTCAAATAAAAACATAGACTAGTTTTGAAAACTAGCTAACTTTAATTTGTACCCTTATTCTTCTGATTGGTATTCTTCGTATAAAATAAGAAACCCTTCTTCAGTAATTGAGCCTTCTGCGAGAGAAATTGCAAACGAGTTTCGCACATGACTTCACCGTCCTCTGTTTTGTTGTCCGATCTTAAATTGAAAATTTTCGCGGCTTCTTACCGTCATGGTCCCAGGCCGCCCGTATACGCATCCAACCGTCCCAGCCTACCGTAGTGACCTATCTTAAAGTCCCTATCATCTCATATCCAACGCGCCCTCGTGGAATAATTGTTAAATATGAAGGGGTATATGAAGTACTTACCTGTTGAGGGGTTCTTTGAGCCTGCAGTGCAATCAGTCATCGACATAGCAACCGAGTAGAAAATGGCGGACACAAGGGACGATCGGAACACAAACTTCTGCTCTTCAGTTGTTGTTGGATAATTTGCCTAAAATTATGGTTGTCACAATGGCACATGTGAAGGATGTAGAAGTGGAACCTCCCATGCACTTACAGCGTCCTTCTTCTGGTCGTTCTCAGGATGTATCGCATTTACTTGCAAGTGTTTTTCGGGAGGTTTTCACCCGTGATGTTATTGGCGAAGACACCGTCAAAAACCTTGCTATTTCTAAGAGTGGTGACGCTAGTTACCACGATAAATATGTGGAACAGTTGAGAAAGGTGAGGAGTAATGCAAAACGCTGTGGCTGTGCGCAACCTACATTGGGCTGTTGCATTTAAGACGGAATCCATCAGGAGATAGAATAATTTTAATTTTCAGCCGACAAAAACCTTGTACCAAAATAATTAATTTAAACAATATCGCAGGGTTGTCACTAAGATTTCAAGTTGCTGGGTATTTGTTGTTAGTAGCCGGGGAAGTCGCAAGCAGTCCTAGAGACCCCCCCTTAATGAAGTTTTTGCAGCGCAACTTCTTCCGTTTTCTAAAACGCATTACCGCCCCAAAAAGGCAATCTTCATCAAGAGTACAGCTATCATTAGCGGTTTTATGATGATCACGTCTTTATTAAAGAAAACAACATCATTCGGAGACCCTAAAATAATAAGTTTTTACTTTACGTAAAAGCTCGTTGGAGAGTTTTTTTAGTGGCCGCCAAATGGGAGTATACATGTAAGCACCGGGTCTGAAATAGATGACAGGTAGGCACCGGTCACGTTATCCGCGCAGTCTTATCTTCACGCAGACAAGGCGCATGCTGGCCAGTGAAGTGTTAAATCACAACGATACTTTACAAATGTTAAAAATGTGGAAAGGACAATCGATTCTTATATGGTGCAAATGAATTAACATGCGTTTAAAATCAATTGTAAATCCTCATTTAGTTATACGTAAGAACGAAACAAGTTACAGAAAACAAAAGTAAAACTAACATTACAAATGAATCAACTCACGGAGAAGCGGAAAGACGACAAGCGGACGATGAATGTACGAAAAAGCATCATAAACACAAGGTTACTACGGTTTGTTGAAAAATAAAAGTATGATAACGCTAAAACAAGCGTAACGTACGAAAAACCGCGGGATAAAATATGGCAAAACTAAACTGCACAACTGGTAACATTAGTGGTCTCGAATTTAGGAACGAAACATCACTTAACATACGAAGAAACTGACATACGGAAAAGCATTTAAAAGAGAGGGCTAATACTTTATAAACGACGCTGAGATGTCAAAACGAGACTCGGGGAGAAGAATGCAAAAGTAATGCTAATGCTTAACTTCCCTTTTAAATATAACTTCTTGGAAGTAGAACTGAGAAGATGTGATCATGACCTGCGGACAATGATCTAACATTTCCCGTTGACTGTGCGTTATTTTATATACTCGATACCTCACAAAGCTAAATATAGACCTGGTCACTTAAACGTCAATTTATTAAACATAGCAATCAGTCATAGTGTTCATCTTCAAAGCCTTCATCATAATCCTCATTATCATCAACATCAGCATCAGGGAGATTTAACGCTCGGATGAAGCCTCAACTTCTTCTGTGATGTCAACAGAGATCTGCTCAGGTCTTTCATCGTGAACAAAGAGTGCAGATTCCTTTGCCACTTCTTCGACATGTTCAACACAAAGCCGACACAACGGTTGAAACTAGGGACTTTTAGCATCGACAAAGGTGACGGCAGCAAAAACGTCGCTTTTAAAATGAATTGGCATTTTTTCCAACTTTGTCTCGTTTATTTCAGTTCGCTGAAAATAGCTAATGTAGGCCAATTTCCCTAGAGTTGATTTCTTTGGGACCGCACTCAAGTTTAGAAAGAGAAAGAAAAGTTTGTCTTCGATTGTTTACGTCCTCCATAAAACGTGAAACTAGGGGTGCGTTCGATTGGGAAATCTGGATTTAGATTTCAAAATCCGGATTTCGGATTTGCAATCGAACGCGAAATCCGAAAACGGATTTCAACGCTAAGATATCTGTTTTTGGATTTTCATTTTTACCGTTCGATGGGGAAATCCGAAAAAGGATTTGAAAAACTGTCGTTAAGAACAGCGGTCTTGCACGCCGCACGCATAATTAGGAAAAATAAGACCGCTGTTCACGAGAACAGTTTTGCAAATCCGTTTTGGATTTCCCAATCGAACGGTAAAAGGAAATCCATGAAATCCGGTTTGGATTTCTTAATTGAAATCCACCCTGAGGGGCGGATTTCTCGGAGGTGAAATCCGTTTTCGGTTTTCGCGTTTGATTAAAATCCGGTTTAGATTTTGAAAATCTAAATCCGGATTTCCCAATCAACTGCCTGTAAGCATTTTCACGTCGTAGTCGTGCAGTAACGGCAAAGAAATGTACAAAAAAGCGTGATGCACGTGCAAACTAGTTGTTTTGCTCAATAAACCAATTGCTTTTTTGACGTTCTCGTTGCCGTCGCCGTCGCCGTCGCCGTCGCCGTCGCCGTTGCTAAAACTCCTGACCGACATTTCGCGAACGGAGAGTTTTCGTGCGTGTGTACTAGTACCAAATCTAAGGCAGATGTCTTTTTCCGATATTTCTTAGTTTTTGCACGCGAGTATTTAAAAATTACTTGAACCTGCTGCAGATGAAACTTTCATTTAGTTTGATGGATAGTCTTTGTGTGTTTCAAAGGTGTGCTCTTTTGGTTTAATTTAATGACGAAAGTAGCCGGGGGCCATGCTCTGAGTAGCCGGGGGAAATCCCCGGCCCCCGGCCGTTAGTGACAACCCTGATATCGTATTCGTTTTTTTATCTTTTTCAAGGGCTATGAATATAATTAGTTATCTGCAGGGTTGTCACTATGGCCGGGGCCCGGGATTTCCGCCACTCAGAGCATGGTCCCCGCTACTTTCGCTTTTCCGTTAAATTAAACCAAAAGAGCACACCTTGACACACAAAGACTATCCATCCAACTAAATGCAAGTTTCATCTGTAGGAGGTTTAAGTAATTTTGTAATACTCGCGTGCAAAAACTAAGAAATGTCAGAAAAAGACATCTGACCTAGATTTGGTACTAGTACACACGCATTCAAACTCTCCGCTCACGAAATGTCAATAGGAAGTTTTAGCAACGACGACAGCGACGGCAACGAGAACGCCAAAAAGCAATTGGTTTATTGAGCAAAACAACTAGTTTGGCGCTTAACGCATCACTCTTTTTGTCCATTTCTCTGCCGTTATTGCACGACTGCGACGTGAAAATGCCTAGTTTCACGCTTTTAAGGAGGACGAAACAAGCTACGACAAACTTTTCTTTCTCTTTCTAAACTTGAGCGCGGTCCCAAAGAAATCAACTCCAGGGAAATTGGCCTACAATAGCTATTTTCAGCGACGGAATTGAAATAAACGCGACAAGGTTGGAAAAACGCCAATTCATTATAAAAGTGACGCCGCTGCCGTCACCTTTGTCGATGCTGAAAGTCCGCTAGTTTCAACCATTGTGTCGGCCTTGTGTTGAACATGTTGAAGAAGTGGCAAAGGAATCTGCACTCTTTGTTCACGATGAAAGACCTGAGCAGATCTCTGTTGACATCACAGAAGAAGTTAAGGCTTCATCCGAAAGCGTTAAATCTCCTGATGCTGATGTTGATGATAATGAGGATTATGATGAAGGCTTTGAAGATGAAGACTCTGACTGATTGCTATGTTTAATAAATTGACATTTAAGTGACCAGGTCTACATTTAGCTTTAGGTATTGAGTATATAAAATAACGCACGGTCAACGGAAATGTTCGATCACTGTCAGCAGGTCATGATCACATCCTCTCAGTTCTACTTGAAGAAGTTATATAAAAGGGAAGTTAAGCATTAGCATTGCTTTTTGCATTCTTCTCCTTGAGTCTCGCTTTTGACATCTCAGCGTTGTTTATAAAGTATTAGCCGCCTTTTAAACGCTTTTCCGCAGGTCAGTTTCTTCGTATGTTATTAAAGTGATGTTTCGCTCCTAAATTCGAGACCGCTAATGTCACCAGTTGTGCAGTTGATTTTTGCCAGGGTATTTTATCCCGCGATTTTTTCGACGTTACGCTTGTTTTAACCTTATCACACTTTTATTTTTCAACAAACCATGGTAACCTTATGTTTATGATGCTTTTTCGTATATTCATTGGCCGTTTTTCTTCTTTCCGCTTCTCTTTAGGTAAATTAGGTTTACTTTTGTTTTCCGTCAGTTGTTTCGTTGTTACGTATAACTAAATGAGGATTTACAATTGATTTTACAGCGCATGTTAATTCATTTGCAGTAAAAACTTATTATTTTAGTGTCTCAGAATGTTGTAGTTTTCTTTAATAAAGACGTCATCATCATAGTAGCTGTATGATAGCTGAACTCTTGATGAAGATTGCTTTTTGGGGGCGGTAACGCCTTTTGGAAAACGGTAGAAGTTGCACTTCAAAAACTTCTTGGGGGGCTTGCTCGACTTCTCCGGCTACTAACAACAAATACCCGGCAACTTGAAATCTTAGTGACAACCCTGTATCTGTAATAACACCAAAGACTATCTCTCATGGGAGCCCGAGAAAATAAGTGTCAAAGTTCACAAGAATTGCGAAAACACGGGTAATATTCTGCAAATTTCATTTTTAAGGCGTCATATTCAGGCCTTACCTTTTCATCTTTAATACGCCCTGAAGATTAAATAAAATCGCACTCCCCCCTCAAGGTTTATTTAAAATATAAGTCTTCCCCCTGAAGAATAATGGGGTCTAGCCCTGAAGACTTACGTGGGAATTAAAGCTTCACCCCCAAATAATTCCACAATTTTTTTACTTTACCCGTAAAGAAATCCTCAAATTTTTAAACTTACCCCCTGAAGAATTCTATTGGTCCTCGACTGAGGGGTGGGGTATAGTTATTAACTAAAATAGCCCAATAACTTTGTTTTTACTCCCTTTTTAAGCTTGCACATATACGAATGAAAATGACATTTGTATGCAGCTATTTTGAGAAAGTTTGAAAGGTATTGTTGGTCATTTTGAGTGCACTGCAGCTTTTCAAAGCAATTTGAAAGAATGGCACGAGAGGCCATGGACATGTGTTTGCGAGTGCTAAAGGAAAGAAACAAAGCTATGGTCGTTAGGAACAGTATATTGATCGTATCCCATATTACCTTTCAGGATTGTCATGTGCACATTTTTTTTCTGACAGCCTTTCTTGAAATAGCTGTATGCAGTTTAAACAGCTGCAATTCTGTAGTGAAGTCTCTTCAGAGTTTAATGGTTTGATAATAAAACAATTCCTAATGTTCTTGCTTGAAGATACAAGAGGAGCGTGATCATCGACATAGACAGGCAGACATGTTAGAAGCTCATATCATGCAGGCACAAGCTGCAGCTATGGCCGCAGATGAAAGGGAGCTTCAAAGAATGTCTGAAGGCTATGAGAATTATCATGTGCTTGGCCTTCCTCCAGGTACTATAATTTTTTGCTTCTGTGCTTTACTCTGTAAGAGCGCTATCATGTCAGTGGCCAATCCAGACCTTCAGATAAGGGCAGGGGGGGAGGGGGTTGGGGGGGTAGTGGTCATCCAGACCCAGCAATATTGAAAATCAAAGTCTTTCTAAAGTGATGAATTACATATAAGGGAACTGTTTAATGAAGAAATAAATGCAAAGAAGATCTTTGCAATTTATAAAGATGCAAGTTATGCAGTTGCAAAAAGAAAATTTTTCAGGCTTTCTTTTTGCAAGTTCCTCATAAGCTGGGTCTTAAACTTGATGATCTCCTTTGCATTCTGTGTTTCCAGTATGAAATTTATAAGTATATTCATCATCTCACGTTCACCACTCCTGGGGATATTATTATTAGAGAGTTTAACCCATTCGCTCCTGGAGATTTTGCCGAAAAACGCATTTTGAAGCTAGTCGAGTGGTTTTCTGGTCACTGTCGTGCTATAAAGAGCTAATACTTACCACAAACTGGTTTACAGGTCGAACACTTCGCGGCCTTCTGATCCAGATGCAAAATATCAGCTTGAGAAGTTCGGGCATGCGCAGAAAGCAAAATTTCGAGATAGTTTTTGAGTTTAAAAGTGACACAGCAGTCTTGACTTTTACTTTTCGCTTTCTCTCCTCCCTTCTTTTTTCGCTTTTCTTGCCTCATTTTTTTTTCTCCTGCTGGGCATTTAGTAGGCTTCTTTTTGGTGGAAAGAGTTTTTAGGAAAGCTTTTAGGATCCTAGGATTAGGTGAAAGGAAAGGTAGGTGGGTAATGGAACAAGATTTTCATGGAGATTTTCAGGTCAATGTCACGTGGTTTTTTGCTTGTTTCTACGGTGTCCTTGACTGAATTGTGCTCATTCGGGTATGGTTTGAAAGATCTCTTCACTCTGCACAAGTTAACGAAGAAAGTTGTCCTTGACCGTTAAAACTGATGACGTCACAATGGGTAGAAAGGACCTGGATCCGCACGGGCGGTTCAGGGGCGAATGGGTTATGCATCACTTATAAAATTATGGCAAATGGCAAACGTCAGATTCAAGTTGAGAATTTCTCAAAATAGAAAATGAACAGAATAAAACAGCTTAAAACAATTCCTATGGGTAAAAAATTGTGTGAAACTCCTAATTTATGTGTTGAAATAATGAACAGTAAACGACAAGAAAGAAGAAGCCTGGTCACATGGTACAAATTCTCGTTTGATGTTAGACGTAAACAGGATGCTTAGCCTCCCTATTACAAATCAATTTAATGACCATTCCCCAATTTTTTGCAACCTCAATTGGTTAAGCAGTGCACTGATATCACAGAGGTCAGGGTTTGAATCCTAGCAAGCCTGAATTTTTTCAGGTTTCGTTTTTGTAACTGCATAAGTTGCATCTTTAACTGTGATGTTCTTCTTTGCATATATTTCAATTTTTTAAACAAGTTTTAATAAGGTAAACTTTGAGCAAAATAGAAGAAAAAACACCAACTTGCTGGAAGTGAACCTGTTATTAATGCCTGCATCGCAAGTGGAGGTTGGGTGCCCATGGGCCAGGGGCTGCAACCGCAATAAATTACACCCCAAGGCAGAAGAACACCCACAGGCCTACCAGGCTGCAACCCAGCCACAAGCCTAATAAATTATTCTTGAACCAATGACAACAGTGGCTCCTGCATCACTCCCTTATCTGATTTCACAGTATATGAAAACAATGATTCTAGATATAATCTAAATACTGTATATAGTTTTCTAGTAAAGTACAGTAAGCGTTGTTTGTAGTTTGTTTGATTGAGTTTGTATTTTTGAGACAAATCCAACAATCTCTCATTCTAACATTTTAGGTCAGTTTTCTTAATTTAGCATACTTAACTGTATTTGATATAGTTTTCTACTTTGTCACTTGTTGGCATAATGTCCTTGAAGATTTTGCACTGAAGTATCTCATGCATTATGTGAGGTAGAAGAGGGCTACATATAGCTTGGTTTTTTCTGGACTTGGCACCCAGCTTAACCAATAGTACTAGTATATTGCCACTCTTTCAGGATAGGATACCATACAGTAAACAATAAATATTGCATATAAGAACCTTTGACTTCAGGGCTCAGGCTAATCCAGTTCTTATTTCCCATATGCTTAGTGAGAAATCAGCTTGGAAATGTTCTTAAAATTTGTTTCAGAAATATTATACATAATACATTACTAGAGGTCTAATTAACTTACAGTGTTTTATTACATTAAAAGCAGAAAATAAATTTTAAATAAAGAATAAATTAACACTGTCACTATTATAATTGAACTTATTATTCATTTCCCCAATTCTAATTGGCTAAAAGCACATGCATAATTCACCATAACCAGCTACTGATGACCAAAATTTAATTTGGAAGAACTTTGCAATTAATCAACCGATGACATAAAAAATGCAGCTTTCTTGCAGGTTAATGCACCGTTAACCGAGAACAACTGGGTACGAGGTTGAGTTGTTTTGGTTGTGAAAACAAAAATGGCGGAAATTAAATGAAAACGTGGCAAGAACAGCAAGAAGACAATAACACCCTCCAAGATCTCCATAATCCTTCATATGATACGAAAGCTGAATTCAATAATTGTTTTATTATTCATTCAAAATAATTCCTAGTTTAAAAACATAGCTAAAACAAGCTTACCTGCATCGATGTTATGTTTATCTTCGATAGTTTACATTTAGGTTTGTCCAGCTCCGCAAATATTCTCCAAATAGCAGATGTCGCCTTCCGAGTTGTCTTCTTGCGGTTTTATTTCGCGTAGTTCCAGCTGTACTTCTTACACTTGAAACCAGTGAAGTGTCCGCCATTTTAGTTTTTGCAACGAAAACAACTCAATCTCGTCCGGAGGTCTTCTTGGTTAACAGTGCATTAACCTGTAGAAGGATGTATTTCTGACGTCATTTCCTCGTTAAACACAAAATTCTTCCAAGTCTGGTCATCAGTAGCTGGTTATGGCGAATTATGCTTGCACTTTAAGCCAATCAGAATCGGGGAAATATTTTGAATGAATAATAATGCATGTTTTAGCTATGTTTTTAAACAAGGAATTATTTTGAATGAATAATAAAACAATTATTATTGAATTCGGCTTTCATATCATATGAAAATTATGGAGATCTTGGAGGGTGTTATCTGCCTCGAGGCCTCGACGGACAACTCCCTCCTCGATTTCCATAATTCTTCATAAGATACTCGACCTCATTCATTAATTGTTAAATATGAGTTAACTGTATTGGTTTGTTATCATGGCAATACTGGCATTCTCGTTCTTTTTATATTGGCCAACTTTCGGCCTTATGTTCTTAATCCACTTGTTCTTACATGCGTTTGCTTACTGTATTGCAAGGTCACCTCTAGCATTACAATCCCAGCAACCATTATCATCAGGGATGAGAGGGTTAATGTGACATAGCTAAAGGTTTTGAAGTACAGCTTCATGAAGCTCTACTTAGCCCCAAGTACAGGGCACAACAAAACTGCAGTTTGATAGTGCAGGGCTGTGGAGCAGCTATTTGGGCTAGCATATTCTAATTAATTACAGGATACCTGATGCATAAGTAAAGAGAAGAAGTTAAAATTAATAGGTAAAGTGAGGTTGGTGGGCCTGCAGGACTGCTCTGAGCTAGGAATTTTCAGTTAAAGCAAAATTTTAAATTTTCATCCTACCCTGAGATCAGGCCCAGTTGTTCATAAGGATAGCACTACTGCATCCACTGGATAGATGACACTAACCAGACAGTGAAGAATGTAAGACACAGTATTAATTGTGAAAACCATTTGCAATATCCTTTGATTGGAGATTTATTGATGGATAGCACTATCCACTTGGTGGGGGTGCACCACCCAGTTCCCCAAACCCTTACCCTATTTCAGACCAAAAAATGTCATTAACACACCATTTTCAGACCTGGCCTCTAAGAAATTATGTCATCATTACTCACATTAGAGGGTGTGTCAACATTAAAGATTTCTTATAATCCATTTCAAACTCACATATTTCTCTTTCTTCCTTATTCATTTGGAATTGGAACAATAAATACATTCATACTTTCCCTTTAAGCTTCCTCAAAAGCCATACCCGATTCCAGACCAAAATGGGCCAAGTTTATACCCTTTTTCAAACCAAAACTGTGCAAAAACCACACCCTTTGGGGAAGCACATGCCTATATGGCTTTTCTAAGGGAGTACCGCCCCAGGAAGCAACTGGGTCCTGATGCTGCATACTTAGGCTTATCCATAGTAAACTTGATGCACTCATACAGTTTACAACTATTGTTCATTATCAAAAGGTCAAGTGAATTCATGATAATATATTTCAGTGCTACATTATTCTTTCAACATTACATTACATTATTCTTTCAGCTAAGTCAAGCCTTAGAAACTGTCTTGACACCGAGTTGTTACGACGCCACAACCTCATAGTACCAGAAGACTTTTCATCAGAGGAGATGTCACCAAAAAAAGCTCCGCAAGGTCAGTCATAATCCATTTTAGTGCCAAATCTGCATACAGGATACCTTTAAACTAGTAGTTGCCTGCTAGCAAGCTCTCAAGAAAAGGGGAGCTAGCGCTGTGGGTGGAGATGAAGAGAACAAAGAGGTGACAGCTTGATCATGAAAGTATTAAAGGTCTCAGGATATGAATTCCACCTCCAACACCCATTGTAGTAGTCTCTCCTTGTCTGAGGTGTCAGTTTTTGGCTTATCAGTGCAGACTGAAAACCAGCTCTTCAAATGAAGAGGATAATAGAAAAATGTCCATTAATAAAGTGACTTTTTAGTTATTTTGGATTGTTTAAAAGAGATGTGCCGTACTGAAACCATTGCAGTCAGACTATTGTTAAAGTGGTAACCAAGCAATTTGCCGCTGCCTTACTTAATATATTACAAGTATAATTATGCCAATAAATTTTAAAGCTGAGTCATTCTTTTCCAATTGACATACTGGAGTGAAAAACCATTTTGTTAAAATGCCAGAGCATCTTTAAAAAAAAAATGAAAGTTGTGAAAAACAGAATGTCGGAACTGTTTCTCCAGACAATAAACTCACGCTCACGATAAAGAACTTGCAGAACTGTTTTAATACTTCTAACTCTCTCTCAGTAAAGATCACTAACTCTCACCATGTGCCTTTTTTGCTGATACATCACTTCTTGAAAACGACATCCTATAATATCCATAATCCTAGCTCCCAGGCCCAGACAACCTTTGGGTGCGCCTGACTAGTTTACAAATTAAAAAAAAACACGAACGAAACATTCTTAACATCCGAATATCAACCTACGAATTCTCACACTCTCCCCTATTTGATACAAGTAATTGGGATCAAATAAACGTAAGTTCAGTGTTCGACTGCTTCTTCTTCCGCAATGCGGCAAATGTTCTCTGCTGCTGCAGCTGCAGCCCTCCTAACGGGGCGAAACTCCCTTGCTCTGGGATTTAGGGATGGGTCCTCTCTCACACGCTGCTCTTGATCACAGGAAAGCTCTAAAGGAAACAGATGCTGGACTGCCCGTTCAAGGTAAGATTTTTCTGCCCTCAGCCTAACGGCTCGTACCACCCCATCTCGGCCTTGGAAAAGCTTGACTACAATGCCCATGTTCCATTTCCCACGGTTACGTTCAGCATCGTGGATAAGGATGACATCTCCTAGCTTGATGATCATCTGTTTGGATTTGTGCTTCATATTGTGTCTTTCCCTCAGGGACTTCAGATACTCCCCACTCCACCGATTCCATAAGACCTCTTTACACCGGCGTAGATACTTCACCCTCTTCCTCAAGTCAGCATCTCCTTCTTCTGTGCTTTCTTCTGGGACAAGTCTTGGTTGACCAAACATCATGGCACAAGGAGTCAAAACTGGTAGCTGCACGTCGTCTTCCACGTATGACAGAGGGCGATCATTCACAGCCACTTCTACATCCAGCAAGACTTCCTCAAGCTCATTCCATGTAAGACTAGCTCGACCAATACTTTTGTACAATGCCCGTTTTACAACGCCCACAAGCCTCTCAAATTGTCCCCCCCACCAGGGGGCTCTGCTTAGATTGAATTGCCACCTTATTTCCTGATGAGCGAGGTAGTTCTGCAGCTGTTCATGTTTTACCACCCCTTTGAACCATTTTGCTGCGGCAACAAAAGTTCGCCCGTTATCAGAATAAATCTTCCTGGGACGGCCTCTCCTCGCGATAAACCCTTTCAGATGCTTGATGAACTCCTCAGCTGTTTGGTTTGGCAGCAACTCCAGGTGGACAGCTCTAGTTAAGCTGCAGGCAAATAGCAAAATATTCGCTTTTCCTTCTTTCTTTGTCTTGAGTTTGTACCCTAACTGTCCTGCAAAGTCTAGGCCAACAACTTCGAAAGGGGTTGATCCTTCCGTCCTGTCTGTAGGCAAATTTCCAACTGGTGGGTTTGAGAAGGCGGTTACTTGGAATTTCTTGCACCCATAGCATCCTCTGATAACTCTCTTTGTGAGCTGTCTTACCCGCGGCACCCAATATTGTTGACGAACAAAACTCATCGTAAGCCCCACTCCCCCATGAAGACTTAGCACATGCTTATCATGGACAATTCTCTCTGTTAACAAGGTATCTGGCGGTAAGTAGATAGGGTAACTTCCCTGGATTCTCCCTCTACACACGCACAGACCCTCTTCATTCTTCTGCAAATTAAGTTTGAGCTGATCTTCGTGGAACGTGGGTGTTTAACTTGCTGTTTTGAGCTCTTCCTACCCAGAATTTCACTTGCTTGAGAGTCTCACATGTGGTCAATGGACCAGACAGCCGGTGCTTCTTGCCTCTCTTACAGTTTTAGATAAATCTTGCTACCCGTGACGTGATACGTATCGTCTGCCAGAAGCCATGTTTCTCTAAAACCTGGTGTAGGTTGTCCTCCATCTCTGTGGCCCCAGCAAACACTTCCTTTACCAGCTTGGCCTCTGCTTCTGTCTCTTTACTTGGCTTAGTTTGCACCACCACTGGCCACATTTCTGGTTCAGTCAGCTAGTTTGGTCCCTTCAGCCAGATTTCAAGACGCTCTCTAGACAGGGTGCCTCTGCTCCCCACGTCAGCTGGATTTTGCTCTGTTCCCACATACCTCCACTTTACATAGTCCTTGGCATTAATATGTGCAACTCTATTGGACACAAATTGTTTGTAGCTCCCTTGACCAGCGATCCAATGCAAGACTACTGTACTGTCTGTCCATCCATACACAGACCTCACTACGTAACCTTCCAAAGCACTTCTTACATTGTCTCCAAGATTGGCTGCCATGTGAGCGGAAATGAGCTCCAACCTTGTCATGGTAAGCCCTTTCTTTGCTAACCGTGCCTTTGCTGCCAACAGACCCTGGTGAATACCAGATTCTTGATACACGACTGTGTACACTGCTGCTGCTGACCGTTTTCCACTTGAATCACAGAATGCATTCAGGTCTAGAGATTAGACCGGTTCTTGAGCTATAGTTAGACTGCGTGGGAATTTCAGCTCACCAGGCCAGTTTCCCTTAAATTTCTCCCATTGTGCTTTCAGTTCCTTGGGTAAAACAGCATCACAAGGGAGGTGTCGGTCACATGCTTCTCTGAAAACCATTTTCCCTACCAAGATTACAAGACTTGCTACCCCAAGAGGGTCATATATTGAAGCTAAACTCCTTAGCACATCTCTCTTTGTGGCTGCATGTGAATCACCAGAAAAGGTCACAGCCAGAGTGTCCTCCACCTTATCCCAAGGGAGCCCGAGTAGTTTTGCTTCATTGGTTTTCACCCGCAACTGTTCCTTAGCATATGTCTGGCTATCTTCTGTCAACTGATGATCTGCTTCCAGTTCTGGTACATTAGAGTTCCACTAATGCAATTCGAAACCTGCCTGTTTAAAAACCCCTATTGCAGTTCCTTTCAAATCATGCACTTGATCAACTGTATCTTCCCCAGTGATGATGTCATCGACATAAAGACTCCTCATGATTTCCTCAACATGCTTTGGGTATTCAGTTCTTAAACCTTCTAAATGTTGTTTCAAGGTACCTGCAAGAAGAAATGGCGACTGCACAAGTCCAAATAATGCCCGCGTGAACCTCAAAGTCTCAACTTGTGATGAGTTTTTATCCCTTATCCAGTGAAATTGAAGTGCGTCACGATCTGCTCCTTGAATCCTCACTTGCAAGAAGGCCTGCTTAATGTCTCCACACAAGGCAACTGGTTTAAGCCGGTTTCGAACCAACACACTCCAGAGCAAATTTTGTAGAGGTGGCCCAGTCCCTAAGCAATCGTTCAATGAAGGGCCACCTTGGTTTGCCTTAGCTGATGCATCAAAGATGATACGCATTTTGGTACTCTGTGCTGTTTCTCTTATCACTGCTTTGTGCGGCAGATAACAGTCTCTTTCACCTTGAGTCTCATCCCTCACTCTCTCCACAATACCTTCTTTCAGTTGGTCTTAAATTATTTTGTCATACTCATCCAAGTGGCTGGGTACCTTCTGCAATTTCTTCACAAGGTTAGATAGTCGTACGAGAGACTACCCTTCTGATTGTTAGGGAGGGATGGGTGTCCAGCTTTCCAAAGTAGACCAGTCTCGTACCACCCCTCAGGGTGGCGTAGCAGTTGCTCTTGGAATTCGCTATACACCACCTGTTGATCGCCAGCTGGTCTGTCCTCTAGTCCCAGTACATCAAGGCTGCACAACTGCTCGTAGTCGGACGAAGAACTCCTAGTTAGGTACACACTGCTCAGGTTTGTGTCAGCTCCAGGGGACATTATGGTTCAGCCAAACATTATAAATTCTGCTATTGGTTCTCCTGGCTCTCCCACCCTTGGTGCTGAATTTGTCTTAATCTTAGCATACTTGCTAGCCCCCAGGATCACGTGTATAGGCAGCTCGGGCTTGATGTCGGTATCACGCCCTTGAGGTGTTGGTACTTGGCAATTGTATCCCCATATCTCGGGTTCGGGATAGTTAGCAAAGTTCCCTTGTCCACTTTGCTCAGGATAGTGGGTAGGCTGAAAACTCCTTTAATGTTAGAGACTTGGACTTTGTACATTTCTATCTTCTGACTAGTACTCGTCATCATCATTTCAATTGTCTTATACTCTTTTCGATCTGGTTTTCTGTTCAGTTTGCTAATGAGTGCCGCTGATGCATAGGAGCTTCCGGCTCCCGTGTCCAATAAAGCTCTACACCTAATTCCATCCACATCTACCACAACTACCAGGTACACCACTTGACCTCCACCTGTTGCTAGCATCAGCTGGTTTGAAGCTTATCACAAATTGAACGATGGTGCTTCCCATTACATCTCGTGCAAGTAGTAGTGCATCTACATTCCGCTGCTCTATGTCTAGCGCCAGTACAGTTAAAACACAACTTATTGTCTGACAAGTACCTCCTTCTGTCAGCTACCACTTTGATCTTGTCACAGTCAACTGATTTATGTTCCTTAGACTTACAGTAAACACAAACCCTATGTTTTCCACTCTCTTGTTTAGCTTGAAGCAATGGGTCTCTTCTCTTGTCACGTCTCCCATGGTTGCCATCCAGGGGAACTGGGTTCCTTTTACACCACTTCCTTAAGCCTTCTACTAATTGCGGGAACCCACACTCCTGCCAGTTATCATTCAGCCTCACTAGATCAGCTCTTATGCCTGGTAGTTTATCTAGGGTAAGTCTAACATACCCTCTAATATCTTTCTCCTTACCCATGGACTCTAAGGTTTGGATATTGGTAACCAGTTTCTCATAGAACTCATTAATTTTTGTTGGGTTTGTCCCTGTGATAATTGGCAATGCCATTATGCACTGGATGTGAGCATTAGGTACTTCACTTGGCTTTCTATATTTGGTCATAAGAATGTTCTTCGCTCATGTGTATCCCTCACTGTTAAAGGGCAACCCATTGATGACAGCTCTAACTTTTGGTACAAGTAGTTCTTTCAAGTATGAGAATTTAGTAACTTGACTAATGTCAGATTTGTCTATTTCCACTTCAAACTGCCCCCAAAACCTCTGCCAATCTAGATGCGTCCCCTGGAATTTCGTTATCACAAGTTTGGGTAGTTTAACTTTTGGTTTACCTGCATCACTCTCCTTCTCGACGGTTTTCGCTTCGAATTTCTTCTTGATCTCAAGTCTCACTTTCTCCTCCTTTTCCTGAGTTTCTCTTGCTTCTCGTTCCCTTAACGTTTGTTCCAGCTCTTCTAAATTCTCTGACCTCTTCGTCACCTCATCCAATTTTAAGTTCTTGCACAATCGCTTGTACTTCGTGGCATTCTTCAACTTTGCTTTCCATCAGCTTACGATGTCTTTGAATCGGTTTCAGCAAATTGCTACCAGCAATCTTGTGTGTGTTTTCGTTCGTCAGCTGTAGTACTTTCAATTTGTTTTGGATTGCTTTCTCCTGATTTTCCACGGTTACCGCTGGTGTTGTCATGACTGTGTCCTGGCAGGGTCGCCACTTTGTCGGAACTGTTTCTCTAGACAATAAACTCACGCTCACGATAAAGAACATGCAGAACTGTTTTAATACTTCTAACTCTCTCTCGGTAAACATTACTAACTCTCCGCATGTGCTTTTTTTGCTGATACATCACTTCTTGAAAACGACATCCTATAATATCCATAATCCTAGCTCCCAGGCCCCGACGACCTTAGGGTGCGCCTGACTAGTTTACAAATTAAAAAAAACGCGAATGAAACATTCTTAACATCCGAATATCAACCTACGAATTCTCACAAGAAACACGATCCAGCTGCTAATGATATTTAGGTTTTTGGCTTCCTTGTCATGATAATTGAAAATTACAAATTATGTAAGGCCAGAAACCAGCAAAGCAAAAAAGGCAAGTTTTTTCTGTTGAATCAAAAACTACTACTGTACATGCAAAAATTTATGCAATTCCAAGACTCGAAAACAAATTGAATTCCAGCTTTTCCTTTGGTCAGGCACCTCTCACGTTTGGCTTGCCCAGGTTATTAGAAGTATAATTACCATCCCATTTCAGTATTGCCAATCCTTTCCAAACCTTTAGAACGACATGTCGTTTGTAATTTATCAAAAGCACTTGTTAAAGTATAATCTTTTATACAAAAATTAGTCTGATCGACCAAATTATTCTTGTGAAACTGCCCTAATCAACACACAACGAATCGTTGGCTAAAAGAGGTGGACAATAGTAAGGTTATTGGGGCCATTTTGCTTGATTTAAGCAAGGCATTCGATTTAGTCAATCATGATGTATTCTTTTGTCAGACTAAATTATCGATGTACTTCACCAGTGAGCACACTATGCAATAGTTTAAATCTTACTTGAGTGATCGCTCGCAGACATGTATCATATTGGGAAAAACATCAGTACCGCTTCCTCTTGTGCTGGGGATTCCACTGGGATCGATTTTGGGCCCATTATTTTTTCCATTTGCATCAATGATTTGCCACTTTCTATACAAAATTCTGAAACTGATATGTATGCAGATGACACTACCATCTGGTTATTAGTGATCATGTGTGAAATTACATGTATACAACAGTCATTACAAGAAATTCTTGACAATGCAAATTGTTGGTTCAGCCTTAACAGGATGAAGCCCAATGCCAAAAAAACAAAGCAAATGTTAATTGGAACTGCTAAAAAGCTTTGTTGTGTAGACAAGACATGCATGAGTTTATTCTTGTATCTCACTTGGAATCTGTGTATTGATTATGTTGTTAGCAAGGTGAATTAACCGCAGAATTGACCTGCTCAAGAGGTCAAAAAGTTTCCAATCTTTGCACTGTAGAAAATATTGTTTAATTCCCTTATAGCTCATAAAACCAATTCTTGAATGCCAAAAAAAAACAAAGCAAATGTTAATTGGAACTGTTCAAAAGCTTTGTTGTGTAGACAAGACATGCATGAGTTTATTCTTGTATCTCACTTGGAATCTGTGTATTGATTATGTTGTTAGCAAGGTGAATTAACCGCAGAATTGACCTGCTCAAGAGGTCAAAAAGTTTCCAATCTTTGGACTGTAGAAAATATTGTTTAATTCCCTTATAGCTCATAAAACCAATTCTTGAATACTGTTGTATGGTATGGAGCAACTTTTCCAAGGAACAGTTGGACAAATTGTCACGATTACAGAAATGCTGTGCCAGAATGATACTAAATGCTAATTTTCAGGATAATTTATTAATGTTATTTACTAAATTAGGTTGGCTTCCAATTTATTGATGATATCATTCATACAAGAAAACTCTCTTTTCTCCACAAAATCTGTAATGGCCGTGGTCCAGAATATCTTTCCTCCTATGTTAACTATGTCAAGAGTATAGCCATGATTACAGCACAAGAACCTCAAAAATGATCAAGTGCAAGAAAAATTCAGGCCTCAGAACTTTCCATTCCAGTGCCACTTGTCTGTGGAACAAAACTGAACCATCTCTTAGAGACGTACGCTTTCACAGAAGCACATTTTAATGTATTAGAAAACTCTGTTACTGAACATTTTAGTATTAAGTATATTTATTAATCATTTTATTAATAATTATTCTGCAATCTTAGACAAAAGTCCTTGGGGCAGTACTGCAATATTCACATTTTTCTGTCATTTCTTGGTTCCCTCTTAAGACAGTGCATTCTTTTCGAAATTTTCTTGCAGTTCTTCCTCCCCCCAGCCTACACAAAGTTGAAATTTGGAAAAAATTCTGGATACACGAGTTCAATATTGTTTGTGGGGTGAGGGGAGAGGTTGGACCTGTGAGAATTGGAAAACGTCCCAGAAATGCAAAAGTGTCCGGAGACGTTTGTCCATGATTGTAGTTTTAGACTTTTATTTTAGACTAGCTTAGGGAGGGCTATTGTGTAACTACTGAGTCATCAGTAATTGATGTTACTCTCATTAAATAAAGTTTTATTATTATTGTCACTTCTTGCATTGCTCATCTTAGTTTATGTTTTTGCCCACACCCTTGCCCATGGCCATTGGGCAAGTATTCTTGCTTTAAAAGTTACTTGCCAGCAAGAAAATGTACTTGTCCCAGACTACTGGACGGGACAAAATTCAATTCAACAGTTTGATGCTCTCAATTAACCCATCTCTGTTAACATGTATAGATCTGCTGTACATGCACATGTAATTCTGTGACTAAAAAATCAATGTAGTTGTAACAAAACGGTCTTCTTGTAGTACAGGGGAGTGTGTATAATAGGCTCATTAGTGAATTAAAAATTGTTATTGTTCTATGTTCCTTACAGCTGATGAAGTGCCAGGTTATGCCAGACCGACAACATCATCTCAACAGCGATACAGGAAAACACCTCCCTTAACAGACTACCTTGATGATACAGGTTTGTCTACATCAACATGGCCATGGGCATCACTTCCACCTACTCAGGGAAAAGAGAAAAGAGATTTAGATGTGTTATCACCCACAAGTGTAAGTATTATTACATCTAGAAAATATCTTAATCGCGTACTACGTGCAGGTCATAACCAAAATATGTGTATAATTTGCAGTAAACTTTGTGTGTATTTTGATGTTTAAAAAATTGCCGCTACTGACAAATTAGATGAGACCAATCAGAAATGGAGAAATATTTTATATAATATTATTATTAATATATAGTTCGTTTTATCTGCAGACTAAAAGCAGACTAACAAAATCATCTGTTTGGAAAGAGTCCTTGAAGCCAGACCAGCGGCAGTTAGAACGAGAGGATCTGAAGAGGTTACAGAACAAAGCAGAGTACAAAAGGAATCCTCGGTTTGTACCCCCTTTAAAATCAGGACTAACTAAATCACAAAAGGATAAAAAGAAAAGGAAATCAGAAGCAGAAAAGGAAAACAAGTAAGTATATATATTCAAAAGTTAAGTACTTCTTGTGAATATATAATCTTTATTTTTGTTTCTACAAATGCTTTTAAAAATTTTCCAAGTTAGTTATGAAGTGGTCATAACTTGACATAAATTAGGATTCTTACTCCTGTCTGGTAATTTCAGTGATGATATTGGTTATAAAGGATGTTATGAACATCAGGATGGTGGTGGTTTTTTTTCAACACTTATTAAATGTTATCTTCTTTCAGTACCAGTGAGCCAGTTGATATTTTTATTGCATCACCATCACCTGTTGTATTTACAGTGTATGAAGTTGGAAAGGCTTATGAGGTATAATTTTATACTTATTTATAATAAACCAGGAGTAGTCAATCAATAAAAATCGGTAGTAATCGAGTGATTTTTATCAATTGTAAGTGGAAATCAGTGAAAATTGATAAAAAGTTGGAAAGGCTTATGAGATATGTACTTATTTGTAATTAACCCCAGAATGGTTAATCAATAAAAATTGTCGGTAATCAAGTGATTTTTGTCAAATGAAAATGGAAATCGGTGAAAATCGGTAAAAAAATCGATTTGTCATGATTTTGACAATATTTATAACAGAAGTCCACCATTGTTGTTTTGTTGGCGTAAGTGAGATACCGGTAGTACAACTGAGAGAAAATACATCCACGAGTAACAACTGATCAACAAACATGAAAATCAGAAATGTGGAAACAGTTACACATACAATGTTGTCTCTAAAATCCTTCATTTTGTACGTAATAAATAAATAAATAAATAATAAAGACCGTTTATTAACCTCATTGCAGTAAAAAAAACTGAATTACAGGGTTGTAATACAATTCTAAATTGTATTCCAAAAATAATTGTTGTATTCTAAAAAACTGTGATCAATCATGTTGAAGCATTTTGAAAAATCTGCAAAGAATATTCTTGCACCACAGTCCCCCCTGTCCGTTGCCTCATGAATCTCTTGGAGAAGATAATTAAAGTGTCCAATGTAGAGTGACCCTCCCTCACATACTGGCACAGGTCTAGCTTGTCTGGTATTTGAGACAAGTCTACTTCGAGCAAAGCCCTCCATGACCTTGACGAGGTTGCAGGTTAGAGAAATAGGTCTAAAGTCTGACTGGATTTCCTTGGGAGGGGAGACCTTGGGTAATGGGTTGATATGGAGCACTTTATAATAAATCTGGGACATAGCCTTCTTTTAGCAACCGGTTGTAAATGCTCATTATGGATGATGGAAACTTGGGTGCAAATTTTTTAAGGACCTTATTGGGTAGCACATCTGGTTTGATAGCCCTACCGACATTTAAGCTTGCCAAGGAGTCGTGGACAGCTTCCCTCTCACTAACAAGGAGACCAGGGGAACTTGCTGGAAAACTGGCTCAGGGACTTGGAGAGTAATTATTAAACAGTTCTGTTAAATAATTATGACATTCAGCTCCCAGAGCAAGCATCACAAGAACTTTGGCAAAGATTTACTAGCCTGAATTTCAGACATCCCCTCGCATGAAAATTCAGGTTAAATGATTTCCTTGCTTAGATAGATTTTCGCCATTTTCCGTCATCAATCGATAAAAATCACTTAATGATTTTTATTTAGCAGTTAATGAATGAGGCTGAGTATAGGATGTGAAGAATTAAGCAGATAAGGGAGGGTGTTGTCTACCGAGGCCGAAGCCTGAGGTGGATAACACCCTCCGAGATCTGCTTAATTCATCATATCCTATGAAAGCTGAATTCATCAATAACAAAATAATTCCTTAAAATTTAAAAACATAGCTGAAACATGCTTACCTGCATCAATGTTAAGTTCATCTTCAATACTGTACATTTAGGTTTGTCCAGCTCCGCAAATATTCTCCAAATAGCAGATGTTGCCCTCCGAGTTGTCTTCTTGCTGTTTTTGCCATGTTTTTAGCTATTATTTCGCCTGGTTCCAGCTGTAGTTCTTACTCTGGAAACGAGTGAAATGTCTGCCATTTTTTTTTTCACAACCAAAACAACTCAACCTTGTTGCGAGGTCTTCTTGGTTAATGGTGCCTTAACCTGTAGAGGGCTGCATTTTTGACGTCATTTCCTTGTTAAACTCGAAATTCTTCCAAATTTGGTCATCAGTAACTAGTTATGGTGAATTATGCGTGTGCTTTAATTTAGCCAATCAGAATTGGGGAAATATTTTGAATGAATAATAGTGATTTTTATTTTTATCTATTGACTACTTCGGGATGTGACTACACTCGCAATTACACCGACGATATTTTAAGAGGGTGGCAGATCTAATGCTGAAAAACTGGGCGCCTACAAACCTGGCCAATATCAGTCAACAGAAAAAAGATTGTAAACCTGGTTTTAAAGAAAAGATAAAATTTTTTTTAAATGACCTTTATAAAAAGTGATAAATTGTTCTATCCTTCAACAGTCAATCACAACTCAATTGTCAACAAATTTACTTTTCGTATGAATTCATGATCAGTTTTCATTTTTTGATGAACAGATGAACAGATGTATCTTCCGATATAAATTGGTGAAATCGGCAAAAATCAAGATAAAAACTGATGAAGAAACGAATATGTCATTGATTTCTGCTGATTGATTGATACAATCGATATCAATCAAATCAGATTTACCGATTTTTAGTGATTTATCAATTGACTACTCTGGGATATTAAACATTTGTCAAAAATACTGGAATGCCTCAAAATGCTTATGTACCGGTAGAGTTACAACTTTAGTATTACTCAAACTTACTCTTGGTCTAATCAAGTGAACAATCGGTTCTGTAAACAAGGAAATCTTTTCCACACTGTATAATGCACCTATCAATGTAAACCCTGTAGGGGGGAGTGCAGGCAAGGGGTAGGGATTTGATAAATTTTAAAATTTTTTGATCTAATTCCCCAGGGTGGGAAACGAAAGGTCAATCAAAAGTGTCAAAAAACCCCCACCCCAGGGGAAAAATGTAAACAAACAATACTATATAATACTATATAAAACGAATGAAAGAACATTTCAAAAGTACGTTCTTACTACTTTTATTTAAGGTTAATGTAAGCTCCGTTAAATTATTCGCTGTAATTAAGTATTTTCTCTCTCCACTAGCATCTCTTATTTTGAACAACATAATCACTCCACGAAGATTGACCGTGCTATTATATTAATGAAACGTAAAATGCTTTATAACAATGTCATTGGCTCAACTTGTCGGAACAGGTCGGATCAGTGACCTGTAAAAAATCCTCTGACTTTCATGGTAGAATTTGATTTCAATCGAGGTTTACAATCAGATGGGAACTTGAAGATAAAAACTTTCTCAAAATAGACATTATCTGTTTAGATGACAGTGTAAAGTATCAGATTATGGCCATTAAAACAAATAAAAACTTCATAACTTTCTCCAACAGCGTGACTTTCAGAAAGCCTCGAGGACGGACTTGGTTACCGCTTCTGAATTGATACCAGGCTTCTATCGGTCAAAGTCAAATGTCCCGACCCCAGGGTCGCTTCGCACGATCAAAGGCCCGACAGGGGGATAGTCTCAGGCATCAAATCCCCGCCCCTTGCCCGCACTCCTCCCCCACAGGATTTACATTGATTTGTGCATAAGGCTCTTGTGAGACCAATCCTCGAGTACGCTTCCCATGTATAGTGCCCTTACCTAGTTAAGAATAATGTTCTCTTAGAGAAAGTTTAGAGAAGAGCTTTTCGATTGGCCTTAGGTCAGCGAAGGAGAGAGGTGTCATAAGAAGATCGCTACGAAATGTTACAGTGGTCGCAGTTGACTGATAGAAGGCTATATTTTTCTTTGATTGAATGCTATAAACTTGTATTCGGATTGAATAGCCTTTGTTTTTCCGATTTTTCGGGGGTTCGCTTCAAAACGTACCAGGTCCAATCACAACTACAAACTGCAAGTTAAATCGGCTAACTGCAATTGTTATAAATACTCTTTCTTTGTTAAAATTACTCGTGAATGGAATGACCTGCCCGCCAATGTTGCTGAGATAGGAAATTTAAGATGTTTTAAAATAGCTCTTAAATCGTACATGCGTATTTCTTAGGTTTTTATCCATCTTAGATCTTAGATTTTATTCATAATCATATATTTTAAATTTTTATTTTTGGAAGTTTATTTACATAGGGTCAACCTCTTAAACTTCGTTTTTAGGGTATTATTTGTATTGTTTATTTCTTATGATACCTTAAATAAAGTATGTATGTACGTATGTATGTATGTATGTACTCTTATTATGCAAGTTAATTGTTGCTTTAACTCAATTACCCTGTCAGAGTTAAGCATGCAAGGCTAAAATAGGTTAATCTTGTAATGCACTAGCTGAAACCTGTATCTTAATTAAATGTTCACGCTCTCAAGTCAAGTTCACAGTTACAACACCCGATCCTCTTCAGCTGGTAATTTTTATAGGAAATACTCTACACTGAATCATCACAAAAACTCTTTGATAGCATCAGGGCTAAAATTTGGAATAGTATCCCCGAGAATTTGAGAAAACTTCCAAAGCATGCTTTTAAGAAACAAATACACAATCTATTACTACTCGATCTTCAAACACAGGGTAGTTATGCTGATATATAGACATCCTTATTTAATTAACAAAATTTAAATAGGATAATCTTAATCCAATGTATTGTAACCTTTATTTTTCTACTTATCGACATATTTATTCATTATTGTATTATTATCGTTTTTAACATCTTTTTTCCTTGATGTTGTAAATCTTTTTAATTTTCCTTGTTAAATAAATGTCTTTAAGTATGTAGAGTACCCACAATTGGGTACTCTACATACTTTTTGAACACTGCCTGCCTCAAATAGCTTTAGGGTCTTCTAACACCATTAAAGGCTTGGTTGTATATCTAGAATTTTGAGGTCAGTGTGACCTAATATTGTCACTGCTGTTAATGGAGTTACAATATGTATACTCTGTAATCTTTGACACCTGTCAGGCCTGTAACTTGACTAGTAATCAGACTAAATTGTTTGTCAAGTTTAGTATACTGCAAGACAATCCATAAATAAAAATGTGTTGACATATTAGTTTGTTAGTTTGATTTAAAAAAAACGTTTTGAGGTTTCATGTTATTCTTTATATGTGTTCTATTTCAGTTACTTTTAGACCTAAAAAATGTTTCTTCATCAAGTCGCCAACTAAGAATTGTTCCTCCAACATCAAAATACTTCTCTGTTGGGCTAGGTAGGCGACATTGTATCATTACATTAAATTTTAATGACATTTATTTTTCTTGCATAGTATCTTCCAGATTTCCAGTTGAATGCCCCCTCCCTCCCTCCAGCAGCTTTCCGTGTACTTGCTTAAGACTTACTGGTAATCCACTGAAAAAACGGCCCTAGCATTCTTAAATCTGACAATTGCACTCTGCAAGGTTGATTTTGTTATTAATTTATTTATTCATTCATTTAAAAGGTGGTTATTTTTATCATTTTGTATGAATTCAGGAAGATTTCCGGGGGAGCATGGCATAGTTGCACCAGGTCTTAACTGTCAGTACCCCATCAGATTTGCTCCAGACTCATTGGCAGACTATGATGATTTTCTTAAGGTACAATCCACTAGTATCTTAATTCAGGGAGAGATAGTGCTGTATATGCATAGATTGATTTTAGTTCCTTCACATTAAAAGTAGGAGTAAAACTTCTGTCTCACAACATTTGAATACAAATAGTCAAGTTAGGAACTGACTATTTTTTATTACCTGTACATTCATGCTTTTCAGTTGGCTTTTATCTAGTGTGTGTGTACTAGCCTGCATGCAGAAGTGTTCTATTTCCTTTGCCTGACACAGAGTTTCAACTGTACAGATTTTATAAAGTTACCTGTGTGATATTAATATTCTGTATGGAAAACAATGCTTTCTGTAACTTCATTTTATCCATAACTATTTTGCATTAAATTTGAGGTTACTGTTATAGGTAAAAACCCAAGTGGATCCTCCAATGTTGATTTCAATTCGGGCAAGAAGGCCCCCTCCTGTGTTATCTTGTAAGTAAAAAAGGCATCCTATTGATATTTTTAGGAGAGAAAGAAATGAGGTACAATGTATCAGTTAGTAATGTTATATCAGTAACTTGGGAGAAGCCAGAACTTAAGAATGCATCATTATCACTTAATCTTAAAATGATAGTCAAGGATTAGTTTGAACACTGACTACAAAAAGGTTAGAAAAAAAAATCGTCAAGTTGAGATCTCTAGAGGTGATCTTGTCCAAGCAGTCCTAGCAGAAGCCATAATATCAAGTTAGTCAGAATAACATTACATGACTAAGCACCATATCTATGATGTCTGCAAGTCCTTGTTTGTTAATGATCGTAAAATTTGTATCCTAACAATGTCTCTGATCAGAGATGAGTGTGACTCTTTACACTTTGTCTATCATAGTTTTGTATGACGGACGAATGAAGAGGTCTGCAGTCCTTTTTGGTTTTGTGTTGATGAAAATAAGAAACAGAAAAAGGAGATATTTTCAGAAATGTAAACATTATTTGTGGTACTTGCCATTATTAAAAGGTTTAAGTGAAGGAATCAGGCCGCTTTTAGTGTTCTGAATGCTATGTTACAATAGTGCTTTAGTTTTTCCTAGGTGTCAAGAATATCTTCAGTGTATGGAGAAATTGAGGCTGAAATAGTGGAAATTTAACTTAACAGACTAACACTCCGCTTAATTTAATGGCACAGAAATTTATATTATTAAACGAAAACTAACATAAAAATAATTTTGGGAAGCAGTGTAAGGCAGTGTTTCTTTTTCCTTTTTCTAGTGTCTCCTGTGCTTGATTGTGGTCATACATTGGTGGGAGGCAAAAAAGTCGTTCATCTGACTTGTGAAAACAGAGGAGGGGATGGAAAATTTTGTACTATGAGAAAGTCTTGTTGGCCAACTACAACTTTCCAGGTATATTAGGTGGTTCTGATTAAAAACTCCTTTGGATTGCATTAAACTGAAAACAATTACTAGTTGCATTGCTACTTTAAGGTGATGTTACAAGGGACGATTAGCAACGACGATTTTTAGCGCGACACAACGTTGCAACATTGTTGCAACATTGTTTCAATTAGCTGTAACATTGTTCCAACATTGCAACGCTGTGTTCTGCTAAAAATCGTCGTTGCAAATCGTCCCGTGTAACATCACCTTTAGATTGAGAAGTTATAACTAAATCAATACAGTCAACTTTCTCTTAACGGACACCTTTATTAGATAGACACCTCGCTAAAACGGACACCCACAGTAATTTAGTCCCTGCCTTTCTTTACTCCTTTTAGTTGACTCTATATATAATAAGACAGGCACCTCTTCTCTAAGAGTAAAGACGGACACATAGTGATAGTCCCAAAGGTGTCCGTCTTAGAGAGAGTTGACTGTCTTACTAAGAAGAAGACCATAGTTTAGAAACGTATATATTTCACAAACCTGCCTGGGGATAAGAGCAGGTTGTGGGTTATTAGTCATAGTTCAGTTTTCTTTCTAGAGGAATCTTGAGAATCCTGGATCGATTGTTGCTGAACCGTTTGAACTTAAACCTGCGATCTTTAAGCTGAATGCTGGAGATGTCGCTACACTAGAGGTGGGTCTCTATGCCAGAGTTCATTATTTTGTCTACAGAAAGTGACTGACTTGCTATGGAGAGGAGGTTAATTGGCATGTGAGAGATCAGGTATATTTCAAATGTGCAGTAGATTGTCTGTAAATGTACTAACTGTAATATACTAAGTAACAGTTATTACCGGCTAATAATCCTCTTTTTGAGGGATTGCTGTAGCGGTAAATAAATTAATAAATAAATAGTGTCGGTAAGCACGTTATACAGGTTTGTAGACTTCGTGGGTCAATGGCTCAGTTCTCCTTCTAGCCCAATGAGTCAGTCATGCCTAAATAGACCTTAGTGCATGATGATGATTCAGTAAAGGAGTACGTGTTGTTGCCTTCAGATCACATTTTGTCCCACATCAGCCAAGTTCTTCCAAGAGGAAATAGTGTTTATTTGTGATAACTGTCATGTTAAGGAGTTTTCTCTTGAAGGTTAGTACATTATTTGTATCACTTGTCATCAATTTATTATAACTCATTGTCACCATCAACAGTTTTGCCTGCTACCCTCTTGAAAGTTCTTGAGAGACTAACGCTATGCACATACTATACCTGATAGCAGCCATCCGGTATAGTGTGCATGAATATGTCACTCCGGTTCCACTTTAGAGATCAGCGCGGCGCAGCTTCGCTCCGTTGCAGAAATCGCCATTCTTATGTGTGAACAGAGCCCCTTACTGGTGTGGTTTTACGCTGGTTTCCGTGCCGACGCAAAAGCTATCAGATATAGTATGAACATCCTAATACATAATAGAATTGGCCCTAATTTCGAGAAGATTTACCATGAACACGTGTTTTCTTATGAAAACCATCACAGTTGTGAAGGTGCCTTTTGTAAGTTTGGCTGAACAGTGGAAGCACTCGATTGACAAAATTAATGTTCGACAATGATTAGTGTCTAATTTGGACTTGACAAAAGTATCTGACAGTCTGCCGCACCAGCGATTAATTTTGAAATGGAAGGAACAAGGAGCAAATGTTGGGACAATTGATTTACTTGATGAGGGATTTTATCATGAATTGTCGGATCTGAATGCGTGGCATAATAACAAGAGCGTCAAACATTGAACTCGTTAACTCTTTCACTTCCGGTGATGAGTTGACGGGAAGTGAGTAGGCACTGTGCCTCTATTTGGAATTATGAGTCTTGGGGCGAACTTAACGATAGCAACCAGTGCCTCCATTTCGTACTTTTGTCATCTGAGAGTTTTATGGTTGTTCTGCAGGCACAGGTCAGATGGCAGGCGTTGAGCTTGAGTCTGTATCAGGTGGTCTAAGCCAATCAGAGATCGGAGAGATGCGAGATCTTTCAGCGCAGCACCTTATACGATTCCACGATCAAAATCCTGGAACAACTACAAGCAAAGCTTTGGTCATTAAAAATACAACGTGAGTATATCTTCTTATTTCGTTGATGTGTTTTCAAGTTGGACTAAAAAGGCTGCTGTTAGAAATGTTTTTTGACTGTTCTTTTCTGCGATCCACTAGTTAAACCGATTTTATTTATTACTAATGCACCTTATAGGTAAAAGAGTGCTGCCCTGGTGTCAATTTGTATGGCCAAATTAGGTTTGCGTTAATCTCCCGTTCGGCTAGCGCGCGTGCAATTAGAATACATCCTGTGAAGCGTTTGTGGCGTTATTTGTTGGCCAAATCGTCAGGGCCCAGTTGTTCAAAAAGGTGGATAATGCTATTTACCGGATAAATCACTATCCAGCGGATAATGCAATCGGTTTTCGTAATACTTGTCCACTGGATTGTGATTTATCCGGTGGATAGTGCAGGCTATCCAACTTTTGAACAACCGGGGCCAGAAGTTTTACTCTGGTTTATTTGAACATTACCTTCTACAATTATTGTGAAATGATAGTGTAATAAAACCACGGGTGTAGAAGATAATCAAAAGACTTTATGAAAAACACGATAAAACCGTGAAAGGTTTGAACGCAGGAGTCATTTCATCAGTAGATAATGCGATATTATTGGTCGCCTGTCAGTTAAGCAGTGATGCTACTGGCTATAAAGACTCGTAATGTCATTGGTGCGTTTCGATCCGTCTATTGTCACAGTTAAACAGTCGTTTATTGTGATTTAAATTGTCAGCTGTCCAGTCGTTCTCTAGTAGTTAGTTTTGCTTGATTCCGTCAATAAGTCATTCTTATTAGTAAACCAATAAGTTCAATAACTTAGAACAAACGCCACTGAATCATGATCAACAGTTACCGGCACAGTACAAACGACTTATTGCGATACTCATTACAATAGACGGATCGAAACGCACCAATTATATTACGAGTCTTCATAGCCAATAACTTCACGACGACCAATAACATCGCTACTTAATTGACCAATCAGGTCAATAACCAGAGTTTCATACCTACGGTAGCAACAGACATGAACATGAAGGTAGTCACCGGCGGTGTGAAGCAATCTTCGCTCCTATATGCTATGAAAGAGAAATTTATCACATACACATTAAAAGCAAGGATTTCAACTAACCTCAATGAACTTCATGCAACAAAACGTAGCGGAGGTCGGTATATAAAAGCAATGGGTGTGCAGGGCATTGTGGTAAAAATCCGGTGCATTGTGGTTAAATATCAAGATGCATCGTGGGTAAAAATTGAATATTTTTTATCATTTTTGCCCCTGTACAGATTAAGACTGCTACCTTGCTCGCTTGCTTCAGGCTAGCTCGCGTGGCCATTTTTTTGGGAAAAAGGATGTAAGCGAAATTGATTTTTTTTTTTCAGTAACGTTGCACTTCCTTTTCGCTGGAAGCTTTTCAAGCCATACTTTAGGTGCCCTGTACTGCCTGGGTTTCCTGTTCAGTCACTGATGGCATCATCGCAAGTTCTACGGACACGAGAGGATAATGGGGTGTTTTATGTCACTCCTAATATGGGTACACTGCCGCCTCACCAGTCAGTGGAGTTCATCCTTGAGTTTGCACCCAGAGAGGTAAGCTGCTCTTGGCGTAAAAAGGCTTATTTTGCGTCACGTTTCAAGGTTTAATGAAGTGTAAAGCTTGAAGGGAAGCATTCTCAGAAATATAGCTTTCGCCTGAGCTTCAGTTTTTCTGAAATTAAAGTTTCGTCTGGTTAAACAATGGCACTTGTACAGGATATTATGATCTTATCATAGCAGACTGTTTTTGCTGGTTACAGGTTGGTAGTTTCCACACTGTTGGGCATCTCATTCTAGAAGAAATCCCACTGCATGATACAGCTGACAGCTCCAGCCATGATGTTCGAGATGTAACTGCAGTGGAAATTGAAATAAAAGCCGTTAGCAAGGTAAAACGCGACTGCAATGTGTTGTAACAAGTGCAGGGAGGCGGCAAGGGAAACATATTCTTACTAAGAAGGTGACAGGTAGCGGTAGTCACTGAAGGAATTCCACGTGATGTTATCGGCACAAAGTGCGGGAAAATGTCAGCTGTTTGCCTTTTCCCCATTTGCTACCTCCCACCGCTTGGGCTCGTTGCTCGCTCCCATTACCCTCCCCCTCCCCCTCACACAGACACTCGCGCACCACTCCTGAATCCAGCGCCTCGCCCTGCTCACGAAAAGCCTGGATAGAGACAGCTATTGTCAACTGATGTCATTTTGACTTTTCATCAAATTGCTTCGGTTTTAGTCTTGAGCTAATTCTAATTTTAAAGGTTTTTTGTATTAGGGCAACCACTGGTAGCCTTAGACAGTAAATCAATAATTATTATTATTACAATTTTGCTCTAACCACATTATCTGACGTTTTAATTTTGGCGGTTTTGTTTTCAGCCATTTGATGTACGTGTCTCCCCTCCACTGGTTGTATGTCCAGGATCCTTGAAAATAGGAACTCATTACAGATTTCCTTTGAAGGTCAGCATTGAATCGCTCCAAAACACAGACTTTAATACATGTGCTGTGCTTTGATCTGCTGTAGAAGTGAGGTGCTGGTGCAGTAAGCTTAAAAGATGATATAAGATGTTCCATCGAAGAACTTTCTCGGCTCTAAAAATGCGTATTTTCCACACTGAGTAGAACCTTTTAAAGTCTCTATTAAAAATCGTGCGTTAGATTTGCTGTGTAATTACAATATTCTCATGAAACCAGTGAATGAATTTTCGAGGACCAGGTTAACTTCCCTTTGAAACCTGGTTTATTTGTTTCAGATGTGTAACAATAGCGTCTCAGAGGCACGTGTTTCGTGGCGAAACATTTGCGAGCCTTTACGGAAAATACTAGTCGAACCTCAATCATCTGTTCTCGGTAAGGATTAGAATAGTCATTTAGTGAGCGGCCCTCTGTGTGAGAGGCTGCGAGGTTGATCCCTAGGTTTGTGACCTCAAATCCTTCTTTCGACTTTTTCCTTTCCGTGTATAGCTTTAAGGTAACTCGACCCAGTTTTTTTGGGGGGGTACCATCCTACTTTGAAGCTCTCTGGTATCCCCACCTTTACTTTTATCGTAAGTCTAACACATAGAATGGATAACATATAGATCAATCTACAATATAACATAAAATTTTTGGCGATCAGAGTAAATGTCACGTGGTTATAATGCCACGCCCCTTTGAGGTCTGAGTCGAAAATCGGCTGTTGCCGGCGTTTTTTCCTCAAAATCTCTCGGCTACACATAGTGCGCATTAGTGCCTTGCGCTGAACAGAGTTTCACCAAAATCGCAAAGACCCAATTCGAGAAATTCAGCGGTTTCCAAATTTAGGTCATAATTTGTGCGAAAATGATAAGCAAACTTTACACGCTTATATCTAATAAACTATGAGACTTATCCCTTTATTTTGGGGATCGTTATAACAGATGGGTCCTTGCAAGTCAGCAAAAAGCTTTAGGGCCTTGTAAATGCGCGCGATTTGGAGCAAAGCGAACATATAGAAATGATAGTTTTCGCTATTTGTTGACGTTTGTCAGCGTTTAAGAGCGAATGCACAGAAAAATCGAGCAAACCGTGGCCACAGCTCAAAACCTAACCTACCCTCATTTTAAGTCTGTAATAAGGTTTTAATGAATTTATAACACTGCTGAGGTTTAATTTTCAAAATGCGGCCGAGTTTGGGAATTATTTGAGATTTTCGATTTCAACGGTCTGCGGGCCTAAAATTAGCCGCCGAACAAGGCAATATAGCCTAGCGACAGAAATGAGCTGAATTTCATAAACGAGCGAATATATTGCCAATCTTCCACTTAACTCTCAAAAAGCAGATATCTAACAATTTCTGAATGGCTTATTTTTTTTAGATTTAGAGTATAAAATATCGACGAACCAGCAGAATTTTGAAACGTAATTCGCATAATGCTTATAAATACAACAATTTACCGCTAAAACCAAAATCGAATTTTCTATATGGGGGAATTCTCCAAATCACCCCAAATCCCGCTTACTTCCTAATGAAATATAGTACTTCAACATTATCTGAAAGTTAGTCTGGTGTTCTTGCGAACGCTTGTGAAATAGATTGATTATTTTGAAGTTATTTTGCCCCAAACAACTGCTAATTGACCCCAGGGTCAATTGACACGTGCACGTCACCTTAGTTTTATGCATCGATTTGAGCTCGTTAAAAGGGAGAAACTAACAAGATTCTTTTAATATGTACCTGTTTTAATGAAATACACGCAATCTTCAAAAGGAGAGGCCGTTCAATGGGTAATTTCTGTTTTTGAGATCTTTTAGATTGTACCATGGCGTCTGCGAGTGGACCTGAGTCTAGGTCTGTTTTCCCGTGACTGCGAAATCAGAATAACATCATGAAATAATTCTCTCTCGAACCTTCGTAAATGAATCAGCTTTGCAGTGCCTTACCTGTGATAAAAAGTGGGCAGAATAGGAAAACAGTCTAGCGCAATTTGGATCCTTTGCAGCACGTAGTGTATTTGCTAAGCGGCTTTAAAAGTCAGGTGAGTAACTAATTAAAATTAGTATATACACACTCAGTGATCTTGGTGATTTAAGCAATCTGATTGGTTCGCTATCTCGGACTATTCAACAATATTCACCTCCTAGCGAGTGGATAATGTGTGAGCTCGGTGTTTTTCCCGTTTTTTTTAGAGAACGATCTTTTAAAAGTCGACAAAATCCTAGGGCTGACTTTTTTTAAGGCAAGAAAAGACTTGGAAGGATTCAATACGGCGTTTTTCAATTTACTGTAGCAGGAGTTTTGTGCTCGATGGATTGTTTACAACTCCCGTGTATTCGCGTAGAAGAAGGGCGTCTGGAAAAACCGGAAACCGGAATCCGGAATAGGAACGGGAATGGGAACAGGAACCGGAACCGGAACCGGAAACAGCAACGGAACAGAAACAGCAATGTGAAGGGGAACCGGTACAAGAACAGGGATATCATTTACTTTAAATTATTTTAATTCGAATTCAATTTATACAAAAAATAAGAACACTACTCTGGTATCATGCTCCCCCCCGAATCTCTTTATAATACGGCAGCGAGGAGGTAGAAAAAGCCGCAAGTTAAATAAGTAAAGCAACAGCTTTGCGAGTGCATCGTATCGCGCTTTCTGTCAAATTCTTCACCGCGTATGCACAACTATGATGTAAATGATCAAATCTTAAGTTCTCTTAAGAACGTGAACGGCAGGTAATAAATTTTATTGTGTCTTTCTGAGCTCGGACGCGGTCTCCAGCTTCATTTCCCAACCTTTAAAAGACTGGGCAATTTGGAATTAATGAGAAATAGTTTGAATTAAGACCCGAATTCAATTTCTCAGTGGCGTTTTCGCTGGCGTTGCCGTCGTCAGATCTTAAGGTTCCTTTTGTCTCTCACAGGAAGGTGGTTATCACATGTTAATATTATTTGTCAGACCATGTGTATACGAGACACCCATCGGAGACGTTTATTGGGCTGCCATACACCTCAGGTTTGCTCCATAGATATATTGTACGGTGCTAAATTGGGAAGTTAACCAGAGATAGATAGTCCACAGCTTAAAAAGGGTATTAACATGTACTTCCTCCCCTCCCCCAAAAACCCATCTCAGCGGCCAGTACTTCATCTACCTCAACCGCGTGCAATAGGGACCTTAATAAGCAAGCAGAACGTTGACGTCCAGGACATTAAAAATGGAAACTGGAAGTGGATGTTTTCTGTCTTTAGGTGCTCTGACTCAACAAATTCGCACAGTGGAAGGTAAGAGGAAGAATTCAGATTCGTTGTGTGAGACAGAAGCGTTCCATCAAGCGACGGTCAGCGTTCTCGTTGCTTAAGTTCGCTATTATGTTTGACACGAAAACACAATGTGTCATAGGCTAAAGATAAAGAAAGGTTAATTAGATTAACATTTCAAGGGTGTTTTCTTGTTTCTTTAATTATTTATCTGGCTTTTTATTTATATCACGATTATATCTTTTTCTTTTCATATTCTATACACTGTTTATATTTCCGTTCCTATTCCGGTTCCTATTCTATTTTTCCCTTATTTTTCGTATATAATCTGAACAGGAATAAAATCCAGATTAGCTTAAATTAAGGTAAATGTTGTCCCTGTTTTTATATAGGTTTCTTTTCCCATTCCGGTTCCTATTCCGGTTCCGGTTCCTGTTCCTGTTCCTATTCCCGTTCCTATTCCGGATTCCCGATTCCCGCTTTTCCAGACGCCCGTAGAAGAAGCCGTTTCGTGAACTCAGCGTTTTCTAAGAAGAAAATTTTGGCTCAAAGATCGAAGTTTATTTATGACAAACAAATTTAAAAGGAAATGTTTGCAGAAATTCTACATTTCAAGTAAACAGGAAAAAGAATGATACAGGAAGACGACCTCTTACCTCGAGCAACCGAGCCGCCATTTTTGTCAGCACTTCATGCGAAGAACGACACAACATGCCCTTTTGGCTATAAACTTGGCGAGTCAACAGAAAACAACACAGCTCTACTTTTTTTCTCAGGTAAGGAAACAGTTCAAACTTTTAGCGATTCCATTGAAGCCATTACGCTGTTGTTTGCGAAATGAGTAAACTTGTGAATTGCCATGTTTGAAAATTCTGCAAAGATCTATTTTTAAACTTACGCGTGATTTGATCTGTCAATCAAATCCTACTTTTGAATGGTTTCCTTTCTGATTTTGTTGAGATCACTTCGTGTGTATATACTAAAACAATTATTCTTCTCAATCTCGGTGAATAGTGGCTTTGGGAATATTTACCTCGCCGCTTTCGCGGCTCGGTAAATATTTTGCCACTATTCACCTCGATTTCAAAGAATAATTGTTAATTAGTTACTCACCTCCGATTGCGTGACCAGGCAATTATAGATTGTCTCCAGCGAAAAATAAGTGCATGTGTAACCAAAGCTTTCGGGATACAGTAAATTCATTTTCCTGTATGACCAAGTGTCCTTTTGTCCTATTTTAAAAGCGGTTAACTAAGATGATTAGCAAACATACTGTCCCACTTTTAAAAATGGTACAGTAACTGAATGTTCTGTTCTTCTGATTTTACCCCTAACCCCGGAGTGTTCAGAAGATATATTTGCACTACGCATGAAAGGCAAATGGATTAAATTTTAAGGTTCACGGCGGTTTTAAGGCATGGGTTACCAGTGGATTAGTCAGACTTGTCATAAGGTGCATTGAACAGAAAATTACAGACATGATATCTCTGCTATTGTATGTCCATTAAGTGATTTTCCATCAAACATTATTTTTTTACTTTTTTACCCCAAAAGTTTTTTTCGTTCAATTCTTATCTATGAGATGTAAACTTAGTTAAATTTCTGTAATTCGTTGTTAAATGCAAATCTGCAAACAACTAAGTATTTAATTTTGCGTAAAAGCCACATGAAATTGTACTGTTTAGCCGTAAATCATTAAAAAGAGAAAGCATCATGCTTTCTCTTTTCAAGTCTAGTAGGACTTAAGCAATGGCATTGCTTAAGTCCTAGTAGTTCTTCTCCATGTCTGCTAAGGGGGAAATAGTTTGCTCTTTTCAAGAAATTGTTCTTGCCCATTGCGGTTTCAAACCAAGGATAGCAGCAAGTCTGTCGTGGTCATATACTGCTACTTCAGTGCAAACGAAGCATAGGCGCACAAGTCAGCGCTTGCGTTTAGTCAGGTGCCGAAAATGAAGTGGAAACTTAACCCTAAGGGCGTCCATGTTCGCTCCGGCTCGAAAAGGTAGAATCAGTTGTGCAGTAAAAAGTAATGCGAAAAACCTGCGGGGGCTGGGGAAAGAAAGGCGTCTTATTTTTCTTTGGCTTGTTCTATTTTCGCGACGTGCTACAGGTTACGAAATACTGACAAGCTCAATATATGTCTTCACCACCGAGAGTCACTTGCCCTTAGCACGCCCCTCACGTATCATGTTTCGTTCCTAAAGTTATTTCAAAGCACAGAACCAAACCTAATCAGCGGCCGAAGGCAGAAAAGGGAATGAGCAAACGGATGTCACAGCATATTTTGCAAGAAACCGGTATCCTTGTGCCTATCGGCTCAGGAACGATTGATTACTACTAGAATAAATACCAGGGTCAGAATTTGAGTGCTACAATGGGAGGGAAGGAAGAAAAGAAAACCGCCGCGCGCACCTGTTAAGTCTTTTATAAACTTTCTCGACCTGACGGTCTCAAAGAAGGGCGTTGTGGCTGCTATTTAATTTACAGTGTCTGCTGCAGGAGTCGAATTAATCCTACAGCAACTGGAAACGTGGCCACGCCTGCTGAAACTGAGATTGCTTGTAGGATATTCGGCTATAGCTTGGTATATTCACGAGCGCGTTTTGTCCAGTGAACTGAGCGCGTAGTTTTTCTTAACGAAGGGATGGGGTGGGTCAAGTGAATATTTCGGGGAACGTTTGCTCTCTTTAGTGGGGGTATATTTGTTGATATCAGGAGTTCTGGCCTGGATAGAGTCGTTGTAAAGCTATTTTTGCTTCGGGGTATCGGTTTCCCGGAAGCTGAGCAAGGAAAATTCAATGGTGCATTTATGGAATAATAATAGAGATTCTCATGGTTTAACAGTGCGAAGATTAGACTTCTGGTAAGGTGGCAACGATCAAGGCCCGCATTATAATTCATGATAATTGAAGGTCATGATGTGGAAAAAGCGACTGAAATGGTGGATGCCATGCAATCCTCTCGGGTGCAGGCGGGGCACCTGGTCTTAACGGTTGCCCCTTCGACAGAAGGCAAGCATGCCCAGATTGTCCACGGGTTGCTAAATGAGACCGTCCCTTTCTTAGTACCCGTTCCCTGTCTTTTTATTAGACCCGGGCAAATTTCTCGAAATTGCACCATCATTTTGGGCTTTTAAGCTTCCAAAGTCCAACAATAATAGCGCATGTTCGCGACGGTTTTTTAAGTCAGTCAAGTTCTTAAACCAGACCTTAAACGGCCAGTTTTAAGTGTCGATAACAGTTAAAAAGGCATACAAGCCCCATGCAAAAGACAGTGGGAAGGAAGTACACATCGGTGATGGGGAAAAAGGACTAGCCCACAGTTATTTAGGGGTGGATCTTTCGAAACATTCTTATACTCTTGGACAGATATGCATTGTTTAAAGTTTTAGACAAACCAGGTGTAAATTTATAGTAACAAACTGTTAAATATACATCAGCAAGATTTTTTGCGAATCCTATTTTTCGCTGGAGACTATCGTTTACTGGCTGGTCACGCAATCAAAGGCAACGTACTTTCCCACGTTTGTTTACTGACCTTTCGCTCGGCAATACACTGCGTTCGACAAAGGATCCAAATTGCGCTGGAAATGTTTTGCCATTCGGCCCACTTTTTATCTCAGGTAAGGCATTGCAAAGCTGATTCACTTACGAAGATACGAGGGAGAATTATTTCTTGATGTTATTCTGATTTCGCAGTCACGGGAAAACAGACCTAGACTCAGGTCCACTCGCAGACGCCATGCTGCAATCTTCAAGATCTCAAGAACAGAAATTACCCATTGAACGGCCTCTCCTTTGAGGATTGCGTGTATTTCATTAAAACAAGTACATATTAAAAAGAATCTTGTTAGTTTCTCCCTTTTAACGAGCTCAAATCGATGCATAAAACTAAGGTGACGTGCACGTGTCAATTGACCCTGGGGTCAATTAGCAGTTGTTTGGGGCAAAATAACTTCAAAATAATCAATCTATTTCACAAGCGTTCGCAAGAACACCAGACTAACTTTCAGATAATGTTGAAGTACTATATCTCATTAGTTAGTAAGCGGGATTTGGGGTGATTTGGAGAATTCCCCCATATAGAAAATTCGATTTTGGTTTTAGCGGTAAATTGTTGTATTTATAAGCATTATGCAAATTACGTTTCAAAATTCTGCTGGTTCGTCGATATTTTATACTCTAAATCTAAAAAATAAGCCATTCAGAAATTGTTAGGTATCTGCTTTTTGAGATTTAAGTGGAAGATTGGCAATATATTCGCTCGTTTATGAAAGTCAGCTCATTTCTGTCGCTAGGCTATATTGCCGTGTTCGGCGGCTAATTTTAGGCCCGCAGACCGTTGAAATCGAAAATCTCAAATAATTCCCAAACTCGGCCGCATTTTGAAATTTAAACCTCAGCAGTGTTATAAACTCATTAAAACCTTATTACAGACTGAAAATGAGAGTAAGTTAGGTTTTGAGCTGTGGCCACGATTTGCCGATTTTGCTCGATTTTTCTGTGCATTCGCTCTTAAGAGTCTTTCTCACGAAAAAAGCATTTTCTTCAAAATTCGTAGTTTTTTTTCCTTCAAAATTTTTCAGGGCCACAGTTGATTAACTAACTACCCGGACTCTGAATTTCATGGTCATTGAAAAACTGTGACATCATCTTCTATAAGCCCAAACTTGAGTAAGCATTGAAGATTTTTAGCGTTTTGGCTGAGTTTGTGCTTTGGGAGTTGTCTATTGTTTCTAGTCTGTCATGATACAGGATTCTTGTTCAGCACGCGTGCAATGACCGCGCTTGGCTGACTTCCGAATGCTCACCGAGATATGATAATGACAGGCCATCGCGTGATACATAGACGCAACCTCGTCCCCAGGGTCTTCTCGCTTTCCAATATGGCGGCGGCAGGAGAGAAGACCCTGGCACACAGCGAACTAAAACGATCGCTGATTGGTGCATTCCATGGTGCGTTCATACGTGCGCTCTCATTGGTTTATTCCTTCCAAAACAAAGATGGTTAACATTTGAGGGCTTCGTAGAGGGTGAGAAGTGCGGGCTTCAGTGTTTGAGGTGGACAGAATTCAGGTCTGATTGTTCGGAAAACTGTGACTGTACCGTTGGAAGGCAAAGATTCGCAGATAGCGATATCTGAAATGGTAATCGCTGGGAATATTATAAGGCGTACGTAGAGGTATTTCTGTTGCTCGTTCTATTTGGTTTGTGTGTTCTAAATTACTAAAGATTTGTTTCTTTAATTCCCGATTTGTCAAAGAATACTTGCAAGGCTTCAGCTTATCAATAAATTTCGCTGTCCGTTTGCAAACTGCCTTTTGTTTTCTTTGAACAATAGCTGTATGCATAATATTATTAATGTATGGGGTTATACGGAAATCGTGCATAATCTGTGGTTTGTCTTAGCAGTTTTTTGTCCAGTGAAGTATTTTTTTTTCATTTGATCGTAACATGCATGGGCTTAACCTGGCCTTCTTTTAATTTTTTTCACTGTGATTTTGAAGGGGCATGAGGAGCGAGAGAGGCAGATGTCGAAACAAAACTAGAAATTGAAGCCAAACAGGTTGTCGCTATCCTTCGATATTTTTAATCCTGACTTTTCATTTATTCAGTTTTTAGTGTCACAATAATGATAATTTATTATTATTTGCTCATTTTATAGGCAGTAAAATACAGCTAAATACAGAGACATTGGGAAAATAAACTGTTTCCTTTTCTCAGAAATGAAAAACTTGCATATTTCTAGTTAGTCTTTCTAGTTGCAAAAATAAAATAATGAAAGCACATGATGTCTTTTGTTTTATCAAGTTGAAAATAATGATCAGCCCATGCAAGGAAATCGGACAGTCTTGGATTCTCAATTCTGCTCCATGGATACTGCATTCTGGATTCTTTGTCAGTGGAACTTGGATTCTGGATTCCAATTATAAGTGGGATCCAGAGTACTTGACCTTTATTTCAGATTCCAAGAGAAAAATTTCCCAGATTCCAGATTCCCTTAGATGGGGTGACAGTGATCCTAAGATAAATACGTTTTCTGTCAAACCAAAACCTGTTAATTGAGCTTCTAATTACTGTAGGCTAAGTGTGCATGTTGTTCTTGTCACTGCATGTTGTTCTTGTCACCATATGCTTGAAAAGGGGGTTTGTGGACCTGAAATAGTGGCTGGCATTGTAGTATTCCAAAACCAGCTAGGTATGATTATGAAGCAGCTATAATTCAGTTCTAAAATTTGGATTTAAAAAAATAAACTGCTTCAAAGGGTGCATATATCACTATCCACTGAATATACAAGAGCGGAAGGGGCCTGCAGCATCTTGATCCCAGGATTTTTCATGTAGGGATGCCAAAGCTTTTGAAGTGTTTTGCACCAGAGTCCCCATTACCATAGTGAGCTTTTAGTTGCCTAGTCATGGCCAATGATTTTCGGGTCACGTGGCCCCAAGCAATATAGTGAAACAGTTTCCCCCCAGTTTGCCTAAGATAAGTCACAGAAATGAATTGACCAAGAAGACCTGGGAAAATGCCACACAGGGACAAGGCAAGGCTTTTAGCTTGTATAGGTGTTGGGCTGTGAGGATGCAGCTGTTAGATGTGCTGGCTCAAATACTTCCAAAGTCTACTTTAAGGTGTTGATTAGTCTTAGTCATAGTGTCTGTATCATAATCATATCATAGGAAATAATCAGATTAACCCAACTATTAAACTGATAATCAATTATAGTAGATTATAGTTTTGTGACCCCTGTGTACCACTTTCAACACTGAAAACACTTTTGTAAGTGAATAAAACAAAAACCTACCCCGCAAGCAGAAGCTTATCTGTCACATAGTTAAACCAACTAAACATCATATAAACTACACTAAGAGTCCATCAAAACGACAACACAGGTGTATTAATGTCCTTATTTGTTAACAATGTTTTTGTGTACTTTCCACAACAATCAATTGAACGTTTGTATGTTAAGCAGTATTCACTTTGCTTTAGGTTTCAGATCAATGATAGATTATGATAGATAATCAGCACTCCACTACCAAGTTATGTCTCAATTAGACTACGAAAGGGCCCATCTGACACGCAAAGCGTGTTTGACTTAAAAGATTATTATCCCCAAATGAGATAGGAACTTTTACAGTGCACATGAGTCAGATAGGACTGTCAAATTTTTGAACAACTGCAGTCTAGCCTTTAGTCAATTTGTAAATTGTCATGGCAAAGTGCAGCCCCACGTAATATGCCGTAAAATAAACCAAAGTCAGGGATTAAGAAAGTTTTTGCTCTAAAAATAAAAATCTATTTCAAAGTGAAGAATACATTTGGGATTGCTAAATTACAACCAATGGAAACACTCTTCACTTTGTGGTAGCTATTAAAGCGGGGTTAATGCTTTTTTTTTTACATCTGAGAGGCAAAAAAAAACAACAATAACAACATATTAAATCCTCTACTAAGGCCCCACTCTCTCAAATAAGCCCTCCTTTTCAGTGGAAGAAAGTTTTAACAATAAGCCCCCCTCTCTTTTAACCCCCATCCCACCTCCCCTCCTTTTCTTATTCTTCACTAATAAATAAAAGACTGTATCAATCAATGACAACTGTAAAACTTTGTGTGGACCGATCCAGGATGGTTTATTCAGCAACTGGAAGTTCGGATTTGTTTTTGATCATCGGCTGCTTGACCTCCAACCTTCTTGTACTTGGGCTTTTTCAGTTGGCATTTTTTTTGTGTGGGGAACTAATATCAGCATATTTGCTAGATAAAATAAGGCCCCTGTCTCTATTGCCCAGAAGCATTGTGAACAGGGTTAGATATCAAAAGCCAATAAGAAAGTCTAAAAATTGTGACGTAGATGAAGATTAACAATAATTTTATTACCTGCACCAGATCAAGTGACGAAATATCCAAACTGAAAAGGAACTGTTTAATTTTCAACCAAAGTTTCCTTAAATTGTCTTAACAAAATAGTGTTCTCTGGCTCTTGTTCTGAGAAAAAAAATTGTTTTTTTACATATCAGAGTTCAGTTAAAATGAGTGCAGATAGAAAAACAATAGTCAAAAACCTCATGAAGATCTGTAACAAAACTGACGATAACTTATCAGCTTAAAGTGTCCGCGACTTAAGTGAATGCTTAGTTGAATTTCGGAACGGAAAAGGTTTTTGAGCGTCACGACAAAAAATTCCCTGGCTTCTGAGGTCTGTTCTCGAAATTCCTAAGATGAAATAAATTGCGCTCACGGTTAGAAAAAGCTCCCCCTTTCACGAAAAAAGAAAACTGAACCTCTGGCACTCAGGGTGGGCAAAAAAAGTAAACAGTGAAAAAAGGTCGGTATCGAGTGCCGTGTACGCTACAGAACGTTCAGGGTTAAAACAAATGAAGGTCATTGAACAGAAAATAAGATCGCTATATCATTCTACCGTATTCCTGTGGCTTGTAAGTGCATTCTTTCATATTTTCAGCTTCTTTTGAGTTTGCCTTTACCGCCATTTTGTTTGTTTTTCACCAGTCTCAAGACCTCGTACCCAGATCCTCTCACTCTTTATCTTGGCCGCCATTTTGAATAAATTTCCACTCTCCGTGGACAAATCAGTCACGTGATTTCTGCTGTGTGCCAGGGTCTTCTCTCCTGCCGCCGCCATATTGGAAAGCGAGAAGACCCTGGGGACGAGGTTGACATAGACGTTTAACTCACAACTTTTAATCAATTCTCGTGCTTCTTGTGCCTTTGCAAAAAAAATCAAGAAGTGCTACACACCAAATCTACTTACTATTAAAAAAATAACATTTTTTCATAGGTTTAATGCAAGCCAATAATTAAACCAACTCGTGACGGGAATCCCTTCTATTTTCTCATACTAAATTATCATATCTCGGTGAGCATTCGGAAGTCAGCCAAGCGTGGTCATTGCACGCGTGCTGAACAAGAATGCTGTATAATGACAGACTAGAAACAATAGACAACTCCCAAAGCACAAACTCAGCCAAAACGCAAGAAATCTTCAATGTTTACTCAAGTTTGGGCTTATAGAAGATAATGCCACAGTTTTTCAATGACCATGAAATTCAGAGTCCGGGTAGTTAGTTAATCAATTGTAGCCCTGAAAAAAATTGAGGGAAAAAAAGCTACGAATTTTTAAGAAAATGCTTTTTTTCGTGAGAAGGACTCTTAAACGCTGACAAACGTCAACAAATAGCTAAAACTATCATTTCTATATGTGCGCGCATTTACAAGGCCCTAAAGCGTTTTGCTGACTTGCAAGGACCCATCTGTTGTAACGATCCCCAAAATAAAGGGATAAGTCTAATAGTTTATTAAATATAATCGTGTAAAGTTTGCTTATCATTTTCGCGCAAATTATGACCTAAATTTGGAAACCGCTGAATTTCTCGAATTGGGTCTTTGCGATTTCGGTGAAACTCTGTTCAGCGCAAGGCACTAATGTGCACTATGTGTAGCCGAGAGATTTCACGAAAAAATGCCGGCAACAGCCGATTTTCGACTCAGACCTCAAAGGGGCGTGGCATTATAAGCACGTGACATTTACTCTGATCGCCAAAAATTTTATGTTATATTGTAGATTGATCTATATGTTATCCATTCTATGTGTTAGACTTACGATAAAAGTAAAGGTGGGGATACCAGAAAGCTTCAAAGTAGGATGGTACCCCCCCCCCCAAAAAAAAAAGAAAACTGGGTCGAGTCACCTTAAGTAGTTTCAAATAGCTGTAAAGCGAAGCACTGACGAAGAGAGCGGAGAGGGGGGTGGGGGGTGGCCTCAGGTTTGTCAGTCAAATGATAACCGATACGAGTTGCCGAACTAAGGATCTTTACTTTGTTAGGTACCATTTCTGTTTCCCAATACGTCATAAATCCAAAGGATGGCTAAACGTGTTGCAAACTGTTAAAATACCCAGATTGGTTAAAACTATGGTTTTTCGAACGGATTATAAGTAGAAGTCATAAGAACACTTGTGCTTTTCTCTATCTCGTTGTAACTGACCAGGTGCGGGCGAAGAAATGGATTTGGAGTTAATTGTGATGATAAATGAGCCATGTCTGATTGAGGAAACAATCCTTTGTGACTTGAAACACGTGTCTGCACCCGTGTACTTGTATGTAAAAGCCACGTTTGAGGTGAGTACAAAAGAGAGATTGAAGAAGCTTACTTGTATAGACAAACTTTTTACTCACCACGCAAACGTTAGGACTGAAGAGACTGCGCAGTACAACAAAAGGATGTTGCTAACATGATATAACAAATGGGTACGTGAGGGTTCATAATTAAGGATAACGTTCACAGAATCAACCCAAATGATAGCTACCGTGCCGTAATGATTTCACCCAACATTTGCATTACCATTTGCGTTAGCTAAGCATATTCACGGTACTCCATATAGCTCTTATTTGATTAAAGAAATCAAAGAAAAGGCAAATTGTAGAGAATCACCATAGAGACCAGTTGTTCCTCTGACTTAAGGTGGATTTCCACTGTCGCGTTATGTTTTATACGTGCGTTTGACGCGCCTAAATAAAATAGAGGCAATGTAAAGTGTCGCCAGAAGCATATAACTCTGGACCATATGCTTCTGGTGTCGCGCATACGCTCGTAAAAATCACGCGCGACAGTGGAAATCAACCCTTAGCCAAATTTTTATTTACCATGTATTGACCAGTCAGAGAACTTTGAACCCTTCAATTTCATAGTTATTGTCTCCTTTTTCGTTTTTTAGGGTCCTGAAGTTGTATTCACATCTCCAGACCTGAATTTCAAACTTATTCCGTTCAGGGAACATCATGGCTTTGAGCACATAACTATTAAAAACATTTCAGAAATTCCAGCAGAGTGGAGCTTAAGGGAATGTGCAGACTGTCTAGAGGTACCTTTTATTATTTTTCGGGTGCAAGTAATTGTATTGCTGAATATGAATACCATAAATCCTGTATTAAGCCCCCCTCTCAAATAAACCTCCTCCCTCTAATAAGCCCCATCTTTTCAGGGAAAGAAAGTTAATAAGCCCCCCATCCCTTCCCTAATTATTCTTCACTAATAAATGAGAGACTGTATTAATCAATCGGGACTCTAAAACTTCGTGTGGGCTGATCCGGGGTGGTTTATTTACCAACTGGAATTTCGGATTTGATTCTGATCCTCGGTTGCATGGCCTCCAACCCTCTTGTTCTTGAGCTTCTCCACTTTGTATTTTAGTTCTTTATGACGAACTGATACCATCGTCTTTTTTAAATTAAATAAGGTTCCCTTCTCAGATAAACCCTCCGTCTCTAGTCTCTATTAAGCCCCCCCCTCAAATGGGCTGGAAAAATAAGCCCCCTCCCCCCGGAGGACTTAGCAGATGATTTAAGGTACCTAGTAGAAAACTTCTCGCAGGTCCTTTTCATTGGGATTTTGGAGGTACTTGAATAACCACACTTAAATATTGAATGTAACTATGAAGAAGAGTACATGTATCCCGGAAAACAGCCTTCGCACTCGTCCTTCCTATTTTTTCATTTTTTAGTTGTTTGTCACTGAGTTACTTTCTATAGTTCCATAAATTTTTTCCTGCATATCAGTTATTCGGTTACTTTAACCCGTGCAGAAATACTGTTTTAAAACTGCGTACGTTTGTTCTCCGAGGTGTCAGAGGACATGTTGGTGAATTCTGCTGAGTTTACGTTCACCCCCAGCTGTGGAGTGCTGGGACCGCAGGAGAGTCAGTCAGTTCAGGTGTTATATAAGGTTTCACAGGCACCCAGACGAGTCAGAACTGTTCTACAGTGTAATGTCAAGAATGGCAAAACAAGGTAGGTTACGTCACAAGTAACGTGGCATCTGGGTCTAATGTTAGGAAGCATCGGAATGTTGTCTGTTTTACCTCTTAGTCCTTGTTCGGCTGTTGCAGAGCCAAGTAATCAACCGTCTTCTTCCTTTGCCGTTTAGCATTGTATGATACATTTATATAGAGTGTTTTCACCCACGTGGCCAGCATCTATGCAAATTTATTGGAACAAAAGAAAGCGTTTGCATAAGAAAAGAGTACAACTCCCAGAGGACTGGTTTGGGACACCAACATGGCCGCTGTTTCATTGTTTTGGGACACCAATATGGCCGCCGTTTCATTGTTTTGGGACACCAATATGGCCGCCGTGACGTCATGTGAAAACACTCTATAGTTGATATGCCACAATTTTTTCTAGTATAGTTTTTGTATGACAACGTCTTTCCGGAACAATTCCAAAAAGTGTTTTTTTTTGTCTCAATGTGGATTGTAAAACTTTTTTACGTTTACTTAAACAGCTTTTGTGAACTTTCTCTCATTATTAAGACAAAATCGTTTGCAAACTCTGAGGTAAAAACAAAATATTTTATCCCTTAGAAAGTGACACCTACAGCTTTGAGCGCGCTAGCTTTTGTCATCGTTTACCCATGGGCAACCGGTGACCAATCAGAGCACGCGCTTTATTTTTTTTGGTTATATTTTGTTTTTGTTTCCGCTTCTTTTTTCTTTTCAGCTATTTATCAGTATTTGGGGAAATACAAAGGCCGCTTGTTTGCCTGTTATCTTGTGACATGTACATTGAGAAGGTGTATTTAGGTGTCCCTGTGAGCAGAGAGGTTGTGCTTCACAATCAGTCACTGCTGAAGGCCAGGTTTACATGGGAAGAGGTGGGTACCACCCTAAAAGGCTTACTCTCGATTCTGAATCCAGCTGAGCATTTCTGTTTTTTAGTAGCTTTCATGAAGATTCCACCAGTCAAACGTCTAGACGTTATGTTTTTTTTAATTGGTGGGATTTCATTTGCCAGTAAGTGTAAACATGGGCAAAAAAGTATAAACCAGTTCTTAACATAGTGATCTTAAAATCTTTTTAAAATTGTGAGCTTTTTTTGTTGAAAACGCTTAGCGCTGAAAGAAAATCATGCTAAAATTGGCGTCGACAATAACACCAACCTTGGTTTTCAAATACTTAGACCTTTTTTAGTAAACTTTCCAAAACTCTAGTAAACTAACAGGGTATTGGTAATAAAAATGTTTCAACTCACATTTGTCGTTTGGGTTTCCTTTTTATAGTTTTTTTTAGACTGCTGAAAGCTGCTGAACATTTGGGCTTACATAAGTTCTCCTTTGTGAAAATTTTAATTGTGAATTATTGTCCTTTCCGCTCTCACGATGCATTCACTTTCGACTTCATACTGCTAGTTTACATCAGGGGATTAGGTTGACTGGTTTTCCGTCATCTTCTTATGGACGATGCTTCGTTATTATATGAATGGATGGCGATAGGCGAGTTTGTTCTCATTTTCTATCTACATGGTGAATAAACTTGTAGTAAGGGATGGAAGGCTGCTGTGATAAGTTGTTAACACTTCTGTTATCAACCGCAGCGGGGTTAGCTTAGTCGGTAGAGCGTTTGCCTGCAGAGCGGGAGGTCGCCGGTTCGATTCCCAGGACCGGACCAACACTCAGGGTCTTAAAATAACTGAGAAATGAAGGCATTCCCTTTGCACTGCAAATGACTGGACCTTCGCGTGGCTCGGATGGCCTCGTAAAGTGGCGGCCCTGTCTCCAGTAGGAGACGTAAAAACAGTGTCCCCAGTTAGTACTTTCGTGCTAAATACATTGACACTCGAATAAAGTGCATTTTTGATCGTGGGTGGCGAAGGTGTTGTCTACGTAACTGCGTCTTCTCGTTGTTTGTAAGTATTTGGATCTCAATACGGAAGTAAGTAGGTCAGCCATCTGAGAAGGTGTTAGCCTCGCTTCGTGCGTTCTGCAAGGCATAAGTCTCTCAGTCTCTGTAGAGCGGCTTGAGGGCTGCGTCGATACGAAAATATCCTCGAAAATATGGAATAACCCGGGGTTTAACTTAACTTTACCTGTTTTTTTAGAAATCATGGCAAACTGTGATGAATATTTTCCCTAATTTTGCTCCAGGTCCTTGAAGGAGATTACATACTAACGTTCGAGCCAAAGACGGGCTTCTTGGAACCTAGGGAGGAGAGGTCAATCAAACTGACATTTACAGGACATAAGAAGGTAGTGTCAAGTTCAGCAGTACATTCAATTCAAAAGCAATACTGTCCTCATCAGAGGTCGGAAAAGAAATTTGATCGCCTTCCGTTCGTAACCTTAGACCCTGTTTACATGGAGTGGGGGACCCCGGTCTAGTGGGGTAGGTTTCTTTCGCTTTGTGTCACCTAGAGCGTGAAAACAAAAGAAACCAACCCCACTAGACCGGGGTCCCCCACTCCATGTAAACAGGCCCTAACTCGCTTTGTGGAGGCCATTATTATCCCAATGTGGACATTTATTTACAGCGAGGGAGGGACAGACGGACGGATGAATGAAATCTGTGAGGGACGGAGTGATGGAGAGAGGCTTGGGTGAAAGGAGGGAGGGAGAGACTAGCCTGCGTAGCATGCGCTTGGAAGTATGTCATGAGCGCAGGCAAATAACGGGTTGCGTGAGAGAGACACGTGTGTCTTCCTCGCGCGTCCCGTTCTTTCTTGCGCCCATTATACTTCCAAGGGTCTGCTAGGCAGGCTAGGGAGAGATGAACGGATGGCGGTTGTAAGAGGAGTAATCTGTAATAAAAATGCAAACTCCTAAGCTCTCGACGGAAACAAATGATTAATGTCAATGATTTGCCTTCATCGATCCCGATTCGTGATGAAAGAAATGCTATAAACGAATTGATGGTACATAACTCTACACTCATTTTGGCTTGAAACGTCAAGTCACTTCTGAGAATTTGAACTTTACCTTTTAGCCTCCAATCTCGATTTGCGTATAATATCAGTCTGTTTTAATTACTGAACTGACTTGAATAAATTATCCAATTATATAGAAAGCTTTTCTTGTTATAGAGGTCGTCGTAGGTTTTTACCCAACGAATATCGTAGAAAAGCCGACGCCCATTCACGTCTCTGTAGTATTAGAAAAAACTCCGATGGCCGTCAGAAAATCTGTATTTAAGCAAAGTGACACGTTATGTATTTTGTATCAATTTTCCCACAGGGACCTATCAGTGGTTTTATGACAGGTTGCGAGGTGGAAAGAATGATTGATACTTTGTGGCTTTCAATCTCTGCCGATGTTCAGGGATTAAGTGTCACCTTTGAAACTCCCAAGACCTTTGATCTTGAAAGGTAAGTTTTCGCAAAGTTAATAGATTGGAATGGTTTTGAAACCCTTCGGACTCCTTTGTTATATGTTTTTTTTGGACCTGACGGTGCACAACGTTCAATAGCATTCCTAGCATTTTGATCTTATTGACCAATAAACACGTCTCATAAATTTATTCCGTCACAATTTGCCAACAGAATTGAAAACAACGGATTGTGCGCCATCATGGAGCTTCCAACATAAACTAGCACTGTTTTTATCTTTGGTGTTTGTTGTCTTTCATAACCAGTCTCCTCTTATAACTATGGCGTACGTGCATGACTTTAAATATTTGTTGTGACCACGATTTATTGATTGATTGATTGATTGGTTGATTGATTGATTGACTGATTCATTCATTCATTCACAACTTTATTTTCATTGGGATTTTAGAGTATTCGGTTAGTGCTATGAATGTCTCTGATGACTGATTTGATGTTGTCAGTGCTTTCAGTATTTTCGCGTCTTACCTGTAGGTAAAAATAAAAGAAAACTAGTATGCAGTGTAGAGCGTATTTTTACATTAATTTAGACCTGATGAAATCAGAGAGGCGTCACTTGAAGACAGAGAGTTGCTGCTGGATTTCGAAACAGTACCGCTGGCCAGTTGTCCTCGCACAACCCTTGTTCTCACTAACACGTCAGCAATAAAGGCCACCTTCAGTATAGAGCTGGATCACTTCAAAGCTGCCAAGCCACCAACCCCTCCAGAAGGTATTTACCCTGCTATTTAAGCCCCTTTGGCATTTTGCTAGACGTTTTGATCACACCAGTGTGTGGTAATTTAAAAACGAAACGAAAGATTGCAATGAAACAAGAATATAACAATATGTTTTCTGGTCACTTGATGCGTGCGTGCCTCCCCTTAAATTGAGAACTATACCGTGGAGCGTTATTTCTATGGGCGACAGAAGATTTGAAACTTTGAAGGGGATGTATGCACATAGATGATAATTTGAAAATGTAAAATTCAGCTTCTCAATGAGTGTCCATAGCTTTAACGCGTACTACCGTAAACAAAGTTAACAAGGCGACCGAAGAAGGAGGTGGTATTTTGAAAAAACGTTCCCTTGTGGATTCGCCGCTCACGCGCCAGAAAGAGTTCCTGCACACAGTAATACTACCAGCTACGCAGACCATTTGTGGGACTGAGAAACCCTCAGCGGTAAGGTCTATAGTTTGAAACTCAATTTTAATACACCGAAATTAGACTCTCAGTATTGTTAAGGGTAAATGATTGCATGTTAGGTGTTTTCTTAAATTTAATGTTCTTTTCTCTTTTTCCTTCTCCTAGGGGCACCACGAGGGAAAAGGTGCGTTTAATTTTTTGCTTATTCTTGTAAAGTTGGAGATCTTTTAGTAAGTGTGTTTGATCGTCCTTCGACAGTGAAGACGTCTCTAAAACAATTCCTTTTGAGGATACATTTTATTGCAGTGTAAATACACACTGGGACCACGTCTCGCGCTTTGTTGCCACAGTCAAAAGCCGGCCTGGAAAAAACTGTCAAAGTGCTCCACAAATGATGGATAATGGATAACACGGTAGACGTGAAAGTGATTATTACAATGGAACCTCTATTCAGGGGACACCCTCGGGACCAAGGCATGTGTCCCCTGAACGTAGGTTGGGCTAGGGTTTGTTAATAATTAACCAGCAAATAAAATATTTTTCTACAACTCTACCTCGGAATCTGCGGCAGTTATTACTACAAGCAGTTAGATAATGCATAAACAATTATAATTAACTTATCTCTGCGATGTTTTGTGGTTAATTCCCAAATGTGCAGTGTATCGATTTGAGTGAGATAGTTCATGTTTTGAAAGCTGTCGCCATTGTGACTAGTGAACACTAAAACTTAACGATTTTTGTGGTCAGTCCTTTTTGGAGGGCTAAAGTGTCCCCTGAATGGAGGTTAAATCCGGGTTTCGGGACCCATGAAAAGTGTCCCTTCCCCTAAATAGAAGTGTCCCTTCAATAGAGGTGACAAATACAAAGATTATGTGAACCTTTTTGGGGGGACCAAATTATGTGTCCCCTGAATGGGGGGTGAGCCAAAGGAGAGGTTCAACTGTAGTTTCAACTGGAAAAAGTAATTGTTGTGGATTAATGTCATAAATATTTTGTTATTTTACTTTGCGTATCAACTGTAGGGACAGCCCTTGACGTCGACCTGTTTGCTCCCTAGCGAAAGAAACTTGATAAATACAGCTTCATTAAATAAATTCATACTAGGATGTATAAATATTAGATGATATTTTGATAATGATTCTGACGATAACAGGCAACTATTTCTGACACTTAATTGATTTATCTTCAGAGGACGACTATTAGGGAAAACCCCAAATATTGCAGATCCAGTCAGTAAGACTTTTACCAAGGCTCATTCAGGTAAGAATACAAACAGAAGTTTTATTGTAAATAGAACTCTCAATTTTTCCCTCAAAAACAGTTGCACAGTGAAGCAGAAAAAGTGGTGCGATATTGAAGCTTTTCTCTGAATTGAATGCACCCTTTAATATCCTTGTTTAGTTTTGTATAAAAACTGTCCTCATAGACTAGCTTTTGCTATTTGTCCGTAGTGAGAAAATGAAACTGTAAATCCAGATTGACCGATAAAAAATGAAATGAAATGCCATAAAACGCACCATAGTTCAGGCGTGTCTTGTGTGAATGGTCAGCGAGGACTGATGTTTACTCAGTACATTTTGTTTCTCACAGTACAACGTTTGTACTCCCAACTTTTATACTGAGTACTAACCTCATCTAGCTTTCGCCGGACGACCTTTTTATTTCCATTTTAAGTTCTTTTTTTGCTTTTTTGGCCGCCATCAACACAAAACCTGCTCTTTACGGCACAGATGGCCGAAAACTGGACGCCGACATCTTTGAAATAAAAGCAGGCGTATCCTATGTTTATTTCAACATGGTTTTTATTGACCGCTTGGAGCGTTTGCTATGATGATGTTTCGTTCCTCGCCACACAGCAAGCGTTCAGACGGTCATGTTTGATCAAGCTATGCTGCTGTTGTTCACTCCCCTTACTTTCTAATTGGCTCATTTTTTAGATAACTGTAGGGCCATATTGCGTGACGGAAGGGGAGCAGTTTTTGTGCCGAGTCCAGCGTCGGGTGAATTGCTTCCGTTTGGCTACCAGGTCATTGAGATAACAGGCTATAGTGATATGTGGGGCGAGTACAGAGATTTACTTGTTTGTAAAGTAAGTGACGTGCGATATGAGAGAATTCAAACTCTGCACAATGAACCTACAACTGAAATTCTCTTTCCCTTCACAATCTCTCGATTTTATAGTTTAAAGCACTAATTTGTATTAATTATAATTATTCTGTGTGAGTTTAAATAAAAATTGACTTGACTTGACTTGACTTGATATGACAGTAGGTATCTCCCACTGACTAGTAAAGCTCTCAACAGCATGACTTTTTTCGTTTCAGATCGACTTGTCACACAAAATTGATTTACAAATGTTTTATTTAAACAAATGTACTATAACTGATACTTTCTGTCTTAGATTGACGGTATGGACCCAGTTTATATTCCTGTTGAAATGGAAGTCGTGGGTTGTCCGCTTAACTTTCAGATGATGAAAGATCAGGCGCCAATTCTTCGGTAAGGAATCAAATAAGTGGTTTTTTTTGCAAGTAGTATAGTATGGACCGAATTCATCGTCTTTTTTTCTTAAGCCCCGTTCGCCCCTGTCCCGATCATTTTACCTGCACTAATATGTAGTGATGGTAATAAACGTTGATTGCATGAGGGTGCGTGGGTACGATGTGAAGATTTATACAGGTTGAGGAGAAAGTTACCACTGGATACCACCTTCTGGAGATCTGCATAATTTGTTATATTATACGACAGCTGAATTCAATCATTGTTTTAGTATTCTTTCAAAATATTTCCCAGCTCATAACATCCTTGCCTCTGGTGGAAGTTATTCATGACAGTTGTCAGTTTCACGGCCGTTTCAGGATTTAAACGGAGGTTGAAAAGACTCTTGTTTTCCAAAGGAGGATAAAATTGTGTTTGAATCCCGTGAAATTGTTCAGCTTGGAGATAAAAGTTTCACAGAGCTATTCACTTCTATTGCAGTAAGGGAGCTTGATGAATTTCTTAATATGCTCTTCAAAAATGTTACTCGGGACAGATTGTCATCTTCGGGTGGATCTTTTAGAAACGTGTTCGCTGTGCGCGGAATCAAGCACTTGGAGTATCATGCATTTAGAAAGGTGGTTTCTACTGTTTTTAAGTCGGAGGAAGCGCTTAGCTCTGTGGAGGGTACCCGAGTAATACAATTTCTTTTCCAGTTGTAGACTTAGCGACAATGACAATGTAATGTTAGCTGCTTTATCCTTGTTTCTGCAGTATCTGTATCCCCCCACTCCACTTAAACTCTTGATAACAAAACTCTCTTTTCTTTAGCTTGGGAACACACGTATCTGGAGCGCCTTTGGTAAAGCGATCCTTAAGAATCAACAATACAAGCCCTTACGGTGCGTTGATATTTTAAAGCTTTGTTTGGATTATCCGAACATACTCGTTTCCAGTACCTGGTATGCAGTGGGTGAAAGCTTAAATCTTGAGGCTGACGTCCAAACGTCTCTGCCCCCATCTACCCTCGTAGTCTACTAGTTAAACTTTCGAAAAGTTTCATTTTTAATAAAACTGTATGATAACAAACGTTCATTACCGCACAAAATTATATATCCTCTAAAGTTTTAAATCACTCTTTTGAATTCCGGACCACTATAATGAGAAATCAACTTTCGTAGTATGTAATCCAGCTATGCTCATTTTTTGTATTCCTGTCCTTTAATACCAAACTATTTCTTCCATCTTTTAAAAGAATGTATTTAATCAATCAGTTTAGTGGCATGGGTATGTAACTTGAGAATGAGGTAAGCAAAATTTTGACTCATTGGTGGAAAAGTTTCTTGTGAGAATTTCATAGTTTGTGTCAAACGTTAAGGGGTGTGGCGTGGGTGGGTGGGTCGTGCGTGTTGGGTCGTGAATCGCTTTAGCGGTTTATGCAGAGTTCCCTTTACACAAAATAAAAACGTTTTGGTAACTTACCTTCGATATATACTCTTCTCCACAGACATTCGTTTAGACTGGGAAACATACAGACACGTACCACAGGACAGTCAACTTCTGGACTTGCTGGTGTTCATAGGTGAACCTTTGCCGCAATTCAAAGATGGGCAGGAGGTGGTACCAACTGTTGGTGATCATGAGATTTACCAGCGCGAGGATAAACCATTCATACAAGTCAAGCTGAGGGAACACGAGGGAGTTTGCGCAGACAGACCTTTTGAAGTCACACCTAGACAGCAAGTAAGAATTGAACTTACAACGCTCCTATCCAGGGTCTTCATCTCATTACAAAATATACCTCTAATATTGAGAGCGTAAGTTACGTTAGGAGCATGGCACTTCCCTTTCATTCTAATGTTGAAGTTGACCTAAGAGTTTTAAGTGGGATATAGGGTATCTTAAGGATTAAAAGGCGGTACATAATATAATTTTCTTTATTTTTAATATTTCCACGTAAAATACTAAGATACTATCAAACTTCAAATAGGTCTGAAAGTTAGAACGCCTCTAGTATTGCTGTGTTCACTTCTAAACTAAAGGCATTTTTCTTGGTATAAGCAAACTTTACTTCTCTTAATGCTTGTGTGTACTTTTTCGCTTCTTTGGTTTTTTTTTCTCGTATTTTGTCACTTTTTCTTTTTCGTTTTTGCACTTGCTCATTCAGCCTTATCTGTTTTATCCTATTGAATGATTATTTTCTACCTTGTAAAGAAGTTGTTTGTGTTCAGTTAAATTGTCTTACCGATGCCAGTATCTTATTTATTAACTAAGTCATATTTTTGAAGGTGGTCCTTTTCATGAGCCTTTTTGGCTTCCTTGGGCTCCCTTGCCTCATCTTTCTAAATTTTTTGTATATATTGTAATTAATGTAAACGGCAAAATGATAATAAAATAATACTTTTCTGTGGCCTACACTTACTTGTAAACACAAAGCTCGCCACGTTTAAAATCAGATAATTTAGCAATTAATGAATGAGGATTAGTATCTCATGAAGAATTATGGAGATCGAGGAGGGTGTTATATGCGGATAACACCCTCCGAGATCTCCATAATTCTTCATATGGTACGAAAGCCGAATTCAATAATTGTTTTATTATTCATTCAAAATAATGCCTAGTTTAAAAACATGGCTAAAACATGCTTACCTCCATCGATCCATCGATGTTATGTTCATCTTCGATAGTGCACTTTTAGGTTTGCCCAGCTCCGCAAATATTCTCCAAATAGCAGATGTCGCCCTTCGAGTTGTCTTCTTGCTGTTCTTGCTATGTTTTTAACTATTTTTTCGCCTATTTCTTACTCTTGAAACGAGTGAAACGTCCGCCATTTTTTGTTTTCACAATCAAAACGACTCAACCTCGTCCCCAGGTCTTCTCGGTTAACGGTGCCTTAACCTGTACGAACGCTGCATTTTTGACGTCATTTCCTCGTTAAACACAAAATTCTTCCAAATTTGGTCATCAGTAACTGGTTATGGTGAATTATGCGTGTGCTTTTAGGGGAAATATTTTGAATGAATAATAATAACAATTATTGAATGAGGCTGAGTAGGATATGAAGAATTCTGCACATCGAGGAGGGTGTTATCCACCATGGCCGAAGGTTAAGGTGGATAACACCCTCCGAGATCTGCAGAATTCTTCATATCCTTCGAAAGCCAAAGCTAAAACGTGCTTACCTCTGTCGATGTTAAGTTCATATCATTAGCGCATCTTTATCGGCAAGTTTAGAAGAGAAAGGTCTGTTTAGGTCTGCAAATGTACTCCGAATAGCAGATGTCGTCCGTCGAGGTGTCTTCTTGCTGTTCTTGCTTTGATTTTAGACAATATTTCGCCGTGAAACGAGTGAAATGTTTCGCCGACTGTTCAGCCATTTTGTTCTCACTATCGATAAAAACTCAACCTTGTCCCCAGGTTTTCTCGGTTAACGGTTCAATAATCTGCAACTTGGGCTGCACTTTTGGAGTCATCGGTTCAATATGACAAAATCCTTTCCAAATTTGGTCAACAGTAGCTCTTTATGATGAATTATGCGTGAGCTTTTAGCCAATCAGAAATGGAGAAATATTTTGAATGAATAATAAGAGCTCATATCAATATTTGCTTTTCTCCGTTTTTGAACGCTCATACCATCAAAATTATCTTTTGGTCTTCATTGATATGAAATTTGAGTTCCTGCACTTGTTTTGAAACTGCGTCTAAGTGGTGCTATCTTCGATGTTTTTAGGTGATCTCCGCTAAAAGTCATTCTGCTGCCACGGTGTCTTTTTACCCTTACACGGAAAACCTGTCAGGAGAGCTGTGTACTGGATACGCCACAGCGTTCATGAGCTTAGATTCACAGGTGACGTGAGGAGCCTTTTACTTGTATTTTTGTACGGTGACGTTATACTTCTTTGTGATAAATTTGAATTTTCAGTAATAACCAACCAATTTTCAGGACATCAACCAGACTAGTCTTCAGCGGCGCCATATTCCATAATATTAATATTTTTACACCAAAACTTTCTTTTAGTTACGTGAAGTTATCAAACAGTACTTAAATACTTTCATTAGCGTTACTTTCATTAATATTTATGGTTGAGTACTTCATGTAGTAAATGCTTAATTAACGTTTGATGATTGACATTCATAAATTTTTACTGATTAAAGATTCTGGAAATACCGGGACGTGTGAAAAGAGCGCATAGTGTGGATATGAAACCCTTCCGCCTGGACATGACAGCCAACATGGACCCTGCCTTGTAGGTTTTTGTCCTTAGCTGCAGCAGTTCTTTGAAAAACCTCTTCATTACGGGATCTGATTTTCTCTGCCTTTTCTCGTTTCCTTGTATCAAACTTGAATCGTAGACTTGAATAAATGAGTACTGCTGAGCTGGTTTCTTTCTTTTACAAATTTAAGATAAACAACTTTGAAGTTTTTTCTACGGGACAATTCTCAGATTGTGTAAGATAAAAAAAAATGTTGGTGTATTTCATGGACAGCCATGAAAATTTACATTACTAGTGCAAAATCACAGTGCAGCGTGCTGATTGAGCTGCAAAGTCAGATAGTTCCGTTAAACAGTTTTTATTTTCCCAAAACGATAAAAATTTCTGTTTTTCTTGAGGATTTGGAAATCATGAAAACGTCGTGGAATATTGAAAGAAAGATTGACGATAAAGTGTGCACTATTGATCACTGAAATCCAGATAAGACGCTTGTCAATCAGTCACAATGGTTTGTTATTTCATGGAATAAAAGTTAAGTGTGAAGAATGCATTTTTGTTTCGTTGATTGTAGGCTTTCTCTAGAAACCGAACAAGACAGAGGCACTGAGTTCATTACAGCTGCATCTGATCTGGTAAGCTGAGTCTAACAGTTACAATAAATGAATCAACCCATACTGTAGGCGTTCGTCCCGCTGCCTTATACATGTAGAAAGTAAAAGAAAATGAGTGAAGAGTGGCAGGGGTTAAGAGTCGTTCTCAAACTCATTAATAATTCATAAAGAAAATTCAAAGGAAATTAATGTTTAATGAGTGTTTGGATATCTGATGAAAAACTGCTCATATTTGCATCCTTAATTTCTCCTTCAAAAATGATTTTGTTTGAGAAGAAATATCAAACCTTCGACACAGTGTTTCATCACCAGATGAAACACCTCGAAGTTCGTCAAAAATACTCCGCTGCGCGTCGTATTTTCAACTCTCTTCTCGGTGTTTCATCTGGTGATGAAACACTGCATCTCATGTTTGATATATTACATCAAGAATTTACTGTTTTACTGTTTACTCGCGAACATTCTGAGCAACCCTGTCTCCGGGCTTTGCTGTACGTTCAAAACATCCCTGATTTTATGGGGGTTTTTTGGCCACGTTTCCTGAAATGTATCAGACTATTTTGTCACGAAACAGATAATGAAATGTCATTGAAGGGGGAGAGGGGTTGAGCCACTGTCAGCCATATTCTTTTTTTTTGCCAGTCTGAAAGGTTTTAAGCATATCAAGACGTTCGAAGATCTGTTTTGTGACAAAATGCTCCATGGTTTTCCTTGTTACTAAAGCTAACTGCTTCATTACTTTCAAAACTTTCTTATGTGGTACGGTTCTTTGGTAACCAAATTTATTATCAACAGCTTGGTGGAGAGACACCGCTGATTAATCGATTTGTGTTGAGCAACACCACGGAAACTCCGCTGAACATGAATTTCCAAGTGACAGCTCCATTCAAGATCGTTTCCACCGAAGCCCCCCCGTCAGCCAAGAACACAAGACCCCATACCTCTGGAAACATTATACTCAAGCCCGCCAAGAGTCTCGAAGTAAGTGAATAAAGATGCTTTTATTAGCTTTCACAATAAGTATGTTTCTGTACGCGTGTACATCTTAAACGTAAGTTTTGAATAGTGTGAAGGCTTGCTGTGGTTTGCTTTAGTTGCAAAAGTGTTAAATTTCACTTGCAGCATAGATAGAAAAGGGAAAGCATCAGATGTAGATCGAGAACGCCACTTGAGGGAGGATTGTATGCCTGACCTGTGACTGAAGGCCACGCGTTTGTTCTGTCAATCCCATTCCACGCAAAAAATATTTTTAAGAATCTCTGGGCCCCGAGTAAAGGAATACGTAGAAGAGTGTCCACAATGTCTTAATTGTTTTTATTTTTGATTCCAGTTAAGGGTTGGATTTTACTTGTCTGAGGAACTTATCCGCAAAGTGAACGAGCTAACTGCTGAACAGGAGCAAGCTGATGGCGCGCTTTACACTGTTCCCCAGGATGGCGACAGAAGAATTATCCTGAAACGAGACCTTACTGTTGAATTTTCCAATAATACTACACAGGTTAGATTTTTGTTCCTACTTCTTGGTCGTTCAAGAAAGTATTAGTTGCCTATCAATACCCTCGGTAGACTGAGGCGCCGTTACTGAGCACTTACAAAACATTACTGGAATCATACTATTTCTGTGTTTTTCACCCCTGACTTTTCTATCGCCTGACACGCAGGTAAAACTGTTAATGTTATGTTGTGTTAATATCTCCTTACCTTACAGAAAGTAATTTTCGGGCATTTTGCTGTCGTTGTGATGAGTGTGTCCTTAGTTTTCCCCATTGCTTATCCCCTATTTTTTCGTCTTTCCTTATAGTTTCCCTAACCTTTCTCCACTCGGGACTCCTCCACTTCTTATTAAGGTGGCTCGACTGGATTTTTTTGGGGGGATACCTTCCAAGTTTGAGCATTAACTACGTCGCCACGAGTAAAGGTATGGGAAAAAGATTACCACAACTGTATTATATAAAGATGGGTTTTATTGCAATCTTAGTCGCCATAGCAACGTAACGACGCCATTACGTTTTTTATTTATCTTTGCGTTTCTTTGTACCAAGAGTTTTTTTAAGAAATCGCTTAAGGGAGTTTGTACCTGCCGTAATATGTCTTAATTATGGCAAAGTTTGAACAAATTCTATGAGAGCGTTTGTGAGATATTTTGAAACGAAGTTTTAAGCATCATAAAAACAGTGAAATTGCATGCTATCCACACAATTAGCTAAATTTTTAAGAAAATGATAAGCTTGGGAAACGCGGCTTCATCTCATAGTAGTTTGATTCCATTGAAAACTGCATACAAAAAAAGAGGAGAATTGCTCCGAGCGATCGCGAGTAAGAAGAATTTTAGTAACTTGCATTCAGCTGCTTTTGTTACTGTTTTTGCACGTAATTTGGTCCATGCCCACAAATTTCGCATTTTTCAAAAAACCGCTCGATAAATTTTTTTATAAATTTGACAATCCCGAGATCAATCGTCTATAAATATACCCTGCAAGTTTCAAGAACATTGAAAACAGAAAAGGCTTTTAAATAGGGCCTCAAATATAACCAATTTCTCCCCGAGATTTTGTGTTTACAAGTGAGCTTCCTCATTATTCACTGGCATTGTTTCCAAGTTTCATATGCACGTGCACATTTAGCAAAAAGATAGAATTTGCATCAAAAAGGACCCTCGGTTAAATCTCCCGAATATGCTAATAACCAGGTAAAGAAATTAGTGATATATTATAACATCACATCAACTCTTTGTGAGAGTTTCTGTGATGTTGTAACCCGAGTAAGATAACTAAGTATTGCATCCTACACGATGAGCCGTGACGTTCACCGTCTCGGCTCTCACTACTATCTGTGACACAAGCCAATTATTAGCATATTCCGGATATTTTTTCCGAAAGTAATCGAGAGCTCATTTTGATGCAAATTTATTTCTTTTTGCTAAATGTGCACGTGCATATGAAACTTGGAAACAATGCCAGTGAATAATGAGAACGCTAACTTGTAAACACAAAACCTGGGGGAAAAATTGTTTATATTTGAGGCCCTATTTAAAAGCCTTCTCTGTTTTCAATGTTCTTGAAACTTGCAGGGTATATTTATTGGCAATTGATCTCGGGATTTTCAAATTTTTAAAAAAATTTATCGAGCGGTTTTTTGAAAAAAGCGAAATTTGTAGGCATGGACCAAATTACGTGCAGAAACTGTAACAAAAGCAGCAGAATGCAAGTTAATAAAATTCTTCTTACTCGCGATCGCCCAGAGAAATTCCCCTCTTTTCTTGTACGCAGTTTTCAATGAAATCAAACCACTATAAGATGAAGCGGCGTTTCCAAAGCCTATCATTTTCTTTAAAAATTAGCTTATTGTGTGGATAGCATGCTATTTCACTGTTTTTATGATGCTTAAAACTTCGTTTCAAAATATTTCGAAAACGCTCTAATAGAATTTGTTCAAACTTTGATATAATTGAGGCAATTATGGCAGGTACAAACTCCCTTAAGCGATTTCTTAAAAAAACTCTTGGTACAGAGAAACACAAAGATAAATTAAAAACGTAATGGCGTCGTTACGTTGCTATGGCGACTCTGATTGCTATAAAACCAAGATCATAAGAAATTTTCATCTTTATATAATACAGTTGTGGTAATCTTTTTCCCATATCGTTACTTATGGCGATGTAGTTAATGCTCAAACTTGGGAGGTATCCCCCCAAAAAAATCCAGTCGAGCCACCTTAAATAGCACATCCCTCCATTCCGCCAGCTGCGACACTCACCATTCTGCATTTAGTGTGTCTGCATTTAGCATAGCGTGTACCCTCTTTGCTACCCACTATTCTCAACTGTCTCTCATATCCAAGGATATGTCCTTGCGTTCTTATAGCTAAAATAAGTGATGATGTTTTCAGTTGATTCCTTTGATGGCATCCATCGCTGTGCCGACTCTCCGTTTGTCTAAAAATGAAGTGGACTTTGGCACATGCCTAGTTGGCCAAGCAGTTGAAATGCACGTGACTCTGTTTAATCCCTCCCAGTCTGCCTCTGCTTGGATTGCTTATAAAGGTAAATGTAACCTATTTTCTTTTAAGCCCAAAACTAGCGACTAGTTCCGAATCTCTAAAGAGGTCTGTGTGGGAGGCTGTACTAGGGGAAAGGTAGAAGAAAGAAGTGAAAAGGGTAGGAAACTTTCTTTCTCTTCTCTCCCCTCCCGCCTTAAACCCCAAATCGCCTCTCTCCTAGCCCTTAAGAGAGGCCCGGTCAGTACTCAGGGTACGTTGCAGGGTACTTAATCAAGAGTTTAATCTCTTAAGTCATGACTTCAGCCAAAGGGCTTCTCGTGACCAAAAATCTGTGCGAGGTATCAGAATTGTTTCATGGTCTTTTTTATCTGCTTCAATGTCAGTGGTTAAGCCAACATCGTTTAGTAGTAGAGCTGCTGTCCTTTATGGATTAAATAGTGAAATTTGAACTTTTTTATTTGTATTTTTCGTTTTTACAGACCCTCGTTATCCGTCGATCAGTCAACAGGTTTTCGTTGTTACCCCGATAGAAGGATTTCTTGAGGCCAACACAAGCCTTGTTGCAAGGACAAAGACTACTCTAAAAATTACCTTCACAGCAAAGTAAGTCCTCACTGTTTTCCAATAATTTTATTTTTCATTCCTAGCTTCCAGCATAAGTTTTTTATATTCGGTGGTTTGTTTATCCTTTCTGGCCTCACGACGTTCGCAAAGGACTTTTTCCTTTGTTCTGTTTTTATTAAATTTGCATTCAAAAATGAATACGCCACTTGCACATCTCCCATAATGCACCTTATTTGCCCCCCACCCCTCCCCCCTCCCAAATTTTGCATAACCTTTGCTTTTCATTTCTCCTGGGTATTACAGCCGTCCTAAGAGAAATTGAAAACGATGCTTACGTAAAATTTTGGGGGGCAAATAAAGTATATTATGAGAGATGTGCAAGTGGCGTATATGAAGAAACATGAGGCACTTTAAATTAAACAGAGTAACATGACATGTTCTGATATGGACTGTCTGAATACCCGATATAGGAAGGGTCGGCGAGTGGATGAAATCACTTAACAAAGCGGGGATCTTGATTTTCAAATTTTATTCAGGTCCCTACGGCAGTCCCAGTTTATCTTTTCTCCTTTTCATTGCAGGCACAATATTGAGTACGAATGTGTTGTTATCGTCAGCGGTAAACTTCAGGAAGAGGAGCAGACACTAGTAATGAGAGGAAGAGGATCATACGATCAAGTACACGAGCGTCTTGTTAACGTTACCACAGACACGTGACTGTAGTATGTGCCTTACATTCTGTTGTAATCTTGTGGTAATCGTATCCCTTAGAAGTACTAGTTTAAGGTGAAACATCGTCACGTGTACTGTATTTTTCCCGAAAATTCTCGGGGAGTTCATTCATTCTCCAATGGGCTGTAACGAATATTGTTAACATAATTTGTAAAAAAAGGTGTATATTTCCGAGAAACTTAATAAACGTTTCAAATAAATGTTTCTTTGGTAGACTATTGTACATTCAGTTTAACATTTTCGTTACTCGTCGTTTTTAAGCAGAAGCAGCGCGCGCCAGCCTGTCCACAGGCCCTCTATTTTCTTTTCGAAGTCCGTCGAGCGCGCGTGATAAAAAAGGAAAAACCGAGGGGGATTTGTTGACCGCCAGCCCAAGGTGGTAGGAGTGGGGGAAGAAGATTTTTTGAAAAGAACGAAAAGAAAAATCAAGCAACGTCTGTGTACAGGCTAATGCAGCGCGTGAATCCTAATTGAAAAGGTGCCGATTTGGTCAGGTCTCTATGGATTTTGAATCCGAAATCTAAAGTGAATCCGATGCCTAGCAAACTCCCAATGTTTTGTAGTGTAAACAATTTGTCTAGCTTATCCGGATACTTTTCGCATTTGATCATACGAGTTTGCAGTAAAACCAAAAGGGAACTGTCACTTTCATGAATATAGTTCATTATCCCTTTCTCTGACTTATTGCATTAAGGTATGGGACGAGGAAAACGACAAAGAACTCCAAGTTCTAATTATGTCCGAGAAAGGGAGGGAGGCAGGGCTGACCCTTTTCACTGACACTCTTTGCGAACTGACAACTTTGCATATATTATTCAGGTTTATATAATGCCTAATACGTCATCGCACGGGATAATGAATCAGTTACATGACTCATTGTTTTTTTTTTTTTAACTTGTTCTTTTTAACTTGTTTTTTTTTTTTTAACTTGTTAAATTTTTTACGGTGGTGTTCATACAGGTTGTAAAGGAAAGCGTGCTGGACGTTCAAAATTTGTTGTTTTTTCACTTATTTATTGGGCTCATTGCCGTCGCCGTCGTAGCCTGCGTCGCGAGGAAACGCTTGCTACGCAGGCTATTGCTGTCGGGAGTTCATTCCATTTATCGAATGCGTAAACGGTTTTAAAAACCGCCTGCTATCTGTTACTAGACATAATTTTCGGTCCATTACTCGATGATTTACTTCCTTTCTCGGGAAACGGGCATTTGGGTGGAGAGGGAATAAAAAGGCCGTTGTTGTAGAAAAAATATATTTCAAAGAAACAACCAGAAAATTAAGGCAAACTGTGTGTTATCTTTAGATATTTTGCTTTCCTTTTATTTATTTTTTATTTTTATTATTTATTCATTATATATATCTGTTTTGTGCACGACTTTTTCAAAACTTCCTTGATTTAAGCAGATGTAGCACATGAATCCGAATTGGAAAGTTGCCGATTTGGTCAAGTCTCGATAGATTTTGAATCCGAAAACTAAAGTGAATCCGATGCCTCATAATTTCGCAAACAATTTGTCCAACTTATCCGATTTTTCGGAAATAAATGTTTTTGTGTTTTTTTCTTTCTTTCTTTCTTTGTTTTCGCATTTTCATCAAAATAGCAAATATAGGTGAACTTCCCTATGTTTAACCGTTGGTTAATCCTGGTCTGAATCCTGGTCTGAGTCAAATTCGTACTCATGATGATACACAGTCAAGCAAGAGAAATGACGTAGTCTGTGTCCGTACATATCTTATTTCCTTTTTTTGTTTTTGATAAAGTACAGTTGCCTTTCTCCAGAAATTTCTTTCTGCTTTGGCTGTCCCTGCCATTACCTTGTTTTGCCTGCGCCGTCCCAACTTTCTGAAGAAGAGGTTCCACCGACCATGTGTTTTGGTGACTAATCAACGGGTCCATCAACGCGCCTTCCTTCGGGCGAGCCATGTTGTTGGGTGGTGTTACTGTTGATATTAAACTCTGTTGATCTATTTACAGAGGTTGGTGGATGCCTTGAAAAAAATTAGACACATATGCCCAAACATTCCTTCCAGGACATCAATTTCAAAACTGTTATCCCCTGTATGACCTATACCATTTCAGTTTGGGGTAATTGTTCTCCTCTTCTTCTGCAATCGATGAACGCATCCATGCAAGGGCGTGACGCAGTATAGGCAATGTACAACCAGCAGCCAACAGTGATGGTGTTGCAGTTGAACCTTTCCTCAATGGCCACCTTGCAGGGGACAGTAGAAAGTGGCTATTGTAGAGAAGTGTAAACATGAGTCAATGTATGGACTGTCTGCCAAAAAAACTGGCCAATCATTGTAGAGAGGTGAACGTTCGACTGTACTTTGAAGGAATCCAAGTTGCGTCTACAGAATTGGCTGATCTTTATAGGCGAATCCCTGGTTACATTATTTTCTTTTTTGCCTCATTAACATATGTTTATCGTAGCTGATGAAACTAATAAAACGAAATCTCTGAATGTTTAAAAAGCAAAACAATTTCAGTCATCTCTCTTTGAAAACCTCGAACTTTAAAAAGAATGTATTATCTCATCAATTCGGTAGTGTTGATTGCTGCTAGTTCCACTGTTTGTTTTCAGGGAGCTGAAATTGCGCAAACTGCACTAATTAACGTGCTCTCTCAACTTTTGAACCATTTTTGTGCATACGAAAAGGTCTTCTATGGGTTAACCTGTATTCTAATAAGCAAAAATGTAAACAATGGCGTCAGCATGCAAGGATTTGCCTCTATATGATGATGAGGCGCTTCCAATTGCTTATGTTTATAGCTTGGAACCATAGACAATTCTGGATCTTTTTATGAAGAAATTAAAGTTGGCACTAGATTTCTTTCAATCAACTCGCGTACCAAATGATGGTCATCAAAAGGGTTAAATCTGAAGCTTGTAGACATTCTGTCCAGTACTGAGGACCTCATATTTGGAACTTCATAAATTCCAAAGTCAAACTTTCTGTAGTCGGCAGTAAGCCTTTTAAAGATTAAATAAAACTCAGTCTCTGGATATCCATGACTTCCTTTGATAAGGAAGCTATTATGATGAAGAGTAAAGAACTTATGTTTATTATTAGACTGGCTGATGCCGAGTATTTTTA